TTCACTACTTTAGCCCACCGGTGTGTTGAAGAGCGGATCCACAACACTTACGATTTGAGTCATAGGCCGCTTCGCTGGCAACTACATCCAGCATCTGCGGGCGATTTGCCAGAATAGTGAAGCCATCCACCTGCTCCAGGCCTTAAATATTGCAGGATGACGTCATCGTGGTTGAACCCCATCAGGATTCGAGATCAGAGGTGGGGGTGAATGCAATTATGTAACAGATCAATAATCAGCCACTTAGCATGTGACTCGCCTGTCAGGAATTGCAATGTGTGCTGTGTGTTACTTAATAATACGCGTCCAGGCTGCGCTGAGTCGAAAGCTATCACAGCGGTTGAAATTATTTCAATTCTTCGCGATTTTAATTGATTCTCTAACTAATCTTGGCCAGTCATAATTAGTTCTGCATAGCACTTCATCGTGATCAAGATCAATTGAATGTCCTTGTTGGCAAGCATGGGCTGCCACTGCCGACAGCTGTGTTTAGGAGAATCCAATGTGCCTTTGGTGTTCTTTTAGTCTCGTCTGTCCAATATAACATTTAGTGCACAAGCAATTGATCCGATATACACCTTCTGTTGATAACTTCGCTAATTCATCTTTAGTACAAGACACGAGTTTTTGAATGTAGTGTACCGTACCAAACCTCACTTTAATGTTTTGATTTTGCAGAACACGAGATAATTTGTCAGTAACTCCCGAGGTATGTGGTATTTAAATTGTTTAGATAATCTGATCACTTTCAGCAGTATTGTTGTTCGATCTTGATTTGGCATTCGATGCTCTGTTAATTTGAGCATTATTGTAGCCATTCAGTCTTAGTGCTTCTTTAACATGTTTAATCTCTTTGCTTAAACTTTCAACACATTGCAATTCCTTCCAGGTGTGTCGCATGCTAAGTGGCTGGTTACTGAAGTGTTACATAATTCCACACACCCCCACCTCAAATCCTGATGGGGTTCAACGACGATGACGTCATCCTGCACTATTTAAGGCCTGGAGCAGGTGGATGGCTTCACTATTCTGGCAAATCGCCCGCAGATGCTGGATGTAGTTGCCAGCGAAACGGCCTCCGACTCAAATTGTAAATGTTGTGGATCCGCTCTTTAACACACTAGTGGGCTCAAGTAGTGAACTGTTTGTCTTTTGTCAACGTGACACTTTTTTTGCCGATTGGCCGTGTCGGGTGGTGGAGGGTTACGACACATTTATAAATTAACGTGATCTCGCCCAAAAACCTTTGTGAATAATACTGGTTGCGTGTTAAACTGTTACCCGTGTGTGTGTCTGTGTGTTGTGGGGAGTGGTACCCGTGTGTGTGTGTGTCTGTATGTGTTGTGGGGAGTGGTACCCGTGTGTGTGTGTGTGTGTCTGTGTGTTGTGGGGAGTGGTACCCGTGTGTGTGTGTCTGTGTGTGGGGAGTGGTACCCGTGTGTGTGTGTGTCTGTGTGTGGGGAGTGGTACCCGTGTGTGTGTCTGTGTGGGGAGTGGTACTCGTGTGTGTCTGTGTTGTGGGGAGTGGTACCCGTGTGTGTGTGTGTCTGTGTGTTGTGGGGAGTGGTACCCGTGTGTGTGTGATTGTGTCTCTGTGGTGGTGTAGCGGTTAGCGCGCTTCGAACCTGGCGACTCGGGTTCGATTCCCGCTCACGGCCAACACCGGTGACGATTATCTGAACCGGTCCTGGGCCTCCCCTAGGTCGACTCGGCCTCAAATGAGTACCTGGTGTGTCGTAAACATCGCCACTGGGGAGACAAAGGCGGCCGGGCGTGGTGTGGGCCACCCACCCCCGAGTGTGCCATGCCGGTCTTTCATAGGTGCTCGCTCACAGCACTTGCCCCTATAGTCTGTTAAGGCTATACGGGCGATCTTTGTCTCTGCGCGGCACGGGCTGGAGATGACATGCAGATGATCCGGTCCGGGAGGACGTGGAGCTGAGTGGACTTGCCCATGACTGGTACCAGCGGTGTCAAGATCGGCCTCCGTGGAGGAGGAGGCTTGTGAAGGACGCTGCTGCTGCTATTGGGCAGCTGGAGGCAGTCGCCCTCCAGCAACAACAGCAGAGCGAAGGAGCGACGCTCACAACAACGAGCGGAGCGGCGGGCGGATAAAACGGGCGCCACGGTGGCTGAGACGTCAACTACCTCGCCTGGTATACAGGAGGTCGTGGGGTCGATCCATCTGTATATTTGGAGTCTGCGTGTTTTCGGTTGTGTGGATTTTTCTCCAGGTCCTCCGGGTTTGACCCTCCGTTGGGACTAGTTCATGAAGTCTGTCTTCGCCGGGCAAAGTTTTCAAATAAATATGATCAGGAACCTGATGTAATTTTTTGACAATTTGTATCTACTATCAGACACTAACAACCTGCAACCGCACAAATAACTAAAAGTGTTAGCGACTTAATTCAACTTCTATTTCAGGGGAGGTACTATCATCAAACGGCTCAATTTAAAGATTCTGCTATTTTTTATAAGAAGGAACAAAAATGTACGAACTTAATGCTCTACGAGGGGGAGCTCCCCTATATTTGAGCGTTTGCGAATGATTCAGATGTCAACAACATTTTTAAAATGCGAATGTTTTCGTTCAAAACCGCTTGAATCAGAAATATAAAAACAATAAAAGATAGAACACCCTTTAATTGTATTTTCTGTCTCGTGCTCTATCAAACAAAAACGCCTTTAAACACATTCCTGCGGAGGGAGCTGGTCGGAATGTTGGGTTGCTCGGTCACTGGCCAGGGTCAACGGCGGCGTGGTGTATTCCGCACATATGGCCGACTGTGAGGGCGGGCACAAGCCGGCGTGAGTAGGTGAAACGTTGAGTTTTATAAGGGCACCACGGGGTGACCAGCCCCACCCTCCCCTCCCCACCCAGCCCCTCCCCACCCAGCCCCACCCATCCCACCCCCCCCATCCAGCCCCTCCCCACCCAGCCCCTCCCCACCCAGCTCCCTGCACGACGGACACAATAATCCCCTGTGGGCTGGTGTAACCAGGAGGTTCCTCCCAGTACGATGTATTTTGAACGGCTTTGGAATGACACCAAGTGCACAACCATGTTTATGGGGCACTTCATCTCACCCTGGACACTCTCTGTTCCAGCTACTCCCCTCCGGCAGAAGGCTGCGGTTCATCAGGACCAAAACCTCACGTCATAAACACAGTTTCTTCCCATCCGCTGTTGGCCTCTTCAGCAAGGCCAATGGCTTAAAATGACTTTTACACTTACTTTAACATTTTATCTACAAAATTACACCTTGCCATATTTACAACATGTTACCCTATTTGTATTTTAAGATTGTATATTAAGGCTAGTTTACATTTTATATTGTATACTTATTCAAAAATTTACATACTTTAGCCCCTTAGCATTAGTTAGACTTTGTAATTTTAGTATAGTTAGACTGTATACCACTTATTTAAGTTTAAATATTCCTACATGTTTAATTTATGCACCTTCCTGCCATAGTAAATTCCTTGTCTGATGAGCCTCGTGCATTATCACTGTACCCTGAGACTCCCAGGGGAGCCTTAGTCTGGCTCCATAAGCCTCGTGCATTATCACTGTACCCTGAGACTCCCAGGGGAGCCTTAGTCTGGCTCCATGAGCCTCGTGCATTATCACTGAACCCTGATAATCCCAGGGGAGCCTTAGTCTGGCTCTATGAGCCTCACTCATTAACACTGAACCCTGATAATCACAGGGGAGCCTTAGTCTGGCTCTATGAGCCTCACTCATTAACACGGAACTCTGAGACTCACAGGGGAGCCTTAGTCTGGCTCTATGAGCCTCACACATTAACACTGAACCCTGATAATCCCAGGGGAGCCTTAGTCTGGCTCTATGAGCCTCACTCATTAACACTGAACCCTGAGAATCACAGGGGAGCCTTAGTCTGGCTCTATGAGCCTCACTCATTAACACTGAACCCTGATAATCACAGGGGAGCCTTAGTCTGGCTCTATGAGCCTCACTCATTAACACGGAACTCTGAGACTCACAGGGGAGCCTTAGTCTGGCTCTATGAGCCTCACTCATTAACACTGAACCCTGATAATCACAGGGGAGCCTGAGTCTGGCTCTATGAGCCTCACGCATTAACACTGAACCCTGACACTCACAGGGGAGCCTTAGTCTGGCTCCATGAGCCTCACTCATTAACACTGAACCCTGATAATCCCAGGGGAGCCTTAGTCTGGTTCTATGAGCCTCACTCATTAACACTGAACCCTGATAATCCCAGGGGAGCCTTAGTCTGGCTCTATGAGCCTCACTCATTAACACTGAACCCTGAAAATCACAGGGGAGCCTTAGTCTGGCTCTATGAGCCTCACTCATTAACACGGAACTCTGAGACTCACAGGGGAGCCTTAGTCTGGCTCTATGAGCCTCACACATTAACACTGAACCCTGAGAATCACAGGGGAGCCTTAGTCTGGCTCTATGAGCCTCACTCATTAACACTGAACCCTGAGAATCACAGGGGAGCCTTAGTCTGGCTCTATGAGCCTCACTCATTAACACTGAACCCTGATAATCACAGGGGAGCCTTAGTCTGGCTCTATGAGCCTCACTCATTAACACGGAACTCTGAGACTCACAGGGGAGCCTTAGTCTGGCTCTATGAGCCTCACTCATTAACACTGAACCCTGAGACTCACAGTGGAGCCTTAGTCTGGCTCTATGAGCCTCACTCATTAACACTGAACCCTGAGACTCACAGGGGAGCCTGAGTCTGGCTCTATGAGCCTCACTCATTAACACTGAACCCTGAGACTCACAGGGGAGCCTGAGTCTGGCTCTATGAGCCTCACTCATTAACACTGAACCCTGAGACTCACAGGGGAGCCTGAGTCTGGCTCTATGTGCCTCACTCATTAACACTGAACCCTGAGACTCACAGGGGAGCCTGAGTCTGGCTCTATGAGCCTCGCCCTCTGTCACGTGATCTCTCCCCGGGCCAGTCACGTGGTCCTGGAGTCACGTGGGGTCCCTTCACAACCACCCCCAGACTCTGTGCATCTCTTCCTCGTCGCCTCCGTCTCTCTCCTCCCTCCGTCTCTCCTCTGTCTCCTCCTGCGCCGTATCTCTCTGTCTCTCTCCGCTGTCTCTCCTCCTCTGTGTCTCTCTCCTCCTCTGTGTCTCTCTCCCCTGTCTCTCTCTGTCTCTCTCCTCTGTCTCTCTCCTCTGTCTCTCTCCGCCGTCTCTCTCCCCTGTCTCTCTCCGCCGTCTCTCTCTCCTCCGTCTCTCTCCTCTGTCTCTCCCCTGTCTCTCCTCTGTCTCTCTCCCCTGTCTCTCTCCCCTGTCTCTCTCCTCTGTCTCTCTCCGCCGTCTCTCTCCGCGGGCCGCGAGCGACGCGCGGCCTCGCCATGGCCGACGAGAGCACGGAGCCCGGCGCTGGCGAGGCGGCGGCCGAAGTGGCGGCGACTCCGACTCCGCCTCTGCCGGGCGCGAGGAAGAAAGGTGGGTGGGGTGGTGGTGGTGGGTGGTGGGGAGGTTGTGGTGGTGGTGGGGAGGTGGTGGTGGGTGGGGAGTTGGTGGTTGTGGTTGTGGGAGGTTGTGGTGGTGGTGGAGGTGGTGGTGGTGGGTGGGGAGGTGGTGGAGGTGGTGGTGGGTGGGGAGTTGGTGGTTGTGGTTGTGGGAGGTTGTGGTGGTGGTGGAGGTGGTGGTGGTGGGTGGGGAGGTGGTGGTGGGGAGGTGGTGGTGGGTGGGGAGTTGGTGGTTGTGGTTGTGGGAGGTTGTGGTGGTGGTGGAGGTGGTGGTGGTGGGTGGGGAGGTGGTGGAGGTGGTGGTGGGTGGGGAGGTTGTAGTGGTTGTGGTGGTGGTGGGGGGTTGTGGTGGTGGTTGTGGTGGTGGTGGTGGAGGTGGTGGTGGGTGGGGAGTTGGTGGTTGTGGTGGTGGTTGTGGTGGTGGTGGTGGAGGTGGTGGTGGAGGTGGGAGGTTGTGGTTGTGGTGGTGAAGGTGGGAGGTTGTGGTGGAGGTGGTGGTGGGTGTGGGAGGTTGTGGTGGTGGTTGTGGTGGAGGTGGGTGGTGGAGTTGGTGGTTGTTGTGGTAGGTGGAAAGTGGTGGTGGGGAGGCGGCGGTGGTGGTGGAGGGTGGTTGTGGTGGTGGTGGTGGGGGAGGCCATGTTGGGGAGGGAGAGTGACCCAGAAGACCGCCAAGGCACACGAGGGGGTGGGTGACCATCACCACGCCTGACCGCCTTTGTCTCTCCCCCGTGGCGTGGCGATGTTTACCGCACCAGGTACTGTCCTCATTTGAGTCTGAGTCGACCTAAGTGGGAGGTGTCCCAGACCCGAGTCGGATAACCCGCCACTGATGTTGGCCGTGAGTGGGAATCCAACTCGGGTCTCCGGGCGCGCCACACACAACACCGCCTTCACCACGTGGCGGGGACGTCAGCACGGCGCCTGTGCCAGGCTAGGTGCACTTTGTGGCTGCCACGTGAAGTGTCGAAGGCTCGCTGCTGGCCGGAGATCACGTGACAGACGCAGCAGGTGGCACGGGTCGACTGACTGAGATGACCGGCAGATGCACCACCTGTGCCCCTACTGTGCCAACTCGCTGTGTTTTAGCCACGCGACGCTCCGCTCGTTGTTGTGAGCGTCGCTTCTCTGCCCTCTGTTGTTGTTGTTGTTGGAGGGCGACTGCCTCCAACTGCCCAGCAGCGTCCTTCACTCATTTGTAGAGGGGCCACCAGGGGCCGTACTAAAGACCCCCAGGGGCCACACTAAAGGCCACCAGGGGCCACACTAAAGGCCACCAGGGGCCTCACTAAAGGTCACCAGAGGCCACACTAAAGGCCACCAGGGGCCTCACTAAAGGTCACCAGAGGCCACACTAAAGGTCACCAGGGGCCACACTAAGGGCCACCAGGGGCCGGACTGAAGGCCACCAGGGGCTGCACTAAAGGCCACCAGGGGCCTCACTAAAGGTCACCAGGGGTCTCGCTAAAGGCCACCAGGGGCCTCGCTAAAGGTCACCAGGGGCCTCACTAAAGGCCACCAGGGGCCTACTGTCTACCCCCTGTCTCTGCACCCCCCCCTCCCACCCTGCCATGGCCCCCACAGTGGACGTGCTGCTGAAGGCGGTGGGCGACGCTCCCATCATGAAGCAGAAGAAGTGGTCCGTGGAGACGGGGAAGACTGTCGCCTGGATCATCCAGTTCGTGCGCAAGTACATCAAGTGTGACGCCGCCGACTCGCTGGTGAGGGCACCTCCTGGTCCCCAGGGGCCTTGCTACCTTGACCCACATCCCTTTCACCAGCCCCGGACCCCAGGGGCCAAAGCAGTTTGTGCAGCCTGTGCCATTCAGCTTGTGCCGTGCAGTCTGCGCTGTTTAGTCTGTGCTGTGTTGCCCCGTATTATCTGTGCTGATTGTTTTGTTGATCTCGCTTCAGTTTCTCTACGTGAATCAGTCGTTTGCTCCGGCTCCAGACCAAGATGTGGGAACTCTGTTTGAGGTGAGGGCCAGTTTGACTCGGAACTTGACACGAGGAGTAGCACTCCCACTAGCACTCTTACTCGCGTTGCAACTAACACGCACACAATTATACTCGCATTACCACTCACACTAACCCTAGCTTTTAACGTGAGCGTTATAACCACCACAAGCTGTAACACTAGCACTAATACTAACGTGAGCATTAACACCACCACAAGCTGTAACACTAGCACTAACATGAACATTAACACCACCACAAGCTGTAACACTAGCACTAATACTAACATGAACATTAACACCACCACAAGCTGTAACACTAGCACTAGTACTAACATGAACATTAACACCACCACAAGCTGTAACACTAGCACTAGCACTAACGTGAGCATTAACACCACCACTAGCTGTAACACTAGCACTAACATGAGCGCAACACTAATGTTAACTGTTGTTGTACAGTAAATCGTCGTTTAACGTGCTAGCAGTGGATGCGATTCTGAAAAGTGCCGCGTTGAGCGAAAGACGTGTCAAGCGAGAACAATGTCCACGTCGCCGATGTAACAGCGACCAAGAAGTTTGGCGAGATACGATGATGTCACTACTACGACTACTCTGCACGCCGCGCAGTGAGATGGCGAAGGGTAACAAAAAGCCGAGGGGCCACCGCGTTTCTGCCGTATCGCTCCACGTTACCATGTCGCTGCACCGCTCAGCTGTGCGGCTCAAGAAAGTTGTTCGTCATTGACCACTCAGAAACCGCGTAATAACGGTGAACATTCCACGTTGTAGCGGTGCTCGTTCTAAGTTATGATGGCGCAGCGCGTTCTGCATTATGACAGCGGGCGTTCCGCGAAAAGTATTTCCTGCTGATAGTACCGCGTTGTTGCAAAAACGTGTCGTGTAAACGCCAAGCGTGAAGCGAGGACTTACCGCTCAGGGGCCTCTCAAGGGGTCAATAAAACTCTTAACTACGAATTGTTTTATATTTTACCAGGTAAGGCCCACTCAGCTGTGCAGCTCTTGTTCAGCAGCGACCTGGCTAGCACTAATGACAGCTCAACGAAGCGGCTCACGCGGAAATTTCTAGCAGCTAAATCCTCTAAACGCGTGTTTCTAAATATGGTGAGAAAAACCGGAGGACCCGGAGACAAATCCATGCAGCAGCAGGCGCCTGGGGTCGGGATCAAACCCACGACCTCCTGTGCACCAGGCGAGGTAGTCAAAATCTCGCCACCGTCTTAAGTAGCACGTGCCATCGAATCACCGAGCGCTGTGCTGTGTATCCCCGCAGTGTTTCGGCAGCGACGGAAAGTTGGTTCTACACTACTGCAAGACGCAAGCGTGGGGTTAACCAACTCTACTTCTTCTTCGTCCGGATCTCCTCCTCCTGCAGATCAACCGGTCTCAACACCCCCCCCCCCCCCCACCTCGGCTCCATCCTCTTGAGAAGTCGTCCTGATGGGCGTAGTAGCCACTTCAGATATCGTCGCTGTGGGTTTTAGAACGGGGTATGTATATTGAACTTTTTTCACGCCGTACGGAGCCAACCTCACGAATCGGAGGTGCGGGGGGGGAGGACAACAAACTAAACACAAAAAACTGTTTTAAAGAAATCAGTTTTCAATCTCGACTAGTTAAACGTGCGTGGCTCGCAGTGGCTTCCTAATATCGACAGGAGCGTTCCAGACGGCCGCACAAGTGCATCTGATAGCGTGCGATGCGGTGACCGTCTTTGTTCGATGGTAGACCGGAGTTCGCGTGTTGATGGTTTATGCTCCTTGACGAGATCGGCAAGGAGTTGTGGTTAATTTGTGGTGAGCACTTTGTGTGTAACGAGCGCCACCTTGTACGAGGTTCGCCGCTGATTGGGCATCGTCGGTAACACGGAGACTACGCCGCCCGCCGCCTGTGCCGCAGCCTTGGCCGTCTTGAGTTGGGGGACCGCTTTGTGGGATGTCAGCAGTGGTTGTACTTTGGAAAGACTGGCCTCTACCGTGGGAATGTGGAATTTCCATCGCTGGCTCAGTGCTGCCAATGGGGCAGGGAGACGCATAGAAACACACAGCCACAGGTAATTGCAGCTGCTTTGTCAATCACCGCTGGATGAATACCTTCCCACATCAGCCACACAGTTACGATGGTCTCTGAAGTTTTAGGTGTGCGAGTTTTATTTGTGTGTCGTGTAGCGGTCAGCGCTACGCCGCACTATGAACACGGCGACCCGAGTTTGATTCCCGCTCACGGCCAACTCCAGTGACGATCATCTGAACCGGTCCTGGGCCTCCCCTAGGTCGACTCTGCCTCAAATAAGTATCTGGTGTGGTGTGTAAACATTGCGACTGGGGAGACAAAGGCGGCCGGGCGTAGTTCTGGCCACCCACCCTCTCGTGCGCCGTGCCGGCCTTCGTAGGTTCTGCTATTAGCTAACAGCACTTTCCCCAACAGCCTGTTAAGGCTATTCGGGGCATCTCTGTCTTTGTGTGTGTATATATTGTAATTGATATAGTCATCACATTGACTTAAGAATAGTACGTGGGCTTGGGAAGGACTCAACTAAAATAAAGCCCACGAGCACAACGAAGTGGCTTTTGTGGCAATTTATAGCAGGATCCAAATACTCTAAATGCACATTGATTCTAAATGTGGAGGGGAAAGTCGGGGGACCCAGAGAAAAAATTACGTGACCATGAAGAGAGAGAGGGACACACGCAAACTGACGACCTCCTGTATACCAGGCGAGGTAGTTAACATCTCCTAGCCACAGCGGGGTCACGTGATTGGACGTGACGATAACCGCCGGTCGTGGCTAGAGATGGAGCGGCAGCCAAAGGGGAGAACAACAACCGGCAGGGCAACCACCACGGAGATGGAACGGTGAAATCTGCTCATCGCGAGGCCACGAAGTTTATGGCAACGAATTTGGGAGGCCTTCATCCGCCAGTGGATAGAGCTTGGCTGATGATCAAGGTGTACTGTATATATATTTATTTTAGTTTCACGCCTCTCCATGGAGGTAGTATAATTTCTGTCGATTGAAACGGTCACCGGATGGAATGTGTCGGTGGACCTTTTAATGGTGTTCCCTCTTATTGGTGCTCATCAGCATGACTGGGCCACTGTCGTTGTGGATCTGGGCTTGAGTGAGGTTCACTTCAATTATAAGTCATCAGCAGGGCATGGCCACTGCATGCAAATGCCTTGACTCAAATGAGCAAAGGGGCGGCACTCACCTCTGTTGACTATAATCCAGCGATGGAAATTCCTTGTTACCATGGCGAGGGCCAGTATGTTCGTAAGATGACCATGGGTGTTGGCTTCACACGTGGAGGGGAGGCCGGGTGGCTTGGAGGTCGGAGAAGCTGAGTTCCTGGGTTCCAGTCCGGGTTTCGGTCGTCTTGTGATTACACCGGGTTGTCAATCGTAGTGGGGCTGATGGTCTCGGCCGGGTCGGCAGTAGCTTGCACCAAGGTCCATGTATTCACCTGTGGGGCTTGAGACTCGCACAGAGATGCGATGACTCGCATAGGCTTGGTTCTGATGAAACTGGGTTCTCGAGTGCATTAAGTTGATGTTCTCAGCCCCGGTCACCAACGGCTGCACACACAAAAACCCCGATCGCATCACGTTTTATTCTGCACTGAATTTGGCTAAAGTCCAATTCTGAGAATTAAAATATTAAGTTTGACCGCCACGCGACGTCGATCACTCTCATGTAGCGGAGCGAGCGGGAAAGTGCCGCTCGCCACTGTGTATGGACCCGAGTTCCACTTGTGGAAGAATCAGAAAGGGATCTTGGCAGCTCTGTGATATCCACTTCCGCGGGCCGTTGTTTAACATTGCGAAGGGTTGGTTGGCACTGCTCTTGCCATATTTTCCGAACGCATTCTTCATCCCGTGATGATGCGACGCCCGTCTGGTAAGAAAATATAATTTTGTTTAAATGTGAATACGATTGCAGGCCGGGTCCCCCGCTTTTCCGACGCCACAATGGGTTCCTGGAAACTCCGTCCGTCGTAAACCGGACTCCTCTATTCGCAGCGGCGGTAGAAGCAGTCGACACGTCACTTGCCGATGTCGTTTTATTCCTTCTCTCGGCCCTATTCAACCGGCTTTTATCGGCAACAATCCACAAAAGCACTCGAGAATAACAAAAGGCTCCGCGCCAAGTCGCATCGGAAACCAGACTGACTCTGTTCGAAGGTTGTTCGGAGTCGTGTCAGAAGGTGCATCGTTAATCCAGTTTCTTCGTGGTAAATCGATCTGTGGTGGTCGTATCTAACCGTGGTAAACGGGAGACCGCCTGCACGTCACTCGGTTCTCAGTTTAGTCTTCCCGGAGTGATGGTGGCGGTGATTGCGGTTACCCCGAGGGTGACGTCGACGGTGCCGATGGTGCCGATGGTGCTCCTTGTCCGTGCTGATATCGGTTTTTCCATTCCTGGGGGTCATCAGCGACGCAGCCACAAACTTAGTGACATTTGCTTGTCGCGGGGTTGTTGAGGTATTACGGAAGGAGAAAAAGTATGCATTATTATTAATATTATTGTAAAAAAAGAACGCTTATAAAGACACTGGCTTGTAAATACAATTTGCGTTTCAATTATGTGCCAAGGTGCGTGATTTGTTTTTAATCGCGTACGAGTCTTTTTCATCATCCCAAGGAGCGTCCGTGCGGCCCAGCGAGCTGGGTTGTGGCTCTGCGTCCTTGCCGTGCGCGCAGAAACGCACCTGGGAGTCGCACGTTGAGCCGCGCCCGGCTGAAGGAGTTTGGACGAATCCACCTGTTGCCACCGCCAAACCGCAGTGTGGAATTTGTGTGATTCTCCCCCTGTTCTGCAGTGTGGACAGATGTCATTACTGATACGTTCCATTGTTTAGTCTGTGCCCTCATTCTATGGGAGCGCACTCTGTGTGTTGCAGATAAGCGAACATTTCTGAAACTATTTATTGTTACTATAATTATAAAGGTATCGAATGACGCAGCGTTAAACGGATGCTGTTAATTTTCATCGATAATGATCGTCCCGTCAGAACATTTTTTTAAAAAATGTTATAACATTTCATTTGTTAGAACTGATTTTATTTAATTTGTTATAACAAATTTAATGTTCTGACGGGACGACTGCATGGCGAGCGCCATGTTGACTTGTTTATTTTTCATACTTTGATACTGACACACAGGGTATCGCAGGATATCGCTGCTCTCCCCGACCTCTACAACAACAACCGCCATTCGCCACTAAGTGGCGGTGACGTCACCACGACGCTTGTGCCAGGTCATGTGCACCTTGAGGCCACGTGAAGTGTCGAACGCCCGCTGGCAGGTCACGGGGCAGACCCAGGTGCCACGGGTCGACTGACTGAGATTACTGACTGATGCACCACCTGTGCCCCCTGCTGTGCCAACTTGCTGATGCACGCTCTGGGTTCTCTGGTCTGACACTGACGAGGCCATCAAGAAGGCTGTCTGGTGCAGGCCAATCAGTTTCACAGACAATGCAAATCTTATCAGAGCACGTCTTGTTGGCATGTTCACCACAAGTGCCGTGGTTAATGCAGTACTAGATTACGTGCAAGAGGTGTTTGATGTTTGAACTTTTTAAACACCTCCCGCTTTATTGCCAGACAGGGTTAAACCTTCTTTTTCATACTTTGATCCTGGGAAAAAGGTCACGTGACATTGCTTTACTTTCGTTTCAGCCGAAATCCTTGTTTGATCGTTACTTTTATGTGTATTATGCCTCCCTTACAGCGAGTGGACGACTTGTTATCATTGCAAAGAAATTCCAACGAGCAGTCAACAAGTGGCAAAAAGAATAAAAACAACGCTCAATTCAATTTAAATAGAAAAATGATGGATTCCTGTTTCTCTGCATTTGTATGCAGAGAGAAGAAACAGTGGCAGATATGCTCAAAGCCCAAATATCTGACGAGCTGATCGGCAGCTTTGCGAATGTTTACATTTCTCTCAGGAACTACCTTGCCATATTGGGAATAACTTGTGAAGGGGAGCGTTCTTTTTCGAAGCTAAAGCTGATTTAAAAAAAAAACTCTCCGATCAACCACAGGACAACAACAACAACGCCGCCTTTGTCTTCTCTCGCCCCGCTACTCTCGATTGAGAATGAGATTGTACCATTTGTAGATGTTTATTTTGCTAATTTCGTAATTCAACAAATCTCTAAAATGTAATCTCCGGTGTTAATTTCTCTCTCACCTCATGAAAAACAAAACGGTTGACATGACTCGTCATCTTTGTATCTACACCGCTGCCGAACCTTTAATCTCTATAAATATATTTAGTCCAGAATATATACTCTTAGGTTTTTTCGGTAAAGTAACGTAGGTAAAAATAAATATAAATAATAGAAATAAAATAATAAATCACCACGTTTCGGAGGCAACACAAGTCTCCGTCATCAGGTGGGACCGTCACAGCTAGATTTACTGTATCAAGTGAAAAATTCAACTTGTATTTAAGGGCTTGTCTCTTGGATTTTTCCTCACTTGATACAGTACATTTAGCTGTGACGGTCCCACCTGATGACGGAGACTTGTGTTGCCTCCGAAACGTCGTGATTTATTATTTTATTTCTATTATTATTTATTTTGTATTTTTACCTACGTGACTTTACCGAAAAAACCTAAGAGTATGAATCCTTGCAGTCACGAAAGCTTCAAATCTAGAATCAAGAAGATGTCTCGGTTAAATTTCGATTTAAAGTTTTCGTGACTGCAGGGATTCATCTTCTTGGTTCTTTCGGTAAAGTCACGTAGAATGGAAATTATAAAATAATAAAAATAAACCAATAAAATAATTCTCACGACGTTTCGGCCACAACGCAAGCAGCCGTCCTCAGGTGAAGAACAGGTCTATCGAGAAGACAGAGTCTGAATTCAGACTGAGGACGGCTGCTTGCGTTGTGGCCGAAACGTCTTGAGAATGATTTTATTATGTTTTAATTTTATTATTTCCATTCTACGTGACTTTACCGAAAGAACCAAGAAGATATCTCGGTTACATTTTTATCGTCGGCCCCTTTGGTGACCGCAGGCCATGGACACGTGGCGGATTGGGTCACTGCGATGTCGCCGGGTGGTGGAGGAGGATTGGTTGAACGTCGCTGGAACATTGCTCTGCAAATCACTCGGCCGCCTTCACACAACAACAACAACAGCGGCAGCAGCGGCAGCAGCAGCTGCAGCGACAACTTGGCAGGGAGCCTCCTCGCAAATCATCTTGAGACCCAACAAAACCCGAATACGGATGAGGCTTTCCTGGTGAACGAGCGGATTAATTAAAGCAGCTGATGGCTCGGTGGGTTTTACGTAATAAAATAGAAATTTATTTGTGTGTTTAGAGTGATTTGTTTACATTTCCTATACTTTGCACGCCTATCGTGTGTTTGTGTCGTGTTTGTTGTTGTCACGTTCTGACCCCGTGCCCGTACGGGACATCTGCTTTAAAAAGAGCTTCATAGCTCATCGGATTCCTCCTGCAGTCTGCAGCATCCTGTGAATCCTCATGGACAGATGATGAGGCAGGAGAATGTCGACGGATGACTGGAACACGCAACTCGTGGCTTCATGACGTCTTGTGGCGATGCTGCCAAACCTGCTGCCGCTGCGTTGGCAAGTCGGGCACAGGCAGCAGCAACTCGACACGACCCATGTCACCACCACCACCACCACCACGTGTGTGCGTGTGGGGAGGCTCGTGAAGGACCATGCTGCTGCTGCTGCTGGGCAGTTGGAGGCAGTCGCCCTCCAGCAACAACAGCGGAGGGCAGAGGAGTGACGCTCACAACAACGAGCGGAGCGCAGGGCAGATAAAACGCAGCGAGTTGGCACAGGTGGTGGTGCAGCCATCTCAGTCGACCCGTGGCACCCGCTGGGTCTGTCCCGTGACCTCCTGCTCCTCCTGCTGCTGCCAGCAGCGAGCCTACGACACTTCCACGTGGCAGCCACAAAGTGCACCTAGCCTGGCACAGGCGCCGTGGTGACGTCACCGTCACTTGGCGAATGGCGGGTATTGGTATTGGAGTTAACACGGAAAGCAATAGACGACGTTTCGGGCAACGGCCCTTCACAACACATTCACAACACGTCCATAGCACATGTTCTGGTGCCATGAAGAATGTGCCATGAAAAAGGGTCGTTGCCCGAAACGTCGCCAACTATATTCTATGTTGTTGCTTTTCAAGCCACACACACACAGAGACTTGTTTTGGACGAACGCGGTGGGTTTTAACTCATCATGTGACAGAGAAGATTACGTAATACGCGTGAATGCGTCAACACGCGGACCCGCTCGTCACGCTCTGCGCGATGACGTCATGACGCCGTCCTTCAAACCGTTGCCCGCAATGAAACCAGAACTCGCCAGCATTGCGTGATGACGTCAGCACGATTAAACGTCATCACGCATCCGCCGCACGCAAAGCTTGGGCTCTGAAACCATGCGCGTCACCATTACGTAATGACGTCATCGCATACCCCCCCCCCCAACCAAGCATTGACAATGTAACCGTGCGTGTCAGCATTGCGTGATGACGTCACCGCATCACCCACCTCCCCAGCACACCATGACAGCCATGCGTGATGACGTCACCGCATCACCCACCCCCCCAGCACACCATGACAGCCATGCGTGATGACGTCACCGCATCACCCACCCCCCCAGCACACCATGACAGCCATGCGTGATGACGTCACCGCATTACCCACCCCCCAGCACACATAGACAGCAATGCGCAATGACGTCACCCCGTCGTTTATTGCTCGCGTTTTGAAATCGTGCGTGCCAGCATTGCGCGATGACGTCACGACGCCAATTGACGTCACTACGTCAGTGGCGTCATCCTGCGTCATGGCGGTTTGGTCGGTCGGTGCGGTCGTTCGCTGTTAGTGAAGATTATTCTCCCGGTTTTAAAGTTGAATTTCGAACAAATCTCAGCCATGTCTGGCTCGGCGGACTTCATCCTGCCTCAGAAATGTACGCCGCGTATTTTCGCCGACAGTTTTTAGGTTTTATTTCGGACAAATCCCCTCGACCCGAGCCCCCAGCTCTCTCGCCTAGCGCCGCTGCCCGGAGAGAAGACCGTTTTCCCGCTGGAGGCGCTAGGCCGCACGGCGTCTCGTCGGGGTTCGGTTTTCTTCACTCCTTAACGTCACGTAAGAGATGTATGAAGGTTTTGTGATTGTTTTGAGCCGTCAAAGTTGATGTGTTTTAGGTGTATGCGGAGTACGTGTATGTAATGTGTTTGACGTATAATGTAATCGTGTGTGTAATATAATCAGCCGCGATCTCTCCACTGCTGGCTTAAGTCATCCTGCCATCCATCTCCGCTTGCACATCGCTCCATCTCCGCCTGCACATCGCTCCATCTCCGCCTGCACATCGCTCCATCTCCGCTTGCACATCGCTCCATCTCCGCTTGCACATCGCTCCATCTCCGCTTGCACATCGCTCCATCTCCGCCTGCACATCGCTCCATCTCCACTTGCACATCGCTCCATCTCCGCTTGCACATCGCTCCATCTCCGCCTGCACATCGCTCCATCTCCGCTTGCACATCGCTCCATCTCCGCCTGCACATCGCTCCATCTCCGCCTGCACATCGCTCCATCTCCGCTTGCACATCGCTCCATCTCCGCTTGCACATCGCTCCATCTCCGCCTGCACATCGCTCCATCTCCGCTTGCACATCGCTCCATCTCCGCTTGCACATCGCTCCATCTCCGCTTGCACATCGCTCCATCTCCGCCTGCACATCGCTCCATCTCCGCTTGCCCATCGCTCCATCTCCGCCTGCACATCGCTCCATCTCCGCCGCTGCGTAGACGCGTTCCCTCTGCTGGCTGCCGTTCCGTCACCAGCCTCCCCGCACCGACCCTGTGTATGTTCTTGTGTGCGCGTGCACCTAGCCTGGCACAGGCGCCGTGGAGACGTCACCGCCACTAAGTGGCGAATCGCGGCCGTGTTGTTGTTGTTGTTTGTCGGGAGCGGTGGGGGAGCGGTTAGCGCGCTGCGCTACGATCTCGGCAAAGGTGCGAGGCCGTGAGCGGTGGCGATGATCTTAACCGGTCCTGGGCCTCCTCTAGGTCGACTTGGCCTCAAACGAGTACCTGGTGTGCTGTGTAAACATTACCACTGGGGAGACAAAGGCGGCCGGGCGTGGTGCTGGCCACCCATCCCCCCACGTGTGCCGTGCCGGCCTTCATAGGTGATTCTGGCTCACAGCGCTTGCGCCAGCAATCTGTTCAGGATTAAGGCGACACGGGGGATCTTTGTGTGCGAGTGTCAATATTGCGTTTGAGATTGTGGCAGTCTATTGCACTGCGCTAAGAACCCGGCGAGTTACATTCCCGGCCACGGATATCATCAGTTGCGAATATGTTTCTATATGTACGGTGATAATGTGTACGTGTTTTAGACATGTAAAATGTACATTATAAAAGTATGTAATTGAATGTATATGTGGACGTATAGTGTAACGGTTAGCGAACCCAGCGACACGAGTTCGATTCCCGTTCACGGCCATCACCAGTGACTTATCTGAACCGGCCACGGGCCTCCCCTAGGTCGACTCAGCCTCAAATGAGTACCTGGTACGGTGTGTAAACATCGCCACTGGGGAGACAAAGGCGGCCGGGCGTGGTGCTGGCCACCCACCCCCTCGTGTGCCGTGCCGGCCTTCATAGGTGCTACTCGCTAACAGCACTTGCTCCTACAGTCTGTTTAGGCTACACGGGAGATCTTTGTCTATATATGGGCAACTGCTGAGTTTGCACATCGTAAGCGCAATTAAAGTATTGCTGCCACGACACCTTTAAAATCCCAGTTTCGGGAATTGATCTATGGGTTTGCTGGCTCCCATCGTGAGAGTTGTAGATGTGACGTTGCTGTGCCCAGTGGTGCCTGCTATAACGTAGGGAAGAGTCTTGGCGCTCTATACTAGTGGTTTGGGTGGGATTGCTGGCACCCGTAAGAAGACATTTTTGCATTTCCAGCACTGCCTGGGGGAGACTTTAAGCGCAGCCTTGCACAAGTTTTGCGGTCTGTTGTGTTCCGTGAATTGTGTGTGCGTGGCTAGCGGTTAGCGCCCTGCCCTGCGTAACGAACCCCGCCACCCGAGTTCGATTCCCTCTCGTGGCGGCCAACACCGGTGACGATTATCTGAATCGGTTCTGGACCTCTCCTAGGTCAAATGAGTACCTGGTGCGGTGTGTAAACATCGCCACTGGTGAGACAAAGGCGGCTGGGAGTGGTGGCTGGCTACCCACCCCTTCGTGAGCCGTGCCAGCCTTCATAGGTGTTGCTCGCTAGCAGCACTTGCCCCAACAGTCTGTTGGAGGCGACACGGGGGATCTTAGTGTGTGTGTGTGCATGTGCGGGCGGACGCAGTGGTTAGCGCACTGCGCCACAAACCCGGCAACTTGGGTTCAGTTCCATTTCCGAACTGGCCGTGGAAAATATTCAGTGGTGAGCGATGTCTGAACTGATTTGTGGGCCTCCCCTAGCTCTAGTCGGCCTTAAATGCATCAGCTCTGGGAAGACGGGCAAAAATGTATCATGGTTCTCAAGTCCACACCACCCTGGTTGTGTTGCTAGCACTATGACCGGCAACCTTTGTCTACGTTTGGGCTACTTTAAAGATTGCTCGTGTAACAGCAGCACGTATTAAGGCTGTGTATACACGTGTGTATGTGTGTGCTTGTACGGGCGTGGTGCTGGCCGCTGACCCCCTCGTGTGCCGTGCCGGCTTTAATTGGTGCTATTCGCACTTGCCCAAACAGTCCGCTCCAGGCTATACGGGGAATCTTTGTGTGTATTTGTGTAGGTACATGTTCTTGTATGTGCGAGTGTATTTCTGCGTGTAAGGTGTATGTAATTATGCAGATGAATAAACAATATATCCCGAAAAAAAATATCATCAGCAGCTAAAGTAGCAATAAATCCACTGCTGGAAAGGCACTTCGTCTCTGTCTCTCACAGCGCACCAATCCATCTCAAGCACTTGCGCACGAGCTGGTGTAACCGCTCCATCTCCGCACGAGGCAGTCTTCTCTGGCCGTGTTGGCTGCCACATGTACATATTTCATGGTGCTGGCCACCCGCCCCCTCGTGTGCCGGCCTCCGTAGGTGCTGCTGCTCGCGAACAGCGCTTGCCCCGACAGTCATCTTGCCCTTTGGGTCTTCGGTAAAGCCACGTAGATAGGAAAAATATCAAAATCTTGCGACGTGGCTTCACCAAAACACCCAAATAATGTGAATTCCTGCAGTCACGAAAGCTTTAGGTCAAGAGTCATCTTGTCGTTTTAGGCGAAGCTGAAATGTCCATCTCATTGTACATTGGCTGCGTGGTGGCCCCCACGTACAATGTGTCCGGCGATGGCGATACAGTTGCGAAACACACGAGGGGAAGTTAACTCCACTTTGCTTCCTCGTCACAGCGCCGAGCGTAGTGTTGTGATCTCTGTGTGTGTGCATGTTGAACGTCTTTCTGCACCGTACGTAGGATGTGCGGGGGGGGGGGGGGGACCACAAACTAAACACATAAAGTGGCTCTCAAGACAGGGGGGTTGGGGGGGGAGCCAGGCTCCGACAGATGGAAGGGAGCTTGAGTCATGGACCTGACAGATGGATTGGAGGGAGCTTGAGTCATGGACCTTAAAGATGGATTGGAGGGAGCTTGAGTCATGGACCTTAAAGATGGATTGGAGGGAGCTTGAGTCATGGACCTGACAGATGGATTGGAGGGAGCTTGAGTCATGGACCTTAAAGATGGATTGGAGGGAGCTTGAGTCATGGACCTTAAAGATGGATTGGAGGGAGCTTGAGTCATGGACCTTAAAGATGGATTGGAGGGAGCTTGAGTCATGGACCTGACAGATGGATTGGAGGGAGCTTGAGTCATGGACCTTAAAGATGGATTGGAGGGAGCTTGAGTCATGGACCCTAAAGATGGATTGGAGGGAGCTTGAGTCATGGACCTTAAAGATGGATTGGAGGGAGCTTGAGTCATGGACCTTAAAGATGGATTGGAGGGAGCTTGAGTCATGGACCCTAAAGATGGATTGGAGGGAGCTTGAGTCATGGACCTTAAAGATGGATTGGAGGGAGCTTGAGTCATGGACCTTAAAGATGGATTGGAGGGAGCTTGAGTCATGGACCTGACAGAGGGAGGTCAAGAGTGCGGAGCCGGTGCGGTTACAACGCAGCTTTCCTGCCTGTGATCAGAATCTTTATTGAGACTGCAGGAAGAATGCGATGAGCTATGAAGCTCTTTCTGCAGATGTCCAGTCGGAGCACGGAGGTCAGAAAGTTAGAAAAAAAAACAATACAAACAGACAATATGAGTGCAAACAATAGGAAAGGTAAACACAGCACTACAAATTGTATTTTTGTTTTTGAAAAATAATCTAATTGTATTTTGCCATGTAAATCCCACTGAGCTATTAGCTTATTTTTCAGAAGCGACCTGGTCATCACAAATGATAGCTCAACGAAGTGGCTTATCATCACGTAAACATTTATAGCAGCCAAATAATCTAAATTCACCACAAACTCCAAATATACAGCAGGCGTCAGGGTCGGGATCGAACCCCCGACCTCCTATATTCCAGGCGACGAAGGTAACATCTCCTAGCCACCGTGTGTAGCCAGTTGAAGATGGTCTCAGTCCAGGCACTGGGGAGACAAAGGTGACCAGGCATGTGGTGTTGAGCTAGATCACGCTCTCCGTGTGCAGTGGCAATGTTTAACAGCACTCCTCGCTAACAGCACTTGGCCCAACAATATTTAAGACTGTAAAGTGGATCTGCAACTCCGTGTCTGTGCTCGTGTGTGTGCCGTTGCAGATAAGTCATCATGGTTCAACAGTACCAGTCGCCTGTGCGAGTCTACAAGTTCCCCTTTGAGATGGTGATGGCGGTGAGAAGCACACACATACGTACAAATACATACTCGTACACAAAGACTAAGCTCCCCCGATCGTGTGCCTTGCCGGCCTTCATGTGGGGGGGGTGGGTGGCCAGCACCACGCCCCCCCCCCAGGTCACAATGTTTATACACCACACCAGGTGATCTTTTGAGGCTGAGTCAACATAGGGGAGTCCCAGGACCAGATCGAATAAGCGTCAAAGGTGTTGATCATGAGGTAGGAATCGAACCCGGGTCCTCGAGTTTGTAGCGCAGCGCGCTTACCGCTGCACTGCCACTTCCCACATACATGCTCATACACATATATATACATGCTCACTTACACACATACATACACAGACCACTCATACACACATGTACATACTCACATATACACATACGTACTGCTGTTGACATATACAAGGTGGCTCAAACCACACCCGGCCGCCTTTGTCTCCCTAGTGCTGATGTTTACACATCAGCACCAGGTACTAATCTAAGGCTGATTCGACCTCGGGGAGACCCAAGATTGGTTCAGATATTCGTCACACACACGTTATATACACACACACACTGTACACGCAATCACCCATTTATTAGTTCACGCAATTACTCACTTATACGCTACTTTCTCGCTCACTCGCCAACTCAATTGCACATTCCCACACCCATTCACTCGCACACTAAACCACTCACCAACCGGTTCACCCTCTGACCCGTCCACTCACAAACCCACTCGCTTAACCACTCGCTCACCCACGTACTCAACCACTCATTCACTTACCCACTGATTCATGCTGTCACTCACCCACCCTTAATAACCCCCTCACTCACTTCCACACTCACCCACTCATTCATTCATGTAAGTCTCAAAGGGCTCTCACCTGGTTAAATAAAGGGTTCTAATAATACTGTGTCTGGGGTATCGAATGTTCTGTTCCAATTGTCTTGGGCAAGAAATCAACTGCGTCACCCTTTGCAAGCAGGGGGTAAACACGAGCTATATCACATTACTTCCGCAAAGAACAACACATCCTACGTGCGCAAGCATACTGTAATGTACAAAGGCAAAGATCCTCTGTGTAGCCTCCATAATATGTTGGGAAAGTCCTGTTTGTGCACACAAATGTATACACACAATAAGAGAAACATCCCCCCTGTATCCTCGTCAGACTGTTGGGATAAATGCTGTTAGCGAGCAGCACCTATGATGGCTGTAACGGCACACGACGGGGTGGGAGGGCAGGACCACGCCCAGTCGCCTTTGTCTCCCCAGTGGTGATGTGTTATACAGCGCACTAGGTACTCATTTGAGGCCGAGTCTATCTAGACGAGGCCCATTACAGGTTTTTACGTCACTGATATGATCCACAGCACTTGCCCCAATAGTCTCTATGAAGGATCTTTGTCTTTGTGCACGCACAAGGTATGTGGGTGTGTTCACACTTATGTTAGGAGCGGTGGTGCAGTGGTTAGCACACTGCGTTATGACCCCGACGATCGACTGGTGCGATGTATGCACATCTCCACCAGGGAGACAAAGGCGGCCGGGCGTGGTAATGGCCACCCACCCCCTCGTGTGCCGTGCCGGCCCACACGGGCGCTGCTACTCGCTAACTGCGCTCGCCCCAACCGTTCAGAGCGGTTGTGGTGGGTGCGGTTGTTTAGGCTCCGGTTCCCCAACTATTGTGCACTCGTGGTGTTTGTGCTTGTATCTATATCTCTGTAAATAAATCAACAGAGGGGGCTGTGTTGCCAGTCTTGCCGAGTCGGCGGTTAAATCGTTTTAAGCCCCTGGGCTGTAGGAACCGGTATTTTCCGTCGGCGTGAGGTCTTTTTTGTTTAAGCAGGCAAACTGGAGAGCGGTGTTTGACCTTTCTGGGTCTCAGAAGGTCAAAACTGCTCCTTAAAGGCTTGCCCCAACAGGTTATGTAGCCTATTAGAGAGAAATATGTCTGTGTATGTATGCATGTGGTTTCATGTGTTTGTGTGTGCGAGTTTGTGTCGGGGGGGGGGAGCGGTAGTGTAGCGGTGAGCGCTACGCTACGAACCCGGCGACCCGAGTTCGATTCCCGCTCACGGCCATCAACACCAGTGACGATTTTCTGAACCGGTCCTGGGCCTCCCCTAGGTCAACTCGGCCTCAGATGAGCACCTGGCTTGGTGTGTAAACATCGCCACTCGGTAGACAAATGTGGCTTGGTCGTGGCGCTGGCCACCTACCCCCTTGTGTGCCATGCCGGCTTTCATAGATGCTCACAACCAGCACTTGCCCCAATGGTCCGTTAAGGTCACCCGGGGGATCCCTGTCCCTGTGTGTGTGTGTGTGATACGTTCAGGCTACACGGGGTGGGGGGGGGGTCTCTGTCCTCGTGTGTCTTTGTGATACGTTAAGGCTCCATGGGGGGTCTCTGTGTGTGTGTGTGTGACGCGACAGGCGTACGAGCGACGCTTCCCCACCTGCCCTCTCATCCCGGTGTTTGTGGGGAGCGAGCGTCTGGCGGAGCAGCGCAGCGAGGACGGCGCTCTGCACGTCATCGAGAGGAGGTGCAAGCTCAACGTGGAGGCGCCGCGCCTGCTCAAGAAGGTGATCATTGTCGTAATTATCATTAAGTAATTAAATTTCATACAGCGTCATTCATGCGAATTGAAACTCAACTAAATTAGTTTTTGATTTTAACAGGTAAGGTCCACTGAGCAATGTGGCTCTTTTTTTTAAGCGACCTGGCTTTTAACAAGGTGGCTGATATCATCATCATGTGGACATTTGAACCTTATGGCAGGACCCCGGGATGCCATAAGCCACCGGCTCTCGCATCAACTGCGTTGCGACGTCATTTTATGTCCGTTGAAGGCGAACGATACGGCGATCTATTCCTCTCGACGAGCTCTACGCGATGCGCTAATCAAAGTTTCAAAGTTTTGTTTCTTCTGCGCATTAATTCTCACTGTGCTTGGACGATGTGACAACAGAATGATCCGCGCCAGGTGGATTTTGTGGCGTTTATGTGCGCGGTGGTACGGAGTCACCAAAAGTAAATAAAAAAATTACGATTTTGACTTCCATTTACAGCAGCCAAATAATTTAAACGCATGTTGATTCTGAATGTGGAGGGAAAAACCTGAGAACCTGGAGAAAACTCCACACGGCCACGGGGAGAGAGAGGCATGCAAACTCCAAATATGCAGCAGGCGTCAAGGTCGGGATGTATCTCACTACCTCCTTCATACCAGTTGAGCTCGGGCCTCCCCAGGTCAACTCGTGGTGCGGTGCGTAAACATCGCCATGTGGGAGACAAAGGTGGCCGGGCGTGGTGCTGGCTGCCCCACTCTCGTGTGCCGAGTCGGCCTTAATAAGGTGCTGCTACTCGCGAACAGCGCTTGCCCCAACTCTCTCTAAAAGGCGATACGTGCATACGTACGCTGAACTTCTTCTGCACCGTACGTAGCCAGCCGTGCTAATTGGAGGCGCGGTTGTGTGGTGGGGTGGGTAAGCACAACAAACGAAACACAGAGGCGGTTGTGAAGCAGTGAGTTTTTAATCTATACGGGTATGGGGGGTCTTTGTTCTTTTTGTGCGTGCAGATAGCCGGCGTGGACTTTGTGTTCTTCATCCAGAAGAACACGCTCAACTGGCGCGAGCGCACGCTGCACATCGAGGCTCACAACGAGACGTTCGCCACGCGCGTCATCGTCAACGAGAAGTGCAGCTACAGCGTGAGCGCCGCCACTCGTTGTCATCGTCACCGTCATCACCATCATAATCACCATCGTCACCAGCGTCATCACCGTCATCATCACCATCGTCACCGTCATCATCACCGTCATCATCACCGTCATCATCACCGTCATCATCACCATCGTCACAAGCGTCATCACCGTCGACATCATCATCGTTGCAAACATCATCACCAACATCACCATCAGTATCGTTAACATCTCTGTCATCAACATTGTCATCTACTGTGCCGGCCTTCATAGGTGCTGGCTAACAGCACTTGCCCCAATAGTCTGTGTAGGCTAGATGGGGAATCTTTCTCTTTGTCATCCTCAGGTCCACCCTGACAATGATCAGTGGACGTGCTTTGAGCAGACGGCCAGCCTGGACATCAAGTCCTTCTTCGGCTTTGAGAGCTCGGTGGAGAAAGTGGCCATGAAGCAGTACACAGCCAACATCAAGAAGGTCTGCCACCCTCCCTCCGTAGTGTGTACGTGTGTGTGTGTGTGTACAATGTGCGTGTATGTACAATGTGTGTGTGTGTACAATGTGTGTGTGTCTACAATGTGTGTGTGTAGGTACTATGTTTGTGTATGCAATGTGGTGTGTCAAGTGTGCGTGTGTATCTGTGCGCGTCCTCGTGTGTGCCGTTCTGGCCTTCGTTCTGGCCTTCTGGTGCTCGCCAACGGCACTTGCCCCAAGAGTCTGTGAATGCTATACGGGGGATCTTTGTCTCGCCTTCGTGTACGGGGAGCGGTGGCACAGTGGTGAGCACGCTGAGCTTAATTAACTCGGCGACCGAGGTTCAGTTCCCTGTTGCGGCGAACATCTGAGACGAGTGATATCGGAGCATTGCCCCCTCTCGTGCCGTGCCGGCCTTCGGAGGTGCTCGCTCACAGCACTTGCTCAAGCAGCCTGTCAAGGCTATTCGAGTGACCTTTGTATTTGTTTTACAGAGTAAGGAGGCGATTGAGTTCAATCTGTGCCTCTGTGTGTGTGTATATATACAGTGGGGAGCGGTAGTGTCGCGGTTAGCGCTACGCTGCGCTATAAACCCGGTGACCCGAGTTTGATTCCCGCTCACGGCCAACACCGGTGACGCTTATCTGAACCGATCCTGGGCCTCCCCTAGGTTGACTCGGCCTCAAATGATAACCTGGTGCGGTGTGTAAACATCGCCACTATAGGGAGACAAAGTCGGCCGGGCGTGGTGCTGGCCACCCACCCCCTCGTGTGCCGTGCGGCCTTCGTAGGTGCTACTCACGAAGAGGACTTGCCCCAACAGTCTTGTTAAGGCTACACTGTGAGGGGGGGAATCTTTGTCTTTATACATGCAGTGGTTAGCTGGACCATTACCTGACGAAATGACAAAGTAATTTAGCACGAGAGCCGGTGGCAGCTGCAGCAGCAGCAGCTGCAGCAGCTGCAGCAGCAGCAGCAGTAGGTGGCGGTGGCGGTGCGCTGTGCCGCTCCCCTGGAGGCCGGCCTCCCGCTCTCTCTCCAGCGCTGTCTCAATCACTTTCTGCTCCTCCGCTCTTGTCTTCCCTTCACTCCACTTTTGGCCTTTCTTGCATTCTGCTCCTCCGCCTTTGTCTTCCTTCTACACCACCTTCCGCTCCCCTCCCCCCCCGCTCCATTGTGCTTGCCCACCGCATCTTTCCTGCGCCCCCGTTGTTTTTTGTGTCTCGTCTTGGTTTTGTTTTGTTCATTTTACTTCTCGGAGGACGTCGCCCACACCCTCAACGGTGAGTACCGTGGCGGCATCCAGCCCCCCCCTCCCTCCCCGTAAAATACGGCGCGGTCGTGGTACGGCACGGCAGTGTCACAGCAGAGCACATTTTTATTGTATTATACACGTATTTCGTAGAACGGTAAATTAATTGTAGATATGATTTACTTAATGCTATGTGGAGTACACGGGATCGTTTAGACGTTGTTCATTTGAATCCCATTAACTTAGCACGTCGTAGGTGTTCCCGGGCAATTTTACAATTCATCATTGATTTTTGGGTTTGGCCGCTACGTAACGATCACAGAATATCTGTGTCGTGCAACCCTCCACCACCCGACGTGGCCAAAGAGCAAAAGTTGTCACGTGGTGCAGAAGCGTCGTCGTTTCAGCTCGGTCACTGGTGAGCGGAGCAATCCTCACTACGATGAGGTAACGATGAGGTAACGCGGCGTTTCGTTTGAAACCGCGTCGGTCACCGTCGGGACATGAGAGAGAAAATGTCAAACATAGACAAAGTGTTTGTGTGTGTGCACAACACGTGGTTAGCGCTACGCTGCGCTCCGAACCCGGCGACCCGAGTTCGATCCACGCTCACGGCCAACACCAGTGACGATTATCTGAATCGGTGCTGGGCACTCCAATAGGTCGACTCGGCCTAAAATGATTACCCGGTGCGGTGTGTAAACATCGCCACAGGGGAGACAAAGGCGGCCAGGCATGGTGGTGGCCACCCACCTCCTCGTGTGCCGTGCCGGCCTTCATAGGTTTTCGTGAACAGCACTTGCCCCCGCAGTCGCGTCAAGGCACTACGGGGGATCTTTGTCTTGTGTGTATGTACAGTGTATGTCTAGCTGCTCGCTTAGCAGCACTTGCTGCAAATCGTTGTCTTGCCTTTGTCATCGTCTATGTCTATGCACGAATGCATTTTTACATCTGCACATGCAACGGTAGTGTCGTAGTTAACGCGCTGCACTCGGAAACCCGGCGACCCGAGTTCGATTCCCGCTCGTGACCAACAACCGTGGCGAGTTTTTGAACCGTTCCTGAGCATCTCCAAGGTCGACTGGGCCTCAAATGAGGACCTGCCGCAGTATGTAAACATCGCCACCTGGGGAGACGAAGGCAAACCGGGTGTGGAGTTGGTCACTCACCTTCTCGTGTGCAGTGCCGGCCTTCATTGGTTCTGCTCGCTAACAGTGCTCCGATTGGCACGGTTAGCTACGGTGCAAAAGAAGTTCTGTATGCATACGTACAGCACTCGCCTCATTAGGGTGGCACGCAGGAGGTCGTGGGTTCCATCCCGACCCTAACGCCTGCTGCTGTATATTTGGAGTTTGCAGGTTCTCCCCGTGGTCGCGTGGATCTTTCTCCCGGTCCTCCGCTTTTCCCCCCACCTTTAGAATCGGCGTCACGCGTTCAGATTATTTAGTCGCTCTAAATGTCTACGCGGTGACCAGCCACTTTGTTGAGCTATCATTGCCTGTGATAGCCAGGTCGCTTCTGATAAAGAGCTACACAGCCTTACCCGGTAACATAAAAATATATTTTTTTAGTTTAAAGGCTACACGGACGGGGGTGGGACCTTTGTGTCTTTGTTCCGCACGCAGGGAAAGGAGGTGATCGAGTTCTACCTGCGGGAGCTGCAGGACCTCGGCGTGTCTCACCTGCCGCGGTGGGACGCTGCCCCGGGCCTGCACGGCACGCCGGCCATCGTGGCGGCCGTGGCGCTGAGGGCGGCGGCCACGGCCGACCCCGGCGCCGCCGCTACGCTCCCCACCGTGGCGCCGGCGGGGTCGGGCATGGTGACTATCACAACCGGCGGGGAGGACGGAGGAGCGGAGGGAGGAGACGGCACGACCAGCGGTTAGTGCGCGCGCGTCGTGAGACTTTGTGTTTGTGTGCGATTATTATCTGAACCGGTCCTGGGCCTACCCTAGGTCGACTCGGCCTCAAACGAGTAGCTGGTGCGGTGCGTAAACATCGCCACTCGGGAGACAAAAGCGGTCGGGCGTGGTGCTGGCCACCCACTCCCTTGTGTGGCGTGCCGGCCTTCGTAGGTGCTCGCTAACAGCACTTGCCCCAAAAGTCTGTTAAAGCTATGCGGGCGATATTTGTCTTTGTGCGAGTGTTTAAGTGCGTGGTCTGTGTACGTTGGGTGAGGTACATAATTCGTGACTACGAGCAAAATAGAAGTAAGCTTGGGTTGGACATTACAAGGGACGATGGGCGGGTGATGGAATGATGGCCGAGGGAGAGAAGGGACACGGAGCACCAAGTAGATCAGACAACGAACGCAATGTTCAAACGGCTCCCGGGGATGAGGACCGATGGACGAGACGGAACGGCAGCCAAAGTGGGGAACACGCCCAGGGGCACGACTTCAGCGGAGATGGAGCGATGGCATCGGTCCCGCGCGCCGGAGATGGATTCCACCATCGTGCGGCCGTGCGGGACGGTGACGGGCGTGGGGAGGCCATCATCCAGCAGCGGAGAGTCAGTGTCTGTAAGATATTAATGATGACAACGACGATGATGACAGTGTGTGTGTTGTGTCCTTGTGTTTGTGTGTGCGCGCGTGTGCAGTGTTAATCTCGGCCGTGTCTTCGGCCGCAGTCGACCTGGGAGTCCCCACCTCCTCCCTGTTCGAGAATATCACAGCCACGCCCGATGGTACTACACACAATAAAGACAAACACCCCCCCCCCGCGTAGCCTCTAACACAATTTTGTGGCAAGTGCTGTTCGTCAGTCAACCCACGGCACCTGCTGAGCGTCCCGTGACCTCGTGCCAGCAGCGAGCCTTCGACACTCCACGCGATAGCCTCAAAGAGCGCCTAGCCTGGCACAGGCGCCGTGGTGACGTCGCAGCCACTTGGTGGCGAACGGCGGCTGTTATTGTGCCAGCACTTGCCCCAACGGTCTGCTAAGGCTACGTGGGGGATCTTTGTCTTGCGTGTCCGTGCACAGACAAGCTGGACGCGGATTACATCGAGCGGTACCTGGGGGAGTTGACGCCACTGCAGGAGAGCTGCCTCATCCGCCTGAGACTCTGGCTGCAGGAGTCGCACAAGGGCAAGGTGTGGCACTCACGCGCAGGGCACACAAAGTATACACACAGTGTATACACACAAAGTATACACACAAAGTATACACACAGAGTATAGACACAGAGTATGCACACACAGTATACACACAGAGTATAGACACAGAGTATGCACACAGAGTGTACACACAAAGTATACACACAGAGTATACACACAGAGTATACACACAGAGTATACACACAGAGTATACACACAGAGTATACACACAGAGTATACACACAGAGTATACACACAGTATACACACAGAGTATACACACAGAGTATAGACACAGAGTATAGACACAGAGTATGCACACAGAGTGTACACACAGAGTGTACACACAGAGTGTACACACAGAGTGTACACACAGAGTGTACACACAGAGTGTACACACAGAGTGTACACACAGAGTGTACACACAGAGTGTACACAAAGTATATACACAGAGTGTACACACAGAGTATACACAAAGTATATACACAGAGTGTACACACAGAGTATACACACAGAGTATACACACAGAGTGTACACACAGTATACACACAGAGTATACACACAGAGTATGCACACAGAGTGTACACACAGAGTGTACACACAGAGTATACACACAGAGTATACACAAAGTATCTACACAGAGTGTACACACAGAGTATACACACAGAGTATACACACAGAGTATACACACAGAGTGTACACACAGAGTATACACACAGAGTGTACACACAGAGTATACACACAGAGTATACACACAGAGTATACACACAAAGTATACACACAGAGTATACACACAGAGTGTACACACAGAGTATACACACAGAGTGTACACACAGAGTATACACACAGAGTGTACACACAAAGTATACACATGGCCAGGATGTGATGCTCGTACACACAGTAAAAACACAGTACACGCAAATACATTGTTACACATGAACAACGGAATGCCTATGCACACAGCACACAGACTTACACACAATCTAAAGTAAATCTAAATATTACGTCCATACATTTGCGAGAGACGTGCAAACCCAGGGTTTAAACTTTGCACCCGGCAGAAGTTGTCTCCCGACACGGCCATTGTGAACCTCTGCCACGTCCACCGTCTCCTCATCGTCTTGTGTATGCGTCTGTCCCCGACTTGTCCGTCCCTGTCTCCATGTCTCCCTCGCTCACTCATTCTCGTAGTCAGAGGCAGAAGACGTCAGCTCAGCGGAGGTAACAATTAGCTGTGATGTCCCCACGCTGTTGAATGTTTAACGCTGTTCATAACAGGGTGAGCTTGGGCTACGGAAACGAGTTTATAGTGAAGTGGCGTTCTCCAGACGTCTTGTGACTCGGCTCCAGGAGACCGGGTCTCGGGGCCTTGAGACTTGGCTCCAGGAGACCGGGTCTCAGTGTCTTGAGACTCGGCTCCATGAGACCGGGTCTCAGGGCCTTGAGACTCGGCTCCAGGAGACCGGGTCTCAGGGCCTTGAGACTCGGCTCCAGGAGACCGGGTCTCAGGGTCTTGTGACTCGGCTCCAGGAGACCGGGTCTTAGTGTCTTGAGACTCGGCTCCAGGAGACCGGGTCTCAGGGTCTTGAGACTCGGCTCCAGGAGACCGGGTCTCAGGGCCTTGAGACTCGGCTCCAGGAGACCGGGTCTCAGGGTCTTGTGACTCGGCTCCAGGAGACCGGGTCTTAGTGTCTTGAGACTCGGCTCCAGGAGACCGGGTCTCAGGGTCTTGAGACTCGGCTCCAGGAGACCGGGTCTCAGGGTCTTGAGACTCGGCTCCAGGAGACCGGGTCTCGGGGCCTTGAGACTCGGCTCCAGGAGACCGGGTCTCGGGGTCTTGAGACTCGGCTCCAGGAGACCGGGTCTCAGTGTCTTGAGACTCGGCACCAGGAGACCGGGTCTCAGGGCCTTGAGACTCGGCTCCAGGAGACCGGGTCTCAGTGTCTTGAGACTCGGCACCAGGAGACCGGGTCTCAGGGTCTTGAGACTCGGCACCAGGAGACCGGGTCTCAGGGTCTTGAGACTCGGCACCAGGAGACCGGGTCTCAGGGTCTTGAGACTCGGCTCCAGGAGACCGGGTCTCGGGGCCTTGAGACTCGGCTCCAGGAGACCGGGTCTCGGGGTCTTGAGACTCGGCTCCAGGAGACCGGGTCTCAGTGTCTTGAGACTCGGCACCAGGAGACCGGGTCTCAGGGCCTTGAGACTCGGCTCCAGGAGACCGGGTCTCAGTGTCTTGAGACTCGGCACCAGGAGACCGGGTCTCAGGGTCTTGAGACTCGGCACCAGGAGACCGGGTCTCAGGGTCTTGAGACTCGGCTCCAGGAGACCGGGTCTCAGCGTCTTGAGACTCGGCTCCAGGAGACCGGGTCTCAGGGTCTTGAGACTCGGCTCCAGGAGACCGGGTCTCAGGGCCTTGAGACTCGGTCTCCTGGAGACCGAGTCTCAGGGTCTTGAGACTCGGCTCCAGGAGACCGGGTCTCAGGGTCTTGAGACTCGGCTCCAGGAGACCGGGTCTCAGGGTCTTGAGATCCAGCTGCAAGAGACCGGGTTTCATGATCCTTTCCTCTTGCCCAGCGTCACAAGCATGCATGTACCTGCTACTTAATAACTTCGAGATTGAAACGTTTTAGCTATTGTAGTGTTTTGCATTTGTTGTTGTGTTCTTTATGATATGTTTTGCTTACGACATAGAAGATTTTAATGATTTTGCATGCTTTGCAGTGCGCGTGTGTGAGTGTGCGTGGTGCTGGCCACCCACCCCCGCGTGTGCCGTGCTGGCCTTCATAAGTGCTACTCGCGAACAACACTTACCCCAAAACCCCATTAAGGCTACACGTGGGATCTTTGTCTTTGTATGTCAGTGGGGAACGGTGGCGCAGTGCTTGGCACACGGCAGTACGATCCCAGCCACCTCCATTTATATCCCGGTCATGTCACGAGTTGTCGGAACCTGTTCTGGTCCTCCCCTAAGTTCACTCGGCCTTAAATGAGTCCCTGGTGCCAGTGTGTAAACATCAGCACTGGGGAGACAAAGGCGGCCGGGTGTGGTCACTTCATCTCGTGCGCCGTGCCGGCCTGAGTAGGTGCTCCGCTGACAGCACTTTCGCCGTCAGTATTAATGACTCGCCGGGGGGATGTTTGTGGCTTGGAGCGTGTGAAGTGTCTTGCATGTTTACAGACGTGGACTAACATCCCCCGTCTCTAGCCCCCTGTTGTAGCCCATTGGGATAAGTGCTGTTTGCGAGCACCTGCTAAGGCCGGCCTGGTGTACACGCTTGTCGGAGTGGTGGTGTGGCGAGTGTGTATGTACTTCTTTCGCACCGTATGTAGCCAACCTTGCTAATCGGACTTGCGAAGGAAGGACAGCAATCTGAACACAACACGCAGTTGTAAAGAAATGAGTTTGTCAATGTGGGTGATTTAAAAGCTCATAGCTCCTGTGGCTTCCTAATATCGGAGGGAAGAGCGTTCCAGACCGCCGCAGAAGCGCGCATCTGAAAGCGCGCAGTGCAGTACATCATCCAAAATACCTCATCTTGGTGTGCGTTTTGGTCGGTAAGAGTGGCACACGAGGGCCGGGTTGTTATTCCCGTCTCGAGCACCTTTCGATGTGGACTTGCTGTTCTGCTGCGTGGGGTTTCTCCGTGTTTCACAGTCTCCCACCATAGCAGACAATGTTACCGCTCTTGGGCCCAAGACATCCCAATGCTTGGAATTGAAAGCATCACACGAACTCCGGTCATCCTCATGGCAGCGGCTTTTGGCTGGCCATCGAACAAAGACGGTCACTGCACCGCGCGCTGCTGGATGCGCTTCTACGGCCGTCTGGAACGCTCTTCTGTCCGATATTAGGAAGCCACTGGAGCTGGGCACTTTTACATCATCATCGTCTAGATTGACGAACTGCTTTTGTATTTAGTTTGTTGTCCTGCAACTCCGATTAGTGCGGTTGGCTACATAAGAAAGAAGTTGAACATACAGATGTACACTGCAAATTACTCAATTGGGATCGCACACAGCAGCAACGTTGCCCCTCTACTACGGCAAAGATTTAGCGCAGGACCCTCCTGAAAGAGATTCTTGAGACTCGGTGAGGTTTTCCCAGTGTCGGCAAAGAAAACGTTTTTGGGTTTTTTTTTCATTAATTAAAAAATCTGAAGCAGATCCCGAGTGCGTGTGTGTACACTTGCACATCTGCCTGTGTGCGAGTGCTGTGCAACTACCCGAGTTAGATTCCCGCTCACGACCAACATCGGCGATGAATATACGAACCAGTGTTGGACCTCCTCTAGGTCGACTCAGCATTAAACGAGTAGCTGGTGCGCTGTGTAAATATCGCAACTGGGGAGACGGGGCTGACTGGGCGTGGTTCCAGCCACCCCACCCCCTTCATGTGTGCCGTGCCGGCCTTCATCTTATCTTACATTTCTCTAGCGCTTTTATCCGAGGTGCTTTACAAGGGTTACGAGTGCTACAATTAGGGTAACTAAAGTGATATGGTGAGTAGGGATGGGGTATAGGGAGGGCGGTGGGTCATGGCTCCTCGCTAACAGTGGAGTTTGTGTCTCTCTCTCTCCCCGTGGTCGCGTGGATTTTTCTCCAGGTCCTCCGATTATTCTCTCCACATTTAGAATCGACGTCACCACGTGTTCAGAGTATTTGGCTGCTGTTATAAATGTCCACGCGATAAGCCACTTCATTGAGCTATCATTTGTTTTGTATGTACTGTATGTGTGTTGAACCTATTCCGCACTGTACATAGCCAACCGTGCTAATTGGGGGTAGGACAACAAACTAAACGTAAAAAAGCAGCTCTAAAGAAATTAGTTTTCAATCTCGATAGAAAAACAATCGTTTGTGGCCTGGTCGCTTCAGAAAAACGGCTGCGTAGCGCAGAGGGCCTTGCCTGGTGAAGTACAACAAAAAAAAGTTCCGTTTCAGTTGGAACAGCACTTGCCCCACCAGTCTGTTGAAGGCTTCCTGGGGGGCGTGGGGACCTTTGTCTTTGCTGCGCGCCTCCAGATCCCGAAGGACGAGCACATCCTGCGCTTCCTGCGGGCGCGCGACTTCAACGTGGACAAGGCCAAGGAGATGCTCTGCCAGTCTCTGAGCTGGCGCAAGCAGTACCAGGTGGACTACCTGCTGGAGACCTGGGGGCTGCCGCCGGCGCTCGCGGACTACTACGCCGGCGGGTGGCACTACCAGGACCGCGGTGCGTGCGGGCTGTGACCGCACCGTGCGATGGGGCGCAGTGCGCTGTGTGTACGCTGCAGCGCAGTCTAATGTAGTGCAGTGTGCAGGGTAATGCCTTGTACAATGCAGTGCAGTGTGGAGTGTAATGCAGCATATACAATGTACAGTAATGGGATCCATTATACAATGTAGTGCAGAGTGAAGTGTAATGCATTCTACAATGTAGTGCAGCTTGTAGTGCAATGTAGTGTAATGCATGGTACAATGTAGTGTAATGCATGATACAATGTAGTGTGTGTAGTGTAATGCATGATACAATGTAGTGTAATGCATGATACAATGTAGTGTAATGCATGATACAATGTAGTGTAATGCATGATACAATGTAGTGTAATGCATGATACAATGTAGTGTAATGCATGATACAATGTAGTGTGTGTAGTGTAATGCATGATACAATGTAGTGTAATGCATGATACAATGTAGTGTAATGCATGATACAATGTAGTGTAATGCATGATACAATGTAGTGTAATGCATGATACAATGTAGTGTAATGCATGATACAATGTAGTGTAATGCATGATACAATGTAGTGTAATGCATGATACAATGTAGTGTAATGCATGATAGTATGTAGTGTAATGCATGATACAATGTAGTGTAATGCATGATACAATGTAGTGTGTGTATTGTAATGCATGATACAATGTAGTTGCAGTGTGTCGTGTTAACAATGCAATGACGATGGGTGCAGATGGACGTCCCCTCTACATCCTGCGTCTGGGTCAAATGGACACCAAGGGGTTGGTCAAGGCAATGGGGGAGGAGTCCCTCCTGAGACACGTGAGATGCACACAAAGACAAAGATCCCCCGTGTAGCCTACGCAGACTGTTGGGGCAAGGGCTGTTCGTGAGCCCTTATTAAGGCCGGTACGACGCACCTATGAGGAGTGGTGTGGCCGGAACCATGCCTGGTCACCTTTGTCTCCCCAGTGCCGAGGTTTACACACCTTACCAGGTGCTTAATTAAGGCTGAGTTGACCTCGGGGAGGTCAGGACCGTTTTAAGATGTTCGTCACGGGTGTTCGCCGTGAGTGGGAATCGATCTTGGGTAGCCGGGTTCGTAGGCCGGGGCACTCACCACTGCACTACCCCTGTCCGCGTACGCGTGTGCACGTACACACAAAGACAAAGATCCCCCATATAGTCTTAACAAACGGTTGGGGCAAGCGCTGTTATCGAGCACCTATGAAGGCCGGCACGGCACACGAGGGGGTGGGTGACCAGCACCACACACGGCCGCCTTTGTCTCCCTAGTGGCGATGTTTACACACCGCACTAGGTACTCATTTGAGGCCGAGTCGATTTAGGGGAGGCCCAGGACCGGTTCAGATAATCATCACTGTTTTTGGCCGTGAGCGGGAATCGAACTCGGGCCTTTGCAGCGTAGCGCCAACCGCGACACTCCCGCTCGCCACACACGTACACAAGATGCACACACACGTGACACTTACACACGTGACACTTACGCACGCACACAGTGCGTGACCATTTTTCTCGATGGAACGGCTCTACGGAGCGTTATCAGTGAGCACCTATTAAGGCCGCTGCGATGCTGCTGTGTGTGGGCTCAGGTGCTGTCCATCAACGAGGAGGGCCTGCGCAGGTGTGAGGAGAACACCAACAACTCGGGGCACCCCATCAGGTGACCGTGCAACCGTTAAGTCCACTCTGACAAAAAACGGACACACGCGTGCACACCCACACGCGTGCACGCACACACACGCGGGCACAAACACCCTTGCTGTGCGGCGAGTGTCTCAAAAACACGAGCTCTAGTAATATTAGCACTAACACTAGCCCTAACAATAATCACTAAGCCTAGCACTAACAGTAGCCCTCATAATCCCTAACACAATTGTAGTGGCATCGGCGGATGTGACTGCATGTTGCGTGAAGCCGGCCTGTGTGAGGCACCACACACGCCGCTCACACCACCTACAGCGCTGCAGTGGGAACGCAGTACCAGCCCTAGCGGGTGCCTGGCACTGCACTCCACGTGCGGTGCCAGGCTCTGGGGGTCAGGGGGCGAGAGTGCCAGGGACGGTGCAGGGGCACGCAGGGGGCCATGGCACTCCGTGTGAGCCCGGATGCCTGGTGACCGAGGTACCGGTCCGGGGGCCACGGGACCAGGAGCAGGTCCCTCTCGAAGGCTCGAGAAGGGCGGCGTGCCTCGGGGCGGAGTCAGTCCCGCCACGGGCAATATCAGCCGGGGAGGGCCCTGAACGGGTCCGGCAGCTGTTGCGAGAATCGAGACGGAAGCCGTCACCCGGAGTAGACCTGCCCGACTACAGGAGCCGGACCCGAGCCGGGGTCCGGTCCGAGATAGCCACTCCGTGTGAGCTCGGGTGAGCTTGGGTGAGCTAGCGTTAGCGAGGGTGAGCTAGCGTTAGCGAGGGTGAGCTAGCGTTAGCGAGGGTGAGCTAGCGTTAGCAAGGGTGAGCTAGCGTTAGCAAGGGTGAGCTAGCGTTAGCAAGGGTGAGCTAGCGTTAGCTAGGGTGAGCTAGCGTTAGCTAGGGTGAGCTAGCGTTAGCTAGGGTGAGCTTGCGTTAGCTAGGGTGAGCTTGGGTTAGCTAGGGTGAGCTAGCGTTAGTGAGGGTGAGCTAGCGTTAGCGAGGGTGAGCTAGCGTTAGCTAGGGTGAGCTTGGGTTGGCGAGGGTGAGCTAGCGTTAGCGAGGGTGAGCTAGCGTTAGCTAGGGTGAGCTTGGGTTAGCTAGGGTGAGCTTGGGTTAGCTAGGGTGAGCTTGGTTTAGCTAGGGTGAGCTAGCGTTAGCGAGGGTGAGCTTGGGTTAGCTCGGGTGAGCTTGGGTTAGCTCGGGTGAGCTAGGGTGAGCTAGCGTTAGTGAGGGTGAGCTAGGGTGAGCTCGGGTTAGCTAGGGTGAGCTTGCGTTAGCTAGGGTGAGCTTGGGTTAGCTCGGGTGAGCTAGGGTGAGCTAGGGTTAGTGAGGGTGAGCTAGGGTGAGCTTGGGTTAGCTCGGGTGAGCTAGGGTGAGCTAGCGTTAGTGAGGGTGAGCTAGGGTGAGCTAGGGTGAGCTAGTGTTAGCGAGGGTGAGCTTGGGTGAGCTAGCCCGGAGGGGATGCCTCCCTTCGTGTTTAGGGCTTCATTGTTAAATGCACGTGTTGCCTCTAAGAAGTCTCTGCCTCCCTGGTGCGAACCACTACTTGAAAACAATCCCTCGCCATCGCCGCCTTGACACAGGGCGTCGGCACGCTGCGGCTTCACCATCTCACGCCTGTGACACCAGCTGCTCCCCCAGTTCTTGCGCGGCTCCCCTAACGTAACGATCCGTCTCCCCTTTGGGCCGTGCCCTTCCCACGCCGCCGTCGCCGCGGCAGCTCGTGGACGTGCCTGGTGGACCTGGAGGGCCTCAACATGCGGCACCTGTGGCGGCCGGGCGTCAAGGCCCTGCTGCGCGTCATCGAGGTGGTGGAGGCCAACTACCCGGAGACGCTGGGGCGGCTGCTCATCGTGCGAGCGCCCCGCGTCTTCCCCGTGCTCTGGACCCTGGTGCGTGCGTGCGTGTGTGTGAGCGTGCGTGCGTGTGTGTGAGCGTGTGAGCGTGCGTGTGTGTGTGTGAGCGTGCGTGCGTGTGTGTGTGAGCGTGCGTGTGTGTGAGCGTGCGTGTGAGCGTGCATGCGTGTGTGTGAGCGTGCGTGCGTGTGTGTGTGAGTGTGTGTGTGAACGTGCGTGTGTGTGTGAGCGTGTGTGTGAGTGTGCGTGTGTGAGTGTGTGTGAGCGTGCGTGTGTGTGAGCGTGCGTGTGTGTGAGCGTGCGTGTGTGTGTGTGTGAGTGTGTGTGTGAGTGTGTGTGTGAGCGTGAGTGTGCGTGTGTGTGTGAGCGTGTGTGTGAGCGTGTGTGTGTGTGAGCGTGCGTCTGCATAGTGCGATGTGTGCCGGGCGTGGTGCTGGCCACCCGTCTGCTCGTGTGCCTTTCCGGCCTTCATCGGTGCTGTTCTGTTATAGGCTATCGGAGGGTCAAACTTGATTTGAGGGTCTTTGTCTTTTGCATGTGTGCGTCACTCACTTGGTGGGGAACGGTAGTGGTAGCGGTTAGCCCGCGAATAGCACTTGCCCCAACAGTCCGTTAAGGCTATACGGGGGGCCTTTGTCTTTTGTACAGGTCAGCCCCTTCATCAACGACAACACGCGGCACAAGTTCCTCATCTACGGTGGAAACGACTACCAGGGCCCCGGCGGCCTGGTGGACTACATCGACAAAGACGTCATCCCCGACTTCCTGGGTGGAGACTGCCTGGTGAGGGTGTGACGGTGTGAAAGTGTGACGGGTAGAGTGATAGTGTGAGGGTTTGGGGGTGTGAGTACGGGTGTGGGTGAGGGTGTGAGTGAGGCTGTGAGTGAGGCTGTGAGGTACAGTGTGAGTGAGGCTGTGAGTGACGGTGTGAGTGAGGGTGTGTGAGAGGGTGTGTGAGAGGGTGTGTGAGAGGGTGTGTGAGAGGGTGTGAGTGAGGGTGTGAGTGAGGGTGTGAGGGTGTGAGTGAGGGTGTGTGAGAGGGTGAGTGAGGGTGTGTGAGAGGGTGTGAGTGAGGGTGTGAGTGAGGGTGTGTGAGAGGGTGAGTGCTACGCCACGAACCCGGTGACCAATATCATTGACGATTATCCGAACCAGTCCTGGACCTCGACTCAGCCTCAAATGAGTACCCAGTGCGATGTGTAAACACCGCCATGAGGGAGACCAAGGCAGTCAGGCGTGGTGCTGGCCACCCACCCCCTCGTGTGCCGCGCCGGCCTTCCTAGGTGCCGCTCGCTAACAGCACTTGCCCCAACAGTCTGTTAAGGCTACACGGGGGATCTTTGTCTGTGTGCAGTGTGACGTTCCGGAGGGCGGCCTGGTGCCCAAGTCGCTGTACCGCACGGGGGACGACGCGGAGCACGGCGACGACATCCGCCTGTGGACGGACACCATCTACCAGTCGGCCTGCGTGCAGAAGGGCGCTCCGCACGAGGTGCCGCTCACGCACTCGCGCTAACACACACACACACACACGCTAACACACACGCGAACACACACACCCAAACACTCACGCACACGCTAAAACACACACACGCTAACACACGCACACGCTAACACACACACACACAAGCACACAAGCCCCAGCATGTGTGGTCAAGAAGATCACCGCGGTCCATTGCACGACTGAGCTTGTACCGTCAAGGGGATACACCACCCAGGAGACGAAGAAGACCACTCGGCCACACGGTTGTGAGTGGGACCCCCCTCTCCCGCTGCCGCCCCTACCCCTCCCGACTCGTCTCAACCCCTCCTACCCCCCCCCCATCCCCCAACTCCCCGTCTCAGGTCGTGATCGACATCCCCGAAGCGTCGTCCGTCATCACGTGGGACTTCGACGTCATCAAGGGCGACGTGGCCTTCAACCTGTACCACAGTCGCCGCGCTCCTGCGCCCACGCGCAGCGCCAGCAGCGGCGGCGTCTGCGCCGGCGTTGGCTGCGTCGGCCTCGTCGCCGGCGGCGGCGTCGCCGGTGTCGCCGGCGGCGGCCTCAGCGGAAGCGCGTCGCTCGGTTCGGCGATTGCCTGCGCCGGCGGCGGCGGGGCCGGCAGCAGCGTGGAGAGGAGCTGGCAACAGCAGCAGCTGCAGCTGCATCACCACCAACAGCAGCAGCAGCAGCAGGGCTGGGTCTACAGCCCCGTGGAGGCAGCGCTGCACTGCAGGGAAGGGGAGAGCATCCAGGTGAGTGCAAAACTAGCGAACGAACTCGCCCCTTTGATATCTCTGGGACCATTTTTGCCAGTGTCCAAAATGATGTAAAATAAGAATAGCTTTTACCCTTTGTGGCAATACAACAGTTGTCAAGGTGTTCAAACACTAAATCGATACCTTTTGCAAGGTATCAAGTCTGCACTAACCACAGGTACTTGTGGCAAAACATTGGCGTTTGAACATCTTAACACCTGTTTTATTTCCAGACGGGGCAAAACCTGTTCTTATTTGTCATCCCTCTGTCGACTTTGCCGTCCTAAGCCCGCCGATACACGTCGCCTCTAAAAGAAGAGGCCACCGCTCGCGACAGCTCAAGCGCTCGTCAAGTGGCGGCCGCCACCCTCCTGTCGGGCCACCCACCCGCCCCGCCCCGTCGCTCGCGTGCCGTCCCCGCGACGTCCGCCCCCTCGCCCCGACGGACCGTTCCGCCGAGGCTCCGCGGGCTCACCTTTGCGTGCGTGCGTGTGTGCGTGTGTGCGTGTGTGCGTGTGTGCGTGTGCCAGGGCTCGCACGTGGCACGCTGGCCGGGCCGCTACGTGCTGCAGTGGCGGCTGGCCGGGGTGGGGGCCGGCGGGGGCTCGCTGCCCCGCGTGGACGACGTCATCGCGTCGCTGCAGCTGCCCGGCACGCACAAGGGCAAGGTGATGTACTACACCGAGGTGCTGGCCTCACACGACTTCAGGTGAGACGCGCGCTGCGTACACACGCTGCGTACACACGCTGCGTACACACGCTGCGTACACGCTACATACATATATACTACACACGCTACATACACTACATACACACGCTAAATACATATATACTACACACACTACATACACTACATACACACGCTGCGTACATATATATACTACATACACTACATACACATTCTGCGTACACGCTACATACATATATACACTACATACACACTATACACGCACTACATACACTATATACACACTACATACACACTATACACACTACATACACTACATACACACGCTACGTACACACGCTGCATACATATATACTACACACACTACATACACACTATACATGCACTACATACACTATATACACACTACATACACACTACACACACTACATACACACGCTACACACACACTACATACACACTGCACATACTACATACACTATACACACACTACATACACACTGTACACGCTACATATATATATATACTACACGCACTACATATACAACATACACTACATACACACTATACATGCACTACATACACTACATACACACACTACACACACTGCACATACTGCACACACGCTCATGTGAACATGCTAATCGCCACCCTCCGTGCGTGTGTGCGTGTGTTTTTGTCTGTGTACGTCTGTCCATCCGTCCGTCGTCCCGTGTCTCAGGGGCTCCATGACGAGCCTGGAGTCCTGCCAGAGTGGATTTTCACAGCTGAGTGGAGGTACAAATTCTTCTGGAGCTGGATCCATGGCCTCCAGATAGACAGGAGGCCTCGGCTCCAGGAGACCGGGTCTCAGGGTCTTGAGACTTGGCTCCAGGAGTCTTGAGACTTGGCTCCAGGAGACCGGGTCTCAGTGTCTTGAGACTCGGCTCCAGGAGACCGGGTCTCAGTGTCTTGAGACTCGGCTCCAGGAGACCGGGTCTCAGTGTCTTGAGACTTGGCTCCAGGAGACCGGGTCTCAGTGTCTTGAGACTTGGCTCCAGGAGACCGGGTCTCAGGGTCTTGAGACTTGGCTCCAGGAGACCGGGTCTCAGGGTCTTGAGACTCGGGTCCAGGAGACCGGGTCTCAGGGTCTTGAGACTCGGGTCCAGGAGACTGGGTCTCAGTGTCTTGAGACTCGGCTCCAGGAGACCGGGTCTCAGGGCCTTGAGACTTGGCTCCAGGAGACCGGGTCTCAGGGTCTTGAGACTCGGCTCCAGGAGACCGGGTCTCAGGGTCTTGAGACTCGGCTCCAGGAGACCGGGTCTCAGTGTCTTGAGACTCGGCTCCAGGAGACCGGGTCTCAGTGTCTTGAGACTTGGCTCCAGGAGACCGGGTCTCAGTGTCTTGAGACTCGGCTCTAGGAGACCGGGTCTCAGGGTCTTGAGACTTGGCTCCAGGAGACCGGGTCTCAGGGCCTTGAGACTTGGCTCCAGGAGACCGGGTCTCAGTGTCTTGAGACTCGGCTCCATGAGACCGGGTCTCAGGGTCTTGAGACTCGGCTCCATGAGACCGGGTCTCAGTGTCTTGAGTCTCGGCTCCAGGAGACCGGGTCTCAGGGTCTTGAGTCTCGGCTCCAGGAGACCGGGTCTCAGGGTCTCCGATAATTAAATGAAATATCACAACGAAGAAGCAGGGGGGGAGCCTCATCAACGAAGGTCCTACACAGGAGTTCGACTCCCGGTCAGTCTCGCTGCCAAGGTGTACGTCTGCTGCCAGAAAGAGGCTCCTGTGAAGGAATATAATTGTTAAATATACACACACAGCACATCACACACACATCTGTATACACACACACATCACACACACATCTGTATGCACACACACATCACACACACATCTGTATGCACACACACATCACACACACATCATACACACATCATACACACATCTGTATACACACACACGTACATTCATGTGTATACAGGGCTGTCCTTAGGGGTCGGTGCAGGGCCCGAGGCAAATCCCACCACGCGGACGCCCCGCCTTCAAACTAAACCGCAGGTATTGCATTTGACACCGTGACGTGAAAGCGCGTTGACCCCCCAAAGCGCAAGGCCTGATTCACTACCCTGATTAACCGTCACCCGAGGGACGGCTCTGCATGTGCGCGCACACCAACACAATCATCACACATGCACGCTGGTATACACAAAGATGAAGATACCCCGTATAGCCTCCATAGACTATTGGGGCAAGTAGTGTTTGCGAGCAGCTATTAATACTGGAACAAAACGACGTAGTACACACACAAAGACAAAGATCCCCCGTTTAGCCTTTAACAGGCTGTTTGGGCAAGTGCTGTTACTTAACAGCTGTGAAGGCCGGCACTGGCACACGAGGGGGTGGGTGGCCAGCACCACGCCCGGCCACCTTTGTCTCCCCAGTGCTGATGTTCACACACTGCACACCAGGTACTCATTTAATGCCGAGTCCACCTAAGGGAGGTCCACGACCGGTTCAAGCATTCGCCATTGAACCCAGTGCGCTAACCGCTGCGCCACCGCTCCTGACAGATGCACATTAATAAATGTACACGACTATAAATCACGTACACATTCATACAAACACACGCACACGCGCGCACACAAACACACACGCACACGCGCGCACACAAACACACGCACACGCGCGCACACAAACACGCGTGCGCGCACACAAACACACACGCGTGCGCGCACACAAACACGCGCGTGCGCGCACACAAACACACACGCGTGCGCGCACACAAACACACGCGCGCACACAAACACACGCGTGCGCGCACACAAACACAACTGAACAATGTTTAATTATGAAAACAAGTCAACGTTATCATCTTTGTGAAAACATCTCTAAGAATAGTTTTGTCTGTAACTCTGACCTCTGACCTCCCATGGGCTTGTGTGGCGAGTTGTCGTAGGTCGGAGAGCACGAAGGACATCGTTCACCCACCCACCCACTTGTTTGTCTGGGTCTATAAAACTAGCCACACATTGTGGGAAGCCAATAGTGGCTGTCTGTTCTTTGGATGGCCTGTCCCTGACATGGGAATGTGGAATTGCCACTGCTGGCTGAGGGCTGCAAACGGAGGTGGCTTTCTGTTCACAGAACAGAGAGACGTTCTGAGACTAAAATAATACGACCGGCATCCCGGGAGGAAATCAGAAAACCACCAGGACACGCGCGAGGATAATATTGACACCTCCACACAGATGGATTCAAGAATCCGTTGTCGCGTTGCCATCTTCTGGCCACCTCGTTAGCCCCGGCGGGTTTGGGGTATTTTCACAGATCGGTGCGATCCGGCCCAACCCCTGCGGTAAATCACTTGAGCTCGCAACCAATCAATTGGAAATTCGGCTCGATGTCCGAACATCGGAATGTCTCCCGTCGTCGCCACCCTCGGCCATCGGCCAGCGGTGGAAATTCCACGTTACGTTGACGGGGGGGGGCCCAGGCTGTCCGCAGGACAAAGGAACGCCGTGGGTTTCGGCGGTCGGTTTTGGCGAAGCCGACGAAAGGAAACGTCACGGGAGCGCCGATCGCCAGGCTGTGAAACAAAGTTCCTCATATCGGGTTCACGGTACCCGCGAACAAAACAACTCCTCAACTCCGGCAAAGCCTCGCCGAGTCACGAGGCCAAGTTGACGCGAGGGTGCTGCTGCTGCTGCTGCGGCTGTACTGCAATGTGCGGTCCGGTGTGTTCAATCGCTTGGAGTCCTGCTTGGCGAAAGGGAAGCGGGAGTACCCAGACACTGCCGACCCACCCACCGCGTGTACTCGGGGCTCACGCGCAACGCGGTAATTTACCAAGACGGCATTTGGTCGCACAGAGGCTATTTGTGAGACCGTTGCGAGCAGTTGGCTTAGCGGCGAGCTGAAACAATCGTTGGTGATCAAGTTTTCCTTGTTGGGTTAGAGAGCGTGTAAATGTAAGCGCGTCGTAAAGCCGCGTCCGCGCGGCATGGCCGATCGTGAAGGTTTGTCACGTGGAACAGGACGTGCCAATTGGTTTCGGCGCCTCCAACTAGCACGGTGGGCTACGTACGGTGCAAAAAAAGTTCAACGTACGTAGCTCCACTGACTAAGAGAGCCGCCGTGGATCTCCCGGCGCGGAAGGTTCGGCCGAGTCTCCTCCAATCCCCGTCCGTGCAGCAGTGTCGGTACTCCGGCAGGTCGCGCGGTGGGGTCGAGTGTGGGCGGTCGTGCGGTCAACGTGGAGGAGTAGGCCAAAGCACCCTCGCGCGAGCTCTCGCCCGTGCAGGGCCCTGCCTCCAGCAGTGGCGCACGCGGGGAATTGCAGGCCTGCGCCTCTACCTTTCCCGCGCCGAGCACGGCAGGTGGCACCGCTGCATTGGGCCGCCGCGGGTGTCCTCTGAGTTCGCCTGCAGTGCTACCGCGCGCACAAAACACAACCCTTCTTACGTCAAATTGCAGTCGGCCAAACAACTGATGAGGCTGCGGCAGCGGCAGTAGCAGCAGCAGCAGCATGCTCCTGAAAGCGAGTCTCGGGGACTCGCTCGCGAGTTGCTTTCCCGTGTAACCACGCGGCGTTGCTGCGAGTCCGAAGCACCTGCCCCAGCTCCGGGGGGGTCGGGCCTCGCTCCCATCGTTGGGCAGTCTCTCGACCGCCCTGCCGGCTTATCTTGCATTTCTCCTCTTGCCACTTGAGACAGAGAGACAGAGAGCTTTGTGATTAAGGTCGCTAGGAATATGTTAATTTGCACAACTAACATTTCTGTTTTACGTCGATTGTTTAAAGTAGGAGGCAACCCAAAAACGGAGCTGAAAGTCCGCGTGGAAGTCGCGTTTGTCGGGGTGCCCGGGCGGCCCGGCAGAGCCGGAGACGATGATCCACCACCGCTGACGTCCTGGGTTCTGATCCAGGTCATGTGCGCACACACGCGCCTAAAAAAAAAAATCCGTAAATGTTAAACACTTATTTGGCCTAAATTCCTGCACTTGAGAATTACGAAAAATATCAGTTCGACGGGCAAACGGCACTCGCGTGGGGCAGAGCGGGCAGGTAAGCGCCGCCCTCTACCGCGTGTGGAGCGGAGGTCGCGCGATGAAGGGGACCTCGCAGGTAGCTCTACGACACCCACTTGTTTCCGTGGCGGGTCCGGCGACTGACTCTGGACGGCCGCTGTGCGTGAGGCCCACGACGCGACCGCCGGTAGCGCGGTCGGGACACGCGGTCAGAGGGAAACGCAAAACGTTAACATTTGCGTTTCTCGCCGAGCTTTGCGGCGTTGCCACCGGCGCACACCGATGAGGAGGAGGGTGCTGGTAGCTACCCGGGAGGAGCTGTTGGTTCTTGGGTTGCCCGACTTTAAACGCTCTGTTGTTGTTGTTGCTGCTTCTCACTCGGACATCGTAGCAGATTAATGTCTTGAATGCCTTCTGTTGGCCGCGTTAAACGTGTTAGAATCGCTCGTGGGAATTGGACAAAGTGTTGTTTTTTCTCTCGCCTAGCTGCAAAAAATATTTTTTGTGAATCTTGGAAAACATATTTGTATATAGATATATAATATTAATATTGATTTATTCAATGTAGTGAAGTTGAGTGTAGTTACTAATTCAGCACAATGTATGTGTTTGCTGGGGGGTGTCTGTGTAGGGTTGATTGTGTATGTGGTCTTTGTGTACATGTGTCTGTGTGTGTGTCTGTGTGTGTGTGTATGTCTAATGGTGTGTATGCGAGTGCAAGTTAGGAGGAGCGGCAGTGTCGTGGTTAGCGCTGCGTTACGAACCCGGCGACCCCAGTTCGATTCCCGCTCACGGCCAACACCAGTGACGATTATCTGAACCGGTCCTGGGCCTTTCCTAGGTCGACCCGGCCTCAAAGGAGTACCTGGTGCGGTGTGTAAACATCGCCACTGGGGAGACAAAGGCAGTCGGGTGTGGTGCTGGCCACCCACTCGTGTGCCGTGCCGGCCTTCAAAGGTGGTCGCTAACAGCACTTGCCCCAACAGTCTGTTACAGGCTATGCGGGGGATCTTTGTCTTTGATCTCGTGTATATGGTTGTGTGTTTATGGGTCTGTTTGTCTTTGGGTGTGTATGATCGTGTGGGTGGGTATGCAAGCATGTTATGTTTGGATGTGTGTGTCTCGTGTATTTGTGTGTACTTGAGTTAATGGTGGATAAATGTGCAAAACGTATGATGTGCTTGAGTGGGGAGTGGTGGTGCAGTGGTTAGCACACTGCACTCCGAAGCCGGCGACCCGAGTTCTGATTTCCGGCCACGGCTAACATCGGTGGTGAGCGATATCATTACTGGTCCTGGGCCTCCCTGCGGTCGACTCAGCCTAAAGTGAGTGGTGTGCAAACAAACATCCGCACTGGAGACCAAGGTGGCCGAGTGTGGTGATTGCCACACCATCTCATTGTGGGCCACGGTGGCCTAAATAGGTGCTTGCTGACAGTGCTCGTCCCAAGAGGCTGTTAGAGCTCGACTGGAGGTTTGTGTCTGTACACAAGTGAGCTTGTCTGTGTGTCCGTCATGTGTGTATGTTGACCTTCCTTCGCACCGTACGTAGCCAACCATGCAAACCGGAGGTGCGGCATGGTCGTAGAGACATGTTTATTATTATTTGTGTATGTGTTTGTTAACTCGTAACACCTGGGTATGTCCCGCAAACTCCCTATCGGTGAGCCTCGCCACTCAATGTGACCTTAACGTGCACCTAGCCTGGCGCAGACGCCGTGGCAACATCACTGCCACTTGGCGGTGAATGGCAGGCGCAGTTGTACGTGTGCAGTGTGTGACTGTGTGTGTGTGTGCCTTCATGTATACGGGGAGTGGTGGTGTAGCGGTTAGCGCGCTCCGCTACCAACTTGGCGACCCCGTTTCAATTACCGCTCACGATCGATAACAGTGGCGGATACTGGAACTGGGCCTCCCCTAGGTCGTCTCGGCCTTGAATGAGTCCCCTGGTGCAGTGCTTAAACATCAGCGCTGGGGAGACAAAGCTGGCCGGGCGTGGTGCTGGCCCCCTACACCGCCCCCTCCCCCGTGCGCCGAGCTGCCGGCCTTCATAGGTGCTCGCTAACAGCACTTGCCCCGACAGTCCGTTATAGGCTTACACGGGGGATCTTTGTCTTTTGTATGCGCCTGTTTCGTTGTTTTTGTGCGGACGCCTTCTGTGCGTTCACGTCTCTCTCGAGAGAGATTATCAAGTGGGAGTTTGTGGGGTTTTGCTGCTAAACGCGTTTGTCCTCTCGGCCCCCGGCTTAAACCCCCGAGTCTGCTTTACACCTGTTCCCCGATACCCTGTGCGGCCTATATCTCCCTCGAGCTACTCAACCTTGACCCTGCTCAAACACGAACCCATATGTCGCCGTGAAGACGCCCTATAAACTAACATCTCTGCCCCGTAAACCTCCCAATTCTGTAAACCCTGAACCTTAAAACTGCTTCGACCTGAAACCCACGAAACCTTAAACCCCAAACTTCTAAACTGTTTATTCCCAAACACCCCGCCAAAAATGTTAACCACGATCCTTAAAAAAGAATTCAACCTTAAACCCGCTAATCCTTCAACACACAAGGGCCGATCGAATAATCATGATGATTAAAAACAGCCATCTAATAACGCTTAAACCTCCGACCTTTAAACTATTACAGTTTAAAATCAATACCTTAAACTTTTAAACACTTAATCCAGTAAACCGTGTATCCTCTAAACCCACTAAATACGATAAACCCTTAAGCCAGATCTGGGAGGCTTCTTCAACCGAGGGGAGAATGAGACTTTCACTCCCTTAGCCGGGCGGCGGTGGTGGCGCGCCCGGCTGTAATCCAGCCCTCATCATCCTGTTGTCGCATCGCGCATTGTTCGGAACTATGTCCAACGTTTCGTTCCGAGACCTAGACAATTTTACTGCCAGGTTGAAATTACCCCCACCCCCTCACCACCGTTCCCACCACCTCCCCCTCTTGTACTCCGCGTTTAAAATGTTTTCAGTTCTTCACGAAGTCCGTGTGGAGCGTTTGTGTCGATGACGAGAATCGGCCGTCAGGAACCACCTGAATGTGATTCTCTCTGAGCCCTCGGCACCTGAGAAAACCTGGGTTCGAACCCCCTTGGGGTCTGGGAGTGTCACTCCCGAGGGTGTGTCATGGCTGTGCCAGGCACACAAGCACCGCTGAGATCTCCACTGAAGAGGTTCATAATGACCGCGTCACAGATGCCGAACCAGTCCCGCCGAGATCCGGTGTTCGATCCCTGGGTCGTTATTTAGTTGTGGAAAGTCTCGTAGCGCTTGCAAGGTATTATGGGTCTTTAACAATAATGGTCAGCTTCATTAACCTTCCATCCCAGTGAACAGGTAACGTTGGGCCAGTGGGGGGGGGGGGGGGGCAGCGTTGTCGTGGTGACTGGGAGTGTCGTCTGTTCACCTGCATAGCACTCTGTTCAAACCGTAGTCCGGTCCCGTTGTGTTGCTCTGCAAAGAGCTCTCTGCATACGCATTTTCACTTTCTTTGATTTGGCCATTTAGAATGTGTGACTTCTAAATGCAATAAACAAAACAAAATATTTTATCTCAGTTCCGCTTCCACGTGCGACTTCTTCTTCTTGGAGCGAGCAGACGAACACCGTCGCGACGCCGACACGGAGCTTGGCGGCATCGAGTTTGTGTGCAGGTGCTGGACGCGTGATCGTGGCCACGGATACCGTGAGATGCGGTGACGCCTTTGGGGGATTAGGGTTAGATAGACCACGGCCGGTAATTAATTTCGACATTCAGTGGACCACCTGGGTCACCAAACTAACAAATGAAAGAGTACAGCAGTGGAGCAAGTAGCAATTGAGATTTTTTTGTAATTAATTTCGACATTCAGTGGACCACCTGGGTCACCAAACTAACAAATGAAAGAGTACAGCAGTGGAGCAAGTAGCAATTGAGATTTTTTTTTGTAATTAATTTCGACATTCAGTGGATCACCTGGGTCACCAAACTAACAAATGAAAGAGTACAGCAGTGGAGTAAGTAGCAATTGAGATTTTTTTTTTAAACTATGACATGAGACATTGAAAATACTGCACAAACGTAAATCAATGTCAAATATTCAAATTGATTCCCTGTAGCAGATATCGACTTGGACAAACGTGACTGATTATATATATGCAAAGTAAGTTACAGAAATGTTTAACACGTAGCAGGCTTTCACAACCAATATCCATAATAGAGGTTGTTTGGGTTAGATCGCGTAAGTATTTTAATGTGTCGTTAAACCCGCCACCACCCGACACAGCCAACTAGTAAGGGTTGTCACGTCAACAGAACGTGGTCAATTCTTCACTAGTACAGCACTAACCGGTGTGTGTTGGAGAGCCAAGCCACAACAGTTACAGAAGTATTAAACTGATGTATGGTGACTTGCACTGACATGGAGTAAACACGGACAAGGATGCATTTTTATAAAACACATTTTTGCGGAGGGAGCTGGTAGGAACGTTGGGTTGCTCGGTCAATGGCCTGCAGGGTCAACGACGGCGTGGTGTATTCCGCAAATATGGCCGACTGTGAGGGCGGGCACAAGCCGGCGTGAGTAGGTTAAACGTTGAGTTTTATAAGGGCACCACGGGGTGACCAGCCCCTCCCCACCCAGCCCCACCCCTCCCACCCCCCACCCAGCCCCTCCCCTCCCCACCCAGCCCCTCCCTGCACGACGGACGGACACAACAATCCCCTGTGGGCTGGTGTAACCAGGAGGTTCCTACCAGTATAAATGTTTTCTCCTACATGCACTTTGCAAGTGAAGTGACAATATTGAACAATGTCAAGTTTTGATAGCGATGGTCGATCATGAGAAGGGAATAGCAGCCCAAGGAGTGCACCACCACCCAAAGATGTGAAGCTCATGCGGCATTCGACTTTCATCCAGCAGTGGAATAGGTCGGTGGTTCTCACCCGGGGGTACGTGAAGTGATTTATAAATGTGATCAATTAAAATTATACATGAGTCATCGGTGAATAATCACGTATGAATGCCGATATAAAAGACATTTCTAAACTCATTGATCGTAAGCAATGTTGGTTAGAAGAGTCGTCAGTGAGAGCGAACGAAATACGTCACGCGTGCAGAGCGTCCCTTGACTTAGCGAGTTGGGGTGAACCTCACGAAATGGACAATTTGTTAAAGTGTTGATGGTGGTGCGTACGTTTATTTGACAGAAGCAGCCATGTTGGATCAGGCAAGGGAGTCGTTGCTCGGTTGAAACTAAAGTCAACAATGGGGTACAGAGACCCCTCGACTTACACACATTCGACTTACGAACTTTCAGAGATACGAACAAACCTGAACGTACGTCCAGTGGCAGTTCGGACTGAGTCGTAAGTTCAACCGCCGCGCAACAGATGGCGGTGGTGGCATCTACATCTACAGAACGTGAAGAACCAGTGGCATCTACATCTACAGAACGTGAAGAACCAGTGGCATCTACATCTGCAGAACCTGAAGAACCAGTGGCATCTACATCTACAGAACGTGAATAACCAGTGGCATCTACATCTACAGAACGTGAAGAACCAGTGGCATCTACATCTACAGAACGTGAAGAACCAGTGGCATCTACATCTACAGAACGTGAAGAACCAGTGGCATCTACATCTACAGAACGTGAAGATACCAGTGGCATCTACATCTACAGAACGCGAAGAACCAGTGGCATCTACATCTACAGAACGTGAAGAACCAGTGGCATCTACAGAACGTGAAGAACCAGTGGCATCTACATCTGTAGAACATGAAGAACCAGTGGCATCTACATCTACAGAACGTGAAGAACCAGTGGCATCTACATCTGCAGAACGTGAAGAACCAGTGGCATCTACATCTACAGAACGTGAAGAACCAGTGGCATCTACATCTACAGAACGTGAAGAACCAGTGGCATCTACAGGAGATACGTTTAAAAACATCCACCGTGTTTAGTGTACATGCCAAATCACATGTTTGGAATCGACAGGAGTAAAGTTGGACTTACGAACTGGCCTGGAACCTAACTCGTTCGTAATTCGAGGAGTCGCCGTAGTTCCAGGAGCCACAGGCGGCTGAGAACGACTGGGAACAGATCTTGCTTGAGGATGACGTACCCCGAATCGATTCCCAACAGAATGACCGGCAACCGCTTAAACGATTCCTCAGATTGCACAGAATGGATTAGATTCCGATTCTCCGTTCAAGTGCAAAATCGATTGCGGGTGGCCGTTTGTAAGTGATCGTCGGGAATCGATGCATGTACACAACCCCGACAAATCGATTCCCGAAGCCGGTTCCGCATCCCGTCGCAGAGCCCCGGCCGACCGGGGGGACCTCGCCTAGAAGCCCGTGCAGGCTTCACGCGGCTGCCGCTTGTAGGCCGCGACGGAGCCGCCGTCTCGGGGTCGTGGAGTGGAGGCGGAGGAGAAGCGATGGGGGAGGCGAGGAAGGAGGAGGCGGAGAGTGCGAGCAGGCGGGAGACGACGGTGCTGGCGGGGAGGTCTGACCCGTGAGTGTCTCGGCAGCGAGTGTCGTGTGGTTTGTGTGGCGTGGGGAGCGGTGGCGCAGCGGTTAGCGCGCTCCGAACCCGGCGACCCGGGTTCGAGTCCCGCTCACGGCCACCACCAACGCCGGTGAGGATTATCCCCTAGGTCGACTCGGCCTCAAATTAATGCGGTGTGTAGTAAACATCGCCACTGGGGAGACAAAGGCGGCCGGGGGTGGTGTTGGCCACCCACCCCCTCGTGTGCCGTGCCGACCTTCATAGGTGCTGCTACTCGCTGTCAGCACTTGCCCCTACAGTGTGTCAAGGCTACACGGGGGGCCTTTGTCTTTGCGTGCGTGCTAATGGTGTTGTTCAGCGTTGAATAGTGAATCAGAATCTTTAACTTCAGAATCAGGATCTGCGTTTAGCCGCAGCGGCTGCAGAAGCAGCAGGAATCCGATGAGCTGTAAAGCGCTTTATCACTGGAGTCAGGTATAGAAGTACAACAACAAGCAGCACAACAACAAGCAGCACAACACAGACACAGCACAGACAGCACAGACACAACACAGACACACCACAGACACAGCACAGACACAACACAGACACACCACAGACACAACACAGACACACCACAGACACAGCACAGACACAACACAGACACAACACAGACACACCACAGACACACCACAGACACACCACAGACACAACACAGACACACCACAGACACAGCACAGACACACCACAGACACAGCACAGACACAGCACAGACACACCACAGACACACCACAGACACAACACAGACACACCACAGCCACACCACAGACACACCACAGACACACCACAGACACAACACAGACACAACACAGACACACCACAGACACAACACAGACACACCACAGACACAGCACAGACACACCACAGACACACCACAGACACACCACAGACACACCACAGACACGACACACCACAGACACACCACAGACACACCACAGACACAACACAGACACAACACAGACACAGCACAGACACAGCACAGACACACCACAGGCACACCACAGGCACAGCACAGGCACAGCACAGACACAACACAGACACAGCACAGACACAGCACAGACACCACAGACACACCACAGACACAGCACAGACACAGCACAGACACACCACAGACACAGCACAGACACAGCACAGACACAACACAGACACAGCACAGACACAGCACAGACACAACACAGACACACCACAGACACAGCACAGACACAGCACAGACACAACACAGACACAGCACAGACACAGCACAGACACAACACAGACACACCACAGACACAGCACAGACACAGCACAGACACAACACAGACACAGGACAGACACAGGACAGACACAACACAGACACACCACAGACACAGACACACCACGGACACAGACACAGCACAGACAGGGGGTACTTCGACGTTTCAAGTCGTCGGGGGGCCCACAGAGGGATTTCCCCCCCTCGATAGACACCCCTGGCTGGTCATTCCATAAAGACCGGGGAGACAAAGGCCGCCGGGCATGGTGCTGGCCGCCCCCCCCCCCCCCCCGTGTCCCATGCCAGCCTTCTTCGGTGCTACTCACTAACGTGCACTTGCTCCTGCAGTCTGCTAAGGCTATACGGGGGATTTTTGTCTTTGTGTGTGAATGTGAGTGAACTTTGTGAATGTGAATGTGAGTGAACTTTGTGTGTGAATGTGAGTGAACTTGTCTTTGTGTGTGAATGTGTGAATGAACTTTGTGAATGTGAATGCGAGTGAGCAGGTACGGTGGGTTGACGATCCTCATCAGTTCCACGGACACCACCGACGTGGAGACATTCAGAGACCAACTGAAAGGTTTCAGATTCTGCCTCTTCCACATTCCTGTGACCCGGGCCAGGCACATACCATCATTTGAACACCACGATAGGCATGCACGACATTTAAACAAGACGTGTGTGTGTGATTATGGTTGATGTGCCCATTACTGTGTGGTATTTTGTTATCGTGTTAGCGTTATGGATATTAAGGGTAGTATTGTTGATGAGGGTTAGGATTATTGTGAGCACAAGTGAAAGGGGTTATCATTAGGGTTACTCAATGGGTCGACATGTAAGTCTATGAGTCTCTGTGTGAGTCTATGGGTTTCTGTGTGAGTTTATGGGTCTGTGTGAGTCTGGGTCTCTATAGGAGTCTGTGGGTCTCTGTGTGAGTCTATGGGTCTGTGTGAGTCTGTGGGTCTCTGTGCGAGTCTGGGTCTCTATAGGAGTATGTGGGTTTATATGTGAGTCTGTGGGTCTCTGTGTGAATGTGGGGGTCTATGTGAGTCTACGGGTCTCTCTGAGTCTATGGGTCTCCATGTGAGTCTGTGAGTCTCTGTGTGAGTCTATGGGCTTCTGTGTGAGTCTATGGGCTTCTGTGTGAGTCTATGGGTCTGTGTGAGTCTATGGGTCTGTGTGAGTCTGGGTCTCTATAGGAGTATGTGGGTCTCTGTGTGAGTATGTCGGTCTCTGTGTGAGTCTGTGGGTCTCTGTTAGTCTATGGGTCTCTGTATAAGTCTATGGGTCTCTGTTAGTCTATGGGTCTCTGTATGAGTCCATGGGTCTCTGTGTGATTCTATGCGTCTCTGTGTGAGTCTTAGAGCAGATGTACATCAGCTATGGGATCTGGTGGAGGGTAGTAAGTGAGGGTAGCGATGTGTGGTGGTGGTGGTGGTGGCGGCGGCGGCGGCGGCGATGGTGGTGGTGGCAGCGTTGATGGTGATGGTAGTTAGTGGCGGTGGTGGTGATGTGGTAGTAGTGGTGATGGTGGTGGTGGCGGCGATGGTGGTGGTGGCAGCGTTGATGGTGATGGTAGCTAGTGGCGGTGGTTGTGGTTGCAGCGATGGTGGTGGTGGTTCCATCAACGGCTTTGGCCACGATGACGTCTTGATCGTACCGTGATGAATTATCGTGCCAACCTCCTGTGGACGGTGCCACAGACTCGCTGTTCGCGTGGAGCCTCGAGGGGGTGCGTGGCCTCTGGCTCTGCCTTCCCATCGAGCGTGCGGACCTGGTCCCCGTCGCCGTGAAGGTGAGCGGACATTCCACACTCCCGTGACGAGTGCCGGGAATACCCCCCCCCCCCCCCCCCCGTAGCACGACAGCACTTTCTCACCTCCCCTCTGCGTAGGATGCTACCCTGACAACTAGGCCGCAAAGAAGGCTGCGCTCTGTCAGGTGGGTGAGGCCAATCAAAGACATGATCAGAGCATGTCACCGCATGCACTGTGCGTGGTTGACGCAGTCACTCGATTCCTTGCGAAAGGTTTCTATTTGGGGTTTTAACATCTTAACACAAGTCCTGTTTCATTGCCGGAAAGGGTCAAACCTAAATCTTGTTTTTCATACTTTGCTACTGGCAAAAAAGGTCACATGGTATGGATGCTACCCTGTTTACCCACCCACCCCCTCACATGCCGTGCCGGTCTTCATAGGTGCTACTCGCTAACAGCACTTGCCCCAGCGGTCTGTAGAGGCTACACGGGGGATCTTTGTCTTTGTGTGCGCAGTGCGGGTTCGTCTACCATCACGCGCTGCCCTCCTACTGCATGCTGACCGCATGGCTGCCCCGAGACTCACCCAGCACCCTCCCCGCCTACGCCTCTCACTACGTGGGTGAGTGTGGGTGAGCGTGGGTGTGGGTGAGTGTGGGTGTGGGTGAGCGTGGGTGAGTGTGGGTCAGCGTGAGTGAGCGTGGGTGTGGGTGAGCGTGGGTGTGGGTGAGCGTGGGTGTGGGTGAGTGTGGGTGTGGGTGAGCGTGGGTGTGGGTGAGTGTGGGTGAGCAAGTGTGGGTGAGCGTGGGTGAGTGTGGGTCAGCGTGGGTGAGCGTGGGTGAGCGTGGGTGAGCGTGGGTGAGTGTGGGTGAGCAAGTGTGGGTGAGCGTGGTGGTAGCGGGGGGGAGTGTGGGTGAGCGTGGGTGTGGGTGAGTGTGGGTGAGTGTGGGTCAGCGTGGGTGAGTGTGGGTCAGCGTGGGTGAGCGTGGGTGAGTGTGGGTGAGCGTGGGTGAGTGAGTGTGGGTGAGTGTGGGTGAGCGTGGGTGAGCAAGTGTGAGTTGAGCAAGTGTGGGTGAGTGTGGGTGAGTGTGTGTGAGCGTGGGTGAGCGTGGGCGAGCGTGGTGGAGCGTGGTGGAGCGGAGTGGCGTAGGGGTGACGCGCATCGCAGCCCGCTGATGATAATGGTGATGATGATGTAGGGGTTGGGGGGCTCGTTGTGACTGGTGATGTTGATGGTGGTGGTGATGATGGTGATGGTGGTGATGATGTAGGGGTTGGGGGGCTCGTTGTGACTGGTGATGGTGGTGGTGGTGATGATGGTGGTGATGGTGGTGGTGATGATGTAGGGGTTTGAGGGCTCGTTGTGAGTGATGATGTTGATGATGGTGGTGTTGGTGGTGGTGTTGGTGATGATGATGGTGGTGGTGTTGATGGTGGTGGTGATGATGGTGGTGTTGATGGTGATGTTGATGGTGGTGGTGGTGGTGGTGATGATGGTGGTGGTGATGATGGTGGTGGTGGTGTTGGTGATGATGATGATGGTGGTGGTGATGTTGATGATGGTGATGTTGATGTTGGTGGTGGTGTAGGAGTTGGAGGCCTCGTGGTGAGTGGTGAGGGCCTCGTTCTGCTCATTCAGGAGAAGTTTGCCAAGGGCCACGGCTGCTGGAAGCTCCCGGGAGGTCACGTGGAACCCGGTGGGGTCATACACAGTACAGTACAACGCCCCTGCGTACAACGTGCCGACGATGTGAACCCAACGACCCGATATTTATCGCCAAAATCAACGTTATCTGGTGATGCTGCGGCTGCCACGGTGGCGGTGGTGCACAAACAACAACAACAACTGAACACCTTAGTCAACAACGCTGTGCGGCCTTAAATTAAAAATATATATCGTGGGCGACGTTTCGGACAATGTCCCTCCTTCGTAGCACGTATACATCAATGTCGCTTGTTATATAATTTTCATTTTAAGGACAAGACAAAGATCCCCCGTATAGCCTGAACAGACTTTTGGGGCAAGTGCTGTTAGCGATGAGCAGCACCTACGAAGGCTGGCACGGCATACGAGGGGGTGGGTGGCCAGCACCACGCCCGACCGCCTTTGTCTCCCCAGTGGCGATGTTTACTATGCACCCCACCGGGTTCTCATTTGAGGCCGAGTCGATCTAGGGGAGGCCCAGGACCGGTTCAGAAAATCGTCACATGGTGTTGGTGGCCGTGAGTGGGAATCGAACTCGGGTTGCCGGGTTCGCAGCGCAGCGCTAACCACTACACTACCACTTTTAAGGGCACACACCTCACACACACACCCCACACACCCTGCACACACACACACCCTGCACACACACACACACCCTGCACACACACACACCCTGCACACACACACACACCCTGCACCAGAGGTCGCAAACGGGTTTTGATTTCTTACCCGTACCCGGCCGCACCAGGGTCGCAAACGGGTACCCGTACCCTACCCGATACCCGGCTACCCGTACCCACTAAACACTGAGGAACGTGTTGAGTGTTTTGTTGTCTGTCTGTTGAACTTCTTTCGCACCGTACGTAGCCAACCGTGCTAATGGGAGGTGCTGGGAAATTCCAACAAACTAAACACAAAAAGCGGTTCTAAAGAATCGAGTTTTCTATCTGGATGATTTAAAAAGTACACGCAGCTCCACCGGCTTCCTAATATCGGAAGGAGGAGCGTCCCAGAAGGCCGCAGAAGCGCACCCGAAAGCGCCGCGCGACGATGCGGTGACCGCCGCCTTCATCCGACGGCCGAGCCTAAAGCCGCCGCCGCCGCTGCCGGCGCGGCGATGACATCGCGGCGATGACATCGCGGCGATGACATCGCGGCGATGACATCGCGGCGATGACATCGCGGCGATGACATCGCGGCGATGACGAGCGGCGATGACATCGCGGCGATGACGAGCGGCGATGACATCGCGGCGATGACATCGCGGCGATGACGAGCGGCGATGACGAGCGGCGCTCGCGTGACGGTGTGTCCACCTCTTGTCCCCCCACAACCACCTGTCCCCCCTGCGACCCAGGGGAGGACCTGGGCGAGGCGGTGTGCCGCGAGGTGCGGGAGGAGACGGGCGTGAGCGTGCGCTTCCGCGCGGTGCTCGCGCTGCGCCACATGCACCGCTACAGCTTCGGCGCCTCCGACCTCTACTTCGTGTGCCTGGCGCGGCCACTCACGCGGCGGCTCCAGCCGTGCCCCACCGAGATACACGCCTGCACATGGGTCCCGGTAAGCATGCGCACGCACGTGTGTGTGTGTGTGTGTCGACTCAGCGGTGTGTGTGGGTCTGTAATGGTGCACGTGTGTGTGTCTAATGGCGTGTGTGTGTTTGTGTGTAATGGTGTGAGTTTGTGTGTATGTCTAATGGCGTGTGTGTGTTTGTGTGTCATGGTGTGAGTTTGTGTGTATGTCTAATGGCGCGTGTGTGTTTGTGTGTCATGGTGTGAGTTTGTGTGTATGTCTAATGGCGTGTTTGTGTGTCATGGTGTGAGTTTGTGTGTGTGTCTAATGGCGTGTGTGTGTTTGTGTGTAATGGTGTGAGTTTGTGTGTATGTCTAATGGCGCGTGTGTTTGTGTCATGGCGTGTGTGTGTTGTCGTGGTTCGTGTGCTGCGCTACGTACGTATGGATGTTTCACTTCTTTCGCACCGTACGTAGCTACCAAGCCGGCAAACCGAGTTTGTATTCCTGCTCACGGCCACCAACACCGGTGACGATTATCTGAATCGGTCCTGGGCCTCCTCCCCTAGGTTGACTCGGCCTCAAATGAGTACCTGGTGCGGTGCGTAGTAAACATCGCCACCGGGGAGACAAAGGCGGCCAGGCGTGTCGGTGCCGGCCACCCACCCCCCACGCACCTTGCCGGCCTTCGTAGGCGCCACTACTCGCGAGCAGCCCTTGGCCTGTGTGGGCTACACGGGGGACCTTTGTCTGCGCGTGTAGGTGAGCGAGCTGCCCTCCTACATCTCCCCCTCGTCGTCGTCGTCGGCGTTCCACTGGTGGCTTGTCCGCGTCTGTCTGGACGCCGTCTCCTCGGGCCTCGTCATCCGCCCGCTGGACGGGGACGCGAGCCCCGCCTCGTCGCGCGCCCCTCGTCTACACGGCGGGGGCGGGCGGGGACCCCCCAGAGACCCCCCAGAGACCCCCTAGAGACCCCCCAGAGACCCCCCAGAGACCCCCTAGAGACCCCCCCCGCCGCCCCCGCTCGGGGGTCCCCGCGGACCCCGCCGGGGAGAGCCCCGACGGCACTGGTGCGACCGGGACCCCCCCGGGAGACGAGGAGAGAGGGAGCCCCGTAGACCCCCCGGCAGGGATGCCAAGGTACCCCAGTAGAGAGGCGATTAGAGACCCCAACACAGAGACCCCTGGGGGGGACCCCAATAAAGAGACCCCGAGAGACCCCAACACAGAGACCCCTAAAAACCTCAGCACAGAGACCCCTAAAAACCTCAACACAGAAACCCCTAGAGACCCCAACACAGAGACCCTTAGAGACCCCATCACAGAGATCCCAACAGAGACCCCTAGAGACCCCCAGAGACCCCCAGAGACCCCCAGAGACCCCAACACAGACCCCTAAAAACCTCAGCACAGAGACCCCTAGAGACCCCATCACAGAGATCCCCAGAGACCCCTAGAGACCCCCAAAGACCCCCCAGACCCCCAGAGACCCCCAGAGACCCCCAAAGACCCCCAGCGACCCCCAGAGACCCCCAGAGACCCCTAGAGACCCCGATCCCGAGTCCAACTCAGACTCAGATTGCACTTTTTGCTTGATGCTAAGATTTGTGAAGTTGAATGTTTTTAAATATTATCTTGTATTCGGAATGACTCGATGTGGCCCAGCGAGTTGGATAACGGAGTCGGCGTGAATGTGAGCGTGCTCACGTTAACAATGTCCGTAATGATCATTATGCTAATTTACTTTGTGGGACAAGTGCTGTTCGGGGAGCTCCTGTGAAGGCCGGCACTGTGGCACACGAGGGGGTGGGTGGCCAGCACCACGCCCGGCCGCCTTTGTCTCCCGAGTGACGATGTTTACACACCGCACCAGGTACTCATTTGAGGCTGAGTCGACCTAGGGGAGGCCAAGGACGGGTTCAGATAATCGACACCGGTGGTGGTGGTGGTGTTGGTTTTACGGCGAATACTCCTGCAGCGTTACCCAGAGCGGCCCGCCCGAGTTGAACCGCGAACAACAAGAGCCTTGAAGTGGATCACCCGAGTTCGATTGCAGTTCAGCCTCGTTGAACACGCCGCTCGTAGTCGTCGTCGTAGATGCGTTCCTGGAAATAAATAGTTTATCAAGCTTACGAATGGTGTGGTTATTGAACAGTGGTGGCGTGGTTGTGGTGACAGGCGGGCGGGTGGGAGAGGCTCAGGAGAGGGTTGGGTTAGTCCAGGGATTCGGCTACTAAAATAACAAGTTCATTTTTTTGTCGAATTTGGTAACAACAAAACAACAACTCAGTCTTTTACCCTTCTATCTGGCAACAAAACTGACACCTTTTTTACAAGGAGTCATGTTTGCATAGACCACATAACCTGCAGTCATAATGCAAACAAAAAACATAACTCTGATAATGTATGCACTGTTCTTGAAGTTGATTGGTCCACACCCGAGACAGCTTTCCTTAGAGCCTAGTCTCACATCAACTTCAAGGACAGTGCAAATTATCAGAGTTATGTTTTTTGTTTGCATTATGACTGCAGGTATTGTGGTCTATGTAAACATGGCTCCTTGTAAAAAATAGGTGTCAGTTTTGTTGCCAGATAGAAGGGTAAAAAACAAATTATCATATATTTACTGACAAATGAGGTTCCAATGGTGGAACAACTCAGTCTTTCAAGATTCCCCAACGCACCGCGGCGGTGAATACGAGAGGGTTGGAGTCCTTCATGAGCCACGATGCAAGTCCTCCAAAGAGCCGCGTGTGGCTCCCGAGACGTCTGCCGTGTCGATGCGTAAACTCCATATTGCTGTGGCGGGAGCCAGTCTCGCCGGATGCCACCCGCCATTTGACTTGCCACGAAATTGGCGCTTCGAATCGATCTCGGGAGACACGATGGGCGCTTGCCCACCCTCTCAGCACCGCCAATGTCATCAGCTGGTCGGTGAAACTTGTAAACGAGTCGTGCAGGATTGCAGCAGCAGCAGCTGAAATGTTTGGTGATGTGACAGAGAAGAAGGGCTGTACATATCCACGCCGAGGCTGAGAAGGCAAGCTGGTGGAATGCGTCCGATCTGCCCGCATCTGGGTCGCGAGCAGATCCGGAGGTTGACTTACCCACCCACTCACCCACCAACTCACCCATTCATCCACTCACCCACCAACTCATCCACTCACCCACCAACTCGCCTACTCATCCACTCACCCACCTACTCACCCACCTACTCAGCCACTCACCCACCAACTCACCTACTCACTCACCCACCAACTCACCCACCCACCAACTCACCCACCCACCAACTCACCCACCCACTCATCCACTCACCCACCCACTCATCCACTCACCCACCCACTCATCCACTCACCCACCAACTCGCCTACTCACTCACCCACTCACCCACCAACTCGCCTACTCACTCACCCACCAACTCACCCACCCACTCGCTCAGAACCTGCAGGGAGTGAAGCCCAGTTTGCTGGACATTCGTGAAAAGCGCTTCATAGCTCATCGGATTCCTCCAGAGAGAATCATCCAAATGGCGTCTTCCTGCGACGTCGTCGTCGATGACGTCACAGATGCGGGAGCTCTCAGCCAATGAGCGTCGGAGACGGGGCAGGAAAGACCTCGCGGTGCCCCCAGCGCCGCCGCCGCTTGGGAGCGATTTGGTTTTAGTGGCGGGGGAGGTCGTAGTGGGAGGGGTGGTAGAGGGCGTGGCCTGCTGAGGGGGCGTGGTCTGGCTAGGGGCGTGGCCTGCTGAGGGGGCGTGGTCTGGCCAGGGGCGTGGCCTGCAGAGGGGTGTGGTATGATGAGGGGGCGTGGTCTATCTAGGGGCGTGGCCTGCTGAGGGGCGTGGTCTACGGGGCGTCCTGTCGAGGGGCGTGGCCTGTTGAGGGGGCGTGGCCTGAGTGCGTGGGGCGTGGCCGGGTCTATCCGCTCTACCAAATCAAACGGCGTTCTTTAGTCGAACGTCGCTTTCGGTTCCCGTATTCCCGTATCGGCGACGTTTCGCGGAACGGGCCTCTTTTACTCGCAGTCGCCAATACCTCGCCACGAAGCGACGGTGACGTCACCACGGCGCCCGTGCCAGGCTAGGTGCACTTTGTGGCTGCCACGTGAAAGTGTCGTAGGCTCGCTGGTGGCAGCAGCAGGAGGTCACGGGACAGACCCAGCGGGTGCCACGGGTCCGTGTTGCCGGAGGACGACTGCCTCCAACAACCCAGTCCAGCCAATGTGCACCTAGCCTGGCACTGCCCATTAGCGTCCTTCACGAAAGACAACTATCCCCCCCCCCCCCGTGAAGGCCGACACGGCGCACGAAGAGAGGAGGGTGGCCAGCACCACGCCCGGCCGCCTTTGTCTCCCCGGCGGCGATGTTTGTACACACAGCACCAGGCTATCATTTGAGGCTGAGTCGACCTAGGGAAGTTGCCCTGGACCGGCCCAGCCGAGGCGGTCACTTCCCAGCAGCAGCAGCAGCAGTCTGGGCGGTGACTTCCAGTCGCTTCGTGCTCGTCACACTTCCTCGTACAGAGCCCGTGCAGAGTTAGACTCAAACAGAGCACACACAGACAGTACTCACACAGAGTACACAGAGTACAAAGAGTACTCACACACAGAGTACTCACACAGAGTACACACACACAGAGTACACACAGAGTACACACACACAGTGTACACACACAGTGTACACACACAGTACACACACACAGTGTACACACACAATACACACACAGAGTACACACACACAGTGTACACACACAGTACACACACACAGTGTACACACACAATACACACACAGAGTACACACACACAGTGTACACACACACAGTGTACACACACAGTGTACACACACAGTACACACACACAGTGTACACACACAGTACACACACAGAGTACACACACAATACACACATAGTACACACACAGTGTACACATAATACACAGAGCACACACAGAGGACTCGTAGACAGAGTACACAGAGTGCACACACAGAGTACACACACATATACTCATCACTCCCCTCCCCCCCAGCGTCTGTGTGTGTCTCAGCTCGTGAGTTGCCCCCCTACAAGTTGCAGGTCACCGCACTACGACTACTGCAGCAGCTGGTAACTTTGCAACACACACACACTGCTAACACACACACACCACTAACACATACACACACAATCACACACACACTGCTAACACACACACACACACACCACTAACACACACACTACTAACACACACACCACTAACACACACACCACTAACACACACACACTGCTAACACACTCACACCACTAACACACACACACACTGCTAACACACACACACCACTAACGCACACACACAATCACACACACACACAATCACACACACAACCACATACACACAATCACACACACACACAGTCTCACACACATTCACACACAGAGTACACACAGTACACACACGAGCAGACACACAGAGTACACACACACACGAGTACACACACACAGTACACACAGAGTACACACAGAGTACACACACACAGTACACACACAGAGTACACACACAGTACACACACAGAGTACACACACAGAGTACACACACAGTACACACACACACGAGTACACACACAGAGTACACAGAGTACACACACGCACGAGTAGATACACATATCTCTCCTCCCCAGCGTCTTTGTGTCTCAGGCGATTCGCCAAAATTGGTCACCTTTATTATGCAAACGTCACTTACATCTGTCATGTACAGCGTGGTCCAGATGTCTTGTGACCTCCCACTGATATAAACTTTACTTTTAAATGTTAAGTCTTAGATACTTAAATGGGCATCACAAGACATCCGGACCGCCTGTATATTATGTAGACAAAGATCCCCCGTGTAGCCTCAACAGACTGTAGGGGCAAGTTCTGTTAGCGAGCACCTATTAAGGGTGAGACGGCACACGTGTGGATGGGTGGCCAGCACCACACCCGGCCGCCTTTGTCTCCCCAGTGCTGGCGATGTTGACTGCACACCGAATTGTCACGTTCTGTCTACATGACAAACGTTACTAACTGGCTGTGTAGGGTGGTGACGGGTTTAACGACACATTCATATCTACGCGATGTCACAAAAACTCTATTATGAATATATAATCAGACGTTTCAAGCAATGGCCCTTCACAGCATGTAGATCTCATCGACCTTGGGCCTCTCTGTGTGCTGTGAAGGGAGGCCCGTTGCCCGAAACGTCGCCTCTTGTATCCTTTTTGACACACTTGCATTATTTTGACACACTTTTATTGAGCTTGCCCTGTTGTCTTTGACGCTTAATACGCTACCGTGTGTTTATAAAGCGCCTTTCACCAAGGCGCTTGCCAATGCCTACTGACGCCAGTACAACACGGCACGATGAGGGATGGGGCAGTGACGAGGGTTGGAGGCTGTGGCAGGAGGCGTCCAGGGCGCTGGGTGGTGCTGGTCGCGGTAGAGGAAACAAGGCTGTGTGGACAGTGATACAAGAGGACCGCCTGTGTGGGCAGTGATACAAGAGGACAGCGAGGGGAGAGTAGCATGTGGAGAGGGGAGCGTGTCCCAGTGTAAGGCGGCAAGCAGCGAGACGGAGTGAAAGTGAGACTGGGCGCAGGGTGGAGGAGGAAGAAGATTGACAGCTTGTGACCGGAGTGGGCATGATGGAGCATAGAAGGAAGATGAGAGGAGAGAGGTAAGAGGGGGGGGGGCAGTCCATGCAAAGCTTTGCAAACTAAGGTGAGCAATTTCAAGAGGCAGCGGTTGGAAGTGAAGGAAGATGACTGAACGGGGTGAAAGACGTGGAGGGGTTAGGAGGAGAGGCGGCAGAGTCGAGCACGGTGGTGTTAGAAGGGTGAAGGGGAATTACATTTTGTGCCATCCACGTTTGGATGTCCAGTAGGCAGGTTGGGACGTGGTGGGAAAGGTCGGGGGTCAGAGCCTTAAAGGGAAAGATTTGAGCGTCGTCGGCGAATCGGTGGCACGAGAGATTGAGAGAAGCGAGGATGGGCTCGAGGGGGGCACGTGTAGAGGGGGGCACGTGGCGAGGGGGGCACGTGGCGAGGCAGAATCGGAGAGAAGTGGATAAGAGGATGGAGCCATCAAGGAGGTCGAAAGCCGCGGACAGATCCGAGAGAAATATCTTCGGATCTACGAAGCCGAACGAGCTGATAGTGTCTACACAGACTCGCCTCGTGTGACGTTTGAAGATTTAATTAAACAAAAACCGGTCCAGGTCCTGCCGATCCCGGGCTATTCATGTTTTTAAAACTTAATTTTAATAATATGCAACACGTGGTTTACCCCTCCACCATTTTGAATGTATTATTTTCTCTTTCTACGTGATGACTTTACCGAAAGAACCAAGACGATGAATCCCTGCAGTCACGAAAGCTTTAAATCGAAATGCAACACGTGTTTACCCCTCCACCATTTTGAAAAAATCTCCAATGGCCACGCCCAGCTCCGCGGGCAAAGTTTCGTCCAATCAGAGCGGCTGTTGCTGGGCGGCCTCTGACCAATGAGAGGCGCGCGTTGACATCGCCGCCCGTCATGGCGCCGAAACGGCCGTTGTGTTCCTCCCTCAGCTAGACACCAACAACAACAGCAGCAGCAACAACAACAACAATGATGATTACTGTTGCTACAATAATTATATAGTTGTCTTAAATAGTCTTATCATTCCCTCTAGCACGCTGAGGGCAACATGGTTGTGCTGAAGTTGAGTGAGCAGGCGAGAACCGCGATCGTCGTTTTACAATGAAATCCACCAAAGTTATCGATAATTTTTTATCGGCAAAATTCTCTAATCAACGATGTTGATATACACGCTTTCGATTAAAGTGCTAAATCTGTGCACGTGCAATACGTTCTCACGATATGCAATGTTACTCTCTTACAGTACAGCGCCCTGTGCGTCTCGTGGTGGTGTCAGTGGCAATTGACGACTTTGCAATCGGCGTGAGCGCGATTCTAATTGTAGATTTGAAGCTTTCGTGACTGCAAGGATTCATACTCTTAGGTGTTTTCGGTAAAGTCACGTAGGAAAATAATAAGTAATAGAAAAAAATACATAATTTTTTCTATTATTATAAATTTTTATAATAGAAAAAATAATAGAAATAAAATAGTTTTCTCTATTATTTATTTTTATTATAATACAAAAAATAATAGAAAAAATAAAATTAATTCTAATATCTTGTATTATTTTTTATTATTATTTATTTTTTACCTACGTGACTTTACCGAAAAAACCTAAGAGTATTCAAATTGTATTATTGTAATAGCCGTGATGCATGCCATCAAACTTTCATTTCGTAGACTGCTGTTATGTAGCAATGCGCATGCTTTCTTTCATCTCTTGTGGGGCAAGGGGTTGACAGGCAAAGCCATCATCGTCATACTCTGTTTTTTTCGGTAAAGTCACGCCGGTAAATAAATAAATTAAATGACGACGTTTCGGGCGCAACACAAGCGTCCTTCTTCAGGTGGGGACAACTTAGCGAAAGCACAACACCCCTTTCGCTAAGTTGATTTAAATTATTTTACATTTTTACCTACGTGACTTTACCAAAATAACCAAATAGTATGAATCCTTGCAGTCACGAAAACTTCTAATCTAGAACCATCATCGTCATCTCTACTACAAGGTCTTAACAAAATTAAGTTTAAAAAACCAAGCCTTTCTAAAGTGTACGAAAAGTATTCCTTTCACCCCACAATGAATCACATTTCATGTGCTGAATAAAAGTGGGTGGCTCGCACGAAGAAAAATCTACTTATTGCTCGTGTTATCGGTTGTGTATACACAAGCAACGTTTTTTAAAATTTTATTTAATTTTTATTATGTTTTAATTTGATTATTTCCCTTCAACGTGACTTTACCGAAAGAACCAAGAAGATGAATCCCTGCAGTCACGAAAGCTTTAAATAAAAAAATACAAGCAACGTTGTGAACGTATCGTGCGAGTCGAACTAGGGGCCTCCCTCCCCTAGGTCCACTCAGCCTCAAAGGAGTACCTGGTGCGGTGTGTTGGAAACATCACTAGGGAGACAAAGGCGGCCGGGCGTGGTGCTGGCCACCCACCCCCTTGCCCCTACAGTCTGTTAGAGGCTACGCGGGGGACCTTTGTCACACCATCATCTTCTCTAGCCGTGCTCTATCCACTGCTGTATGAACGCCTCCCCAAAGCGATGGGAAATCAATCTCGTGGCCCTGTGCACAAGCAGAGTTTATCGATCCATCTCCGTGGTGATATTGGGGTAATCCGATGAGCTATGAAGCTCTTTTTTTACAGGTGTCCAGTCGGGGCACGGGGGTCGGAGAGGTTACAACATCAAACAGTACAACACACACAATAGTGCAAAATATTCATATCGTCTAGGATTGAAGCTTTCGTGACTGCAGAAATTATACTCATTGTTTTTTTCGGTAAAGTCACGTATGTAGACATAAAATAAAATGTAAATAAATACAATTTAATTAAAAGAAATCACTGATTTATTTTAATAAAATTTAAATAAAAATAAATACATAATGATTTATTTTTTTTGTTAATTAATTTAAAATGTATTTTATTTTTGATTTATTACATTTTTTTTCAAATTTTATTTTATTTTTACATACGTGACTTTACCGAAAAAAACCAATGAGTATTCTTCCTATCGTGTTTTTCTTTAAAACTGCTTTTTGTGTTTGGTTTGTTGTATTTACTAAACGATGCAAAGCATAGGAAAGGTAAGGAAACCATTACAAATACAAAAAAATCGAGGTAAAGCTTTTAGTTATTCTTTTTCAGAAGTGACCTGGCCACAAATGATAGTTCATCCAAGTGGATTATCACATGGATTTTATAGACTCAAAACAGTGTGCTGCTTATATTGTTTGTATGGTGGTGGCCCATCTAACTACTATCCAGCTTCATGTCTTCTTAACTTCCGAGATTGAGCGGACTCATGGAAAAACGTAACAATGCATATTGTATATTTGATCACCAGTTCATATCAGCTCACACTTGACCTTCAAACCAGAGGTCACCAGTTCATAGCAGCCCACACTTGACCTGGAATCCAGAGGGCACCGATTAGATTCCATCTCCCGGCAGCGCGGTAGTTGTGAAACACTTGGGGGGGCGAGTTGATTACATCTCTGTCCACTCAGCTGTACGCCTGGCTCCAGTATGCACGGTCAGCCCATCGGCCAAGTCGCCTTCGCTCGCTTGCTATCCGCGCCCGTGTCCCCGTGTCCCTCCCTCTCTCTGCAGAAGGGCGGTGCGGGCGACAGCCTCCGCCGGCTGGAGGATGCGGTGCACCAACCCCGACTGCTCAAGCACACCGCGCGACGGAGACCGCTTCTGTAGTCAGTGTGGCCGGAGTCTTGGGGATGTGAGCAAATCGCCCGCTCCTGCTGCTGCTGCTACAGGTCCTGGTGCTGCTCCTGCTGCGACTGCTGCTGCTGCCGCTGCTCCTGTTCCTGCTGCTGCTGCTGCTGCTGCAGCTCCTGCTGCAGCTCCTGCTGCAGCTCCTGCAGCCGCCGAGCGGTCGGATGTGGCAGCAACAAGGTCTGACCAGCCTGGTCACGAGGCAGCAGCTCATGAAGGTCGTGGCCCCTCCTCCTCGACGGACGTTGGGACTCCTCGAACGGACGAAGGCGGAACGTCCTTTGCCGGTGACGATGGGCGGCCGGGGGAAGACGCGCCTGCGCCCGGCGTCAACCCGCCTGCTCCGGGAGACTCGCCGACGTGCGCAGGAGGTCGCACGACTTCCCAAGGCCCCTGGGAAGTTGGCGCCGAGGGTTCCCGTCCGGAGGAATCGTCGCCGTCCCGTGACGGCCGGCCCGGAGACCCTCTGGGTTCGGCGGGCGACGAATGTGGGGCCGAGCGAGGGGACCTGTCGGCGGCGCGTGGGGCGGACGAGCGGGCCGGTCCGGCAAGCTCACCAGCGGCGTTCGGCGGTGAGCGACGGTGTTCAGCCGGTGAAGCAACTGCCGAAGAGAAGCGACCGCCTTCGGAGACCGCAGAATCACACGAAGACAACGAGACCACACCGTCACGTACTGACGATGTCACACACCCTGAGGCCACACCGTCATGTACTGATGATGTCACACACCCTGAGGCCACACCGTCACATGCTGACGATGTCGCACACCCTGAGGCCACACCGTCACGTACAGACGTCACGCACCCTGAGGCCACACCGTCAGCTACAGATGTCACACACCCCGAGGCCACACCGTCACGTACAGACGTCACACACCCTGAGGCCACACCATCACGTACAGACATCACACACCCTGAGACCACACCGTCACGTACAGACATCACATACCCTGAGACCACACCGTCACGTACAGACGTCAGACACCCTGAGGCGACACCGTCACGTACAGACGTCGTCACACACCCCGAGGCCACACCGTCACGTACTGACGTCACACACCCTGAGGCCACACCGTCAGCTACAGACGATGTCACACACCATGAAGACAGGGCCACGTGCTCTGCGGAATCATCGGCACGTGGAGACTCCACGCCTGGCCACGACTCTCAAGGTACCGGCGCTCACCACTTCACTTTGGAGCTCAAGCACGGTTGTCTATGTACCGTGCGAACGAAGTTCAACGTAATTACGCATATTCTAAACTAGTCGAGCACTGTTTTTTAAAACTTGTTTGGCCTGTGAGACCACTCATCCAATGTCAACATTACCGCGGACCACCCAGCCCCCCACCCCTGTTGACAAAACGCATTCCCTTCTCTCAGTACCAGCAATACAAATACCAGAAATACATTCACTCCTCTCTCTCTAAATACCACTCATATCACTGGAACATACAACTTTTTTTTTACACAGTTATGAGGTTTTATTTTTTAGGGGTGGGGGGGACATATATTCTGTGGCCGTCTGGAACGCTCTTCTGGTATGTGGAAGCCATTGGGAGCTATGCAATTTAAAATCATCATCTAGATTGACAAACTAGTTTTTTTAGAACAGCTTTTATTGTTGTCCTTCACCCACACCTCCTTAGCATGGTTGGCTACGTACGGTGCGAAAGAGGCTCAACATCAACACGTACGATGATAACAACAACAACAATAATAATCAACGGTCTGTCTCTCGTCCTCACCACGAGTGGTGCCTGACCAGAGTTCCGGTCGTTCTTCCCCCAGGTGGCCGGGCCCCGGTAGCTGACGGAGGCGGACGCACAGAGCGCCTGGTACGTGGTTCGGCGATGCTCGTGCTGATCCTGTAGAGATTTGTACGGCAGCGCCTTCGTCCAAGGCGCTTTACGATAGCTAAATAATTGTACGTCGGATGACTGGCGGTTGAGATAAAGAGTGGGGCTCTTATTGTGGTGGTTGTGGTTAATAAAAGTGGTGGTGTAGTTCTAGTGACAGGAGGGCAAGGTGGGAGTGGTGAAGGAGGGGTTGGGGTAGGAGTGGTGATAGGCGGAGTGATAGGGGTAGGGATAGGGGGTAGGGGTAGGGATAGGGGGTAGGGGTAGGGATAGAGGTAGTGATAGGGGTTAGAGCTTGTGATAGGGGTAGTGATAGGGGTAGTGATTGGGGTTGGGGTAGTGATAGGGGTAGTGATAGGGGTTGGGATAATGGGAGAGGTAGTGATAGGGGGTAGAGGTAGTGATAGGGGTTAGGGGTAGTGATAGGGGTAGTGATAGGGGTAGGGGTAGTGTTAGAGGTCGTGATAGGGGTTGGGGTAGTGATGGAGGTAGTGATAGAGGTTGGGGTAGTGAGAGAGGTCGTGATAGGAGTAGTGCTTGGCCTGGTCGTAGCTGGGGCACGGGGACAGGGAGTCGCAGTAGCAGGATGATGCTGGGCTAGGGATAAGTGATGGGGGTTGTTTTAATCGTTTAGTTTACACTGGGAATCGAACCCGGGTTGCTGGGTTCGTAGCATTGTGCACGAACCACTGCGCCAACGTTCCCCACTGTGCATACTGTATACACACGCGTGTGCGTGATTTTCTGTATTTTCTCACCAGACACCGCTGAGTTCGAGCTCTGGGCCCAGTGGGACAGTTCCACAGGAGAGAGACAACGTGGATCTTTGGTACGAGTAATACCGCTCAGGCTAAACATTGAAATTGTATATTCCCAGGCAAGGCCCACTGAGCTATGTTCAGTAGCTGTTTTTCAGAAGCGGCATGGCTATCACAAATGATCGCTCAACGAATCGACTTTCCATCACTTGAAAATTTAGAGCAGCATCCAAAAACTTTGAACACACATCGATTCTGAATGTGGGAGGGAAACAACGGAGAACTCGTGAGAAAAATCCACGCCACCACAGGGAGAGAAAGACACGCAAACTCCAAATATAGAGCAGGCGTCCTCAGGATCGGGATCGAACCCACGACCTCCTGCATACCAGGCGACGGCATTAACATCTCACCACCGCTGCCCCCACCGAACCAACCAACAATATCGACGTAGCACCGCTCCCACTGCGACGCGGTGGAGCATCCCGTGAGACGAAGGGGATGATGGGGGGTGGCGCAGATTGACGCAGGTTGATGCCGTCGTCCCGCGCGCCGCCATTCGAAAATTCTTCTCCCCCCCCCCTCTCTCCTCCCCGTCTCTCGCCGGTGAGCGCAGGCGGCAAGGCGAGCAGGAGGGCCGCCCCAAGATGAGTCTTCACTTCCACGCTGTGCTCTCGAAGGATTTTCATTTCGACCCGAGCCGCAACCGCCTGGAGCTGCGATCGCAGGACCTGGCAGGGAATTGGATGACTTCCGCTGGCCGCCTGGACTTGAAGAGGTATTCGCAAAAGTTGATCACAATCAGGATCTGTATTTATACTGGAGGAGGAATCCGACGAACTATAAAGTTATTTTTTAAAACAGGTGTCCAGTTAGGGGCGCATTACAACAACAAACAATACAAAAATAACACAATAGGAGGGCAAAGTATAGGTGTGGTAAACAAATAACTTAAAAAATATATACAAACTCAACTATCTTTTATCTTACCACACCGCTTGGTGTGCCGACCGTGAACGCTGCTCCATCCCATCTGTCTTCTTCGCAGAGGACATTTGAAAGATCCCTTGCCGACGTTTGGAAAAAAAAAGAGGGGTATCAGAATCTTTATTTATACTGCAGGAGCAATCCGATGAGCTACAAATCTCTTTTTCTACAGATATCCAGAAGCGGCACGGGGTCAGAACTTTACAACGACAAACACATTTTAAAAACACAACAGGAGTGCAAAGTATAAGAAATGTAAACAAATCACTAAACAGAAACAATAAAAATAATAAAATTAAACATAATACAATAATTCTCATGTCTGTCGGGGAGACAGACCTGGTCTTCACCTGATGACGGCTGCTTGCGTTGTGGCCGAAACGTCATGAGAAATATTTTATTATGTTTTATTTTATTATTTTAATTGTTTTCATTCTACGTGACTTTACCGAAAGAACCAAGAAGATGAATCCCTGCAGTCTCGAAAGCTTTAAATCGAAAAATAAAATCTCTAAACAACAAAAATTTACCAGGCCACAAATGATAGCGCGACGAAGTGGCTTATCACTATTTGGAAATTTGGAGCAGCCAAATGATATAAATAATCTGAACGCATGTGGCGGCTGTGATGGCCACGCACGATGGTCATCGAGCACTGGTGGAGGCAGCAGAGGGGGTTAGTGGATCACAGGTGTCCAGTCGGGAGTGACCTAGACCATCAACTCACTGCCCTTGAGGACAAAGTTTAACCAAACGTGGTCAGTGTCAGTCCGTGGATTTCCATTGTAAGTCTACGGTGCTCTGCGTGAGTCACAGCTGACCAGGCTGAGACCTTCAACTTGAGAACCCGGTTTAATTACAACTTTATCTGTGAGGGTCTAAAGGTCTCCATGTATGTCTATGGATCTCCATTTGAGTCGATGGTGCTATTCGTGGGTAATTGGTGACCAGGCTGACACCAACAACTCTCTGTACTCATATTCTTAGGTTTTTTTCGGTTAAGTCGGTAAAGTCAATTACACTTTTTTGGACCATCTTATCTGACAGGCACTATCTTACTTTACTTTACCGAGTGTTAACATCCCCAGTGTTTAACAGTACTCTCTTCATTGTTCAGCCAGCATTGGTATAAACATGGGCATTTTCGCTCTTTTTCTATCATGTGTATCAGGCCTCCCCCTCCCCCTCTCTGTCCAATGCGTTGGCGTTGTGCAACAGCAACCGCTTCCACGCCGTCGTGCAATCTTTGGCCCCGCCCCCCCCTCCCCCTCCCGATGCGTTGTGCAACACCAACAGCGTCCACGCCGACGTGCGTTCTTTTGGCCCCGCCCCCCCCTCCCGATGCGTTCCATTCATTGGCTACCACATTCTGATGAGCTCCCCCCCCTCTCCTCCCCCTCAACTTGCTTTTTAAGGGATTACATCTTGAATCATTGCCTCACTTGATGCAGCTAATCCGGCTGTGACGGTCCCACCTGATGACGGAGACTTGTGTTGCCTCCGAAACGTCGTGATTTTTGTTTTGTTTTATTTGTATTAATTTTGATGTTTTACCTACGTGACTTTACCGAAAAAACCTAAGAATATGAATCCTTGCAGTCACGAAAGCTTCAAATCTAGAATTAACTCTCTATACTTGAGATTCGAATCCCAGGACTCTGAGCGGCATTGCATCTCGGCATCGTGCAGCACCAAGGTGCTTGAACGCCCCCCCCTCCACCGCCTCTCACCGGAGCAGTCGATGCCGCGTCCATCTGCCCGTCCGTCTGTCCGTCCCCCCCCCCTCCCGCGTCTCATCCACGCAGAGATCTCGGGGAGAGTGGATTGCTGATGGAGGGGTGCTGCGATGTGAGCATGGAGACCTTGCGGAGCGGGAAGAATGTCGCCTACAAATACGTGGTGGTGAAGGAGTCTAAGATCAAGTACGAGTGCATCTACAAGCACGACAAGCCCAAGGACGTGCATCTCAACCGCTCCATGTTTGTTCCCCCCGAGTACTGCACCAAAGACGGTAAGGGCGCTGCTCCTGTGACCCGTAGGCTGGGACAACAGCGGTGTCAAAGCGTCTGCCACGGACGCGTGCAGAGTACACCCTTGTGTAAGCTTAACACGTAGGAGGCTTTCGCGACCAACATTATCCATAAATAGAGGTTTTGGGTTAGATGGTGTAAATATAAATGGGTCGTTAAACCCGACGCAGCCAATTAGTAAGGTTTGTCACGTAAACAAAATGTGCCAATTCGTTACTATTACAGTACACCGGTGTGTTGGAGTCTAAATCCACAACATTTACAATTTGATTACGACTCTTCGCCCGTAATTACAACTAGCATCATCAGGCGACAGCCCGAGTTGTGGAGAAATCCTCCCTTGTGTAACACAGCCTCAGATAGAACAGAGCTTCGTTACAGCCTTCACAGCAATAGTGGCAGAGGGGATCCTGCAGCGTGGCTTTCGCGTGCACACACACGTACACGCACGTGGCTAGAGAAGGTGAGAGTGTGGAATGATGAGGCACCATGGTGGTGAAATGTTAACTACCTCGCCTGGTGTGTAGGAGATCGTGGGTTTGATCCCGACCCTGACGCCTGCATGTTTGGAGTTTGCGTGTCTCTCTCCCAGTGGTCGCGTGTATTTTTCTCCGGGTCCTCCGGTTTTTCCCTCCACATTTAGAATCAACATGCGTTGAAAGTATTTGGCTGCTAAAAATTTCCACGTGATAAACCACTTGGTTGAGCTATCATTTGTGGCAAGGTCGCTTCTGAAAAAAAGAGCTATATAGCTCAGGGAGCCTTACCTGGTCCAATAGAAATAGTTTATTTTTTAGTTTTAATGAGTGTTTTTGCTTCACGTGGGAGGATGCCCAGAGTGCAGAGAGAAAAAATAGACAGGTCAAGACAGACAGATCCAGACAGACAGTGCCACATAGACAGGTCTACACAGACAGGTCCTCCGCAATTGGAATGTTATCGGGGGGGGGGGGGGGGGGTCTTCCACCAGCGGTTTGCGTAAGCGAGTAACTCCAGGGCTGCCTTGACCCTCATAGCGGGCTCGCACGGGGGAGGGGCTGGGGGTGGCGGAGGCTCACTCGCGTCGTCGTCCCGTCCCCGCAGGCTCGTGGCATCAGTACGACGACGTCATCTGCGCGCCGCCGCCCGGCAGCTTGGTCGCGTTCTTCAAGGACAAGTTCAATCTGAACAAGGACGTGCAGAACGGCAAGAGGCTGGCCGGTAGGGCACCCTCCACCGCGCTGGCGTCGCCAATCCTCGTCGCGGCCGCCCTGTCTCTCTACTTTTTTCCATTTGTACAACCCGAGCCGGGGCCGTGCCGGGGCCGTGCCGAGCCTGAGCCGGCCTGCCGAGGCTCGGCGGAGAGGCTCCCGGTGTCGTTTTTTCTACCTCCGAAGCCGAGCTGTGATGACGACGCTACCTCTCGGCCATTGCCCAACACTTCGCTTATTTAAATATGTTGTTAATATTTTAAGGCGGCACGCACGCGCACTCACACTCACACAGTGTTATTGACGCACATGCTGAGGTTTTTTTGTTACCTGTGACATTTGGCTGATGGAAAAGTGTTTTTAGTCTTGGCAATGACAGCGTGTGGAATTATAGTCCACTCCTCTTCTGTAGAATTGACTTGAGCAATTTTCTGAGACTAGTCGGCTAAAAGAATCAGACACTGAGTTCAACAGAAATGGGCCGGACTCAAGAGAAAGGGGTAGGAACTAAAGATTAAGGGGTGAGGACTGAAGAGGAAGGGGTGAGGACTGAAGAGGTAGGGGGTGGGGCATGAATAGGAAGCGGCGGTACCTAAAGAGGAGGGTGGGAGACAAACCTCAAATGTTTATATTTGAGGAGGAGTGTCTGAACCATGAGCTGCTGAACTAGAGAGATTAAAGCAGAGAATCAAACAAGTGCAACAGGAATACACAAATGTAGTGAATGCGATGCAGCAACTAATCATAATAAGAACACACAAGGCTTAGAGTGTTTGAACACACAGTGCACACCTCAGAGCATTGTTAAACCTATGTTTTCCCGTGCTAATTATTTTCTTACCACGGGCTTTGCTCATCACAGAATAGATTTGTTTAAAAAAAGATGTTTTTAATTGTCAATGCGTTGTGATAAATATAATTGTGCCGTGAAACGTGATGTCGCGGTGATCATTCAGTGTTGACAAATCGGCAGGGATGTATACCCGTATACTTTATTTATATGAATTCATAATTACCTGCTTACCTTTTCTCTATTTTGTACTCTCATCGTTTGGTGTTTTACCGTTCGTTTGTTGTAACTCGCTGACCCGTGGTGCCCCTTCTGGACATCTGTGATAAAGAGCTTCATAGCTCTTCGGATTCCTCCTCCAGCCTAAATGGAGATTCTGATTCTGTCATGCGCAGGCCGAGTGCACCTGGAGGAGATCTGTGGGAACCTTCGCGCCTGCACCCCGGACAATCTGGAGAGTTTCTTCAACCATTTGTGGCAGTTCACCCATTGCTTTGGTAACCCCTGGATCCATGAAGGGCGTCACAAGCGCTGGGTGGATCTGGAGTTTGGCAAAGCACAGGTAGTTACCCTCCTCCTCCTGCTTCCCTCTGTCCCTGTTCCTTTGTGTTCTGACCCACCTCTCCAACTGGACATCTGTGATTTAGAGCTTCATAGCTCGTCGGATTTCTCCAGGATAAATAAAGATTCTGATTGGGTTTGTATGTTGAATTTGTTTCGCAGCGTACGTAGCCAACCGTGCTGATCCGAGGTGCGAGGGAAGGACAACAAACTAAACACAAGAAGCAGTTCTGAAGAAATTAGTTTTCAATCTTGAAAACTCAATTTACATTGAGCCGGGTTGTACATAAATTATATTAATGGTGATGGCCAAACGAAACAATATCCCAATATAGGACCACAGAGCTTGGGAAATGTTCTGGTTACGGCTGCCTTACCACGTGTCTGGCGAACCCTCTCTGTCTCTGTAGAACGCCGTGCGCGTTACAAACATCATCTTACATTTGTATCTATGGGATACCTTTTTGCCAGTGTAGTGGGTTCACCGACTCGCAGACGTAGACTTTGGAGGCAGCGCACATGGGGTAAACTTCCCCTTAACAGAATAACAACCTAGGGTGGTGACCACCCGGCTAACTACACTAGTTATAACGTAACTGTTACTCCGGGACCAACAGCATCTGCCCAGGTCCACGTGCTGGAAGACTCGTAGAAGGGAGATCGTAGACGAAGGGTTTCTTTCCCGGGATGAACAACAACCACCACGATCCCTCTCGGGACTCGGCTGATATTCTCTGCGACGTGGCCGGCTCTTGGCCACGTCCACCTTTCAGAACCATTAGGAGGACCTCAGTCCCAATCACGTGACCCCCCAGCCCCCTCTTGGGGGCCCCCTGTCATCTTAACCGGTCACGTGTCCTCCCGGGTCAGCCAGAGTGCCATGGCCTCACGCAACATTACCCTTCGGTCGGCACCCACACGCCGTCCCCCTCTAGGGCCGGTACTGCACCCACAGCATGGTGCCATCCAGCGATGTTACTCAACCAGTATCAAAATGAATAAAACGTGTAAATAGGTTTTACCCTTTCTGGCAATAAAACAGGATGTTTTAAGATGTTCAAACACGAAATTGCTACGTATTGCAAGGGGCTGAAGTCTGCATAACTGCTCAACCCAAGCTATTAATACTTTGATACTTGTGTAATGATTTTCTGCTGTGATGTATGCTCCCCCTACCCCCTCCTCCTCCCGCATTGCCAGGTGAACGAGATGTTGTCGGATCTCATCGTGAAGATCGTCAAGAGCCACACCGACCGTGACTCGGCCGCCAGCGTCCTGCCTCTCTCCGCGGCGGACTCGGCGATGATCGCCGCCCGACTGCTGCACGATCACGAGATCGGCCTTCCCGCCGCCCAACTGCAGGCCATCTGCCAGATGCTGTCTCTGCCCGCCGGCCAGAACGAGAGCGCCATCAGAGACCGCTGCCAGGCCCTCTCCCTGAACAGCTGGCAAGTCACTCGCTCCCGTGGCGTAGATTTTGACTCGGGCGCGAGGGCCGCGGAAGCCTCTGCCTACTCACCGAGGGGCCGAACAGGGCGGTCCAGACAACGATCTCCCCGTGTAGCCTAGACAGGCCTAAACAGGCTACACGGGGGGATCGTTGAGGAGGCCGTAGTGGTCAGATGTTAATTACCTCGCCTGGTACGCAGGAGGTCGTGGGTTCGATCCTGACCCTGATGCCTGCTGCATATTTAGAGTTTGCGTGTTCTCCCTGTGATCATGTGGATTTTTATTTGGGTCCTCCGGTTTTTATTTAATTTGTTCAGAGTATTTGGCTGCTATAAATTTCCTGAAGATAAGTCACTTTGTTGAGCTGTCATTTGTGGTCAACTACATAGCTTAGTGGGCCTTACCTAGTAAAATTAAAAATAGTTTATCTTAGTTTTAGTTGGGTTTTATCGAGTGCCTTATGGTCTCCGGGTGAAAGGCGCCTCTTTCTTACCATTATTATTAACATAAACTAAACTAAACTTTTAGTTTTACCAGGTAAGGCCCACTGTGCTACATAGCTTTTTTTCAGAAGCGACCTGGTCATAAATAACAGCTCAGCGAAGTGGCTTATCACGTGGAAATTTATAGCGGCCAAATACTCTATAAACGCACGTCGATTCTAAATGTGGAGGGAGAAATTGAAAGACCCGGAGACGAATCCACGTGGCCACGGAGAGAGAGAACACGCAAACTCCACATTACAGAAGGCGTCAGGGTCGGGATCGAGCCCTCGACCTCCTGCGTACCAGGCAAGGTAGTTAACATCTCCTCATACGCCAGTAGACAAGGACACGCGAGCGTCATCCGTGCGTCGTCGCCGCAGAGGAGAGAATCTCCTCCCAGAACTCTGCCCTGACCCACCCCCGTGTGCGTGCCCGCGCCCCCAGGCTGGTGCCATCACTCACGGCCCTCTGCTCCAGCTGTGCCAAGGCCGGCCTCCCCGATTGGCTGCTGGCCGTGCCGCTGCTGCACTTTGTGAGCGGCAGGGCGGCGCCCTTCACACCCGGCGTCGAGGGTCTCGACGCGGAGGGGACGTGGGCCGGCCTGCAGGGCGTCGCGTACGGCGACATGCGCAGACTCGTCTACGGAAACAGGGACACCAAGAGGTACAGCGCGACATCCGAGGACGTGCCGGGGTCGGGAGGTCATCGCGGGCCGAAAGCCGCTGATGTCGCGGTGTGCCCTCCGCCAGTATCACGGGCGCCGCGATGGAGAGATGTTAACTACCTCGCCTGGTATACGGGAGATGGTGGGTTCGATCCCGACCCTGACGACGCCGGCTGCTGCATATTTATAGTTTTAATTTTGCCGTGCCCGTTGCCAGACGCCTGATCGAGCTGCTCGTGGAGTTCAAGCATCTTCTCGACATGGACCGGCTCCTCCCGCGCGCCACGCTCGGCTGCCTCTTCCCCTCCAACGTCCCCGAATTGCTCGAGTTGCTGCCGCTGCCCCCGCTGGACGTCGTGCGCTACGTCTGCTTCCGTCTACGGGCGCTGACACAGCAGCAGCACCAGCGGCAGCAGCAGCAGAAGAAGACCGAGAGCCAGGTTCGGTCGCGCGCAGTGCCGACGACAGCGCCGCTGCGGGCCCCTGTGATCCGGCGCTCAGAATCGGACGATGAGCAGTCGTGTCGTTTGATTCACCCTTTGTCGTTCCGAGATGTCTGCGAGCTGTGGGCTGGGGGTCCCGCTCACACCGCCGAATCTCGGAGCGAGCGAGCTGCTCGGCGTTCATTGTATTTAGAGAGGCGCAGCAGCAGCGGCGTTGTTTTTAAAGACGTTACTCGCCGCAGAGAACCGTAGCGACGCGATCGCCGGCACTCTGCAATAGCCGGCGCCAAACTGTGCCACGCGCCCTCCCGCATGGCCTTGTGGGAGCCTCGGTACCGATAAAGTTATCTTATTTCAGTTTTGCTTCTGGTTCCGTTCCGATGACGTGTACACGCACGTCATGGGAACGTCATCAGGACGAGAAAGGGTTATTACCCACACCGCAATATTGACCAGGGAGACCGCTGGGCTCAAACGACGAACCTCTGCAATAAGCATCGAAGGCGCGCCCGTTGGTCAAGTGACCGCCCCAGATCTCTGAACCTCCCAATCACTCTCAAGCTGCCAGGTGGCCAGGGACCGGCAGTACAGCAAGCGGTTTCGTGAGCCCGTCTGTGCACATCTCTGAGTGGTATCTCCTCTTGCCTGCGTGTGTGTAGGGGAGCGGTAGTACAGCGCTTAGCGCTACGCTGCACTACGAACCCGGCAACCTTAATTCGATTCCCGCTCACGGCCAACACCGATGACGATTATTTGAATCCCTCCTGGGCCTCCCCTAGGTCGACTCAGCCTCAAATGAGTATCTGGTGCGGTGTGTGAACATCGCCACTGGGGAGACAAAGGCGGCCGGGCGTGGTGCCCGCCGCCCACCCCCTCGTGTGCCGTGACGGCCTTCATAGGTGCTACTCGCTAACAGCACTTGCCCCAACAGTCTATAAAGGCTGCACGGGGGATCTTTGTCTTTGTGTAAGGTTGATTTTCTCCTCCAGTGTTCTCTGGTTCCTTCTCACGCGATGATTTGCTCATCACCGACGATATCCTGTGTGTCTTCCTCTTTGCTCGGACAGGCTCTGCAGAAGGTTTTAGAAATCGTGACGAACAAGGTGGGGGGCGTTGACCGAGGGAGGTAAGTTTGTCGAGGTCGCTAAGTGGCCCCCCACGGGATTGGGGGTGAGGGGCGTCATAATGGCCGTGTCGGAGACATTGGATTGGAATGCAGTTTTGCATGACCGACGCTACGTAAAGATAATTATAACTATTTTGCGAAACATTCCGGTTTCGCCACTTTATCGGCACTTGCTGCAGGCATAAATAATCTGGCGATGCTGCTGCTGCTGCCACGTTGGCAGTGGTCGTGCACAATCACAGTTGTTTTAAACTTTCTTAGAAGGCCACGTACACAGAACTGTCATTGACGGACGCGTTGAGTTTCATCTCAAGCCACGATGATGATGATGGTGGTGGTGGTGATAATGATAATGATGACTGCGATGACAATGGTGATGATGACTGATGTTGGTGATGACGGTTGGGATGATTGTGATGACTGATGTTGGTGATGATGATCAGGATGACGACGATGACGGTGTTGACGACGGCGATGACGTCAGCCCAGCATTTGCACCCTGGCGACGACGGTGACCAACGCGCCGGTGCCGCCCCTCCCCCGCCGCCCCTCCCCATTTGAGCAGCGACCCGGCTGGTGGCGCCGACGCCGTCCCACCGGAGATGGCGCTGCGCATCGTGGAGCTGAGCTGCGAAGTCGCCGGTTCCCCCGGCCCCGCCGAGGAGCTCCACCGGCTGCTGCTGAAGGCGCTGCTCTTTGCCGGCGCCGTGCTGCGCTTGAGCGGCCCCCCGGCCCCCCGCGGCTCCCACACGCAGAGGCCCACGGTAGCCCCCCTCCCCGAAATCCCTAATGCGGCGATTCTTATTTGATATTTACAGAGAGCGCCTCAGCTCAAGGCACGCTCGATAACAAAGTTTAAAAGCGGTCACAAAATTCGAGTGGTGTAGATGGCAAGGGGCAGCGCGATGGTTGAAGAGTGAGTGACCGTGACAGAGGGCACACGGGGGTCACGAAAGGGCGGCAGGGGAGGGACGGGATGGAGTGGAGGGACGAGGAGAGGGAAGAGGGAGGGAATGGGCGATGGCCCCCTCTCATCCCTCGTGGTTTGGCAGACTCACCAATCCGTGCCTGCAAATTGGCCGATCGTAGGATGGCACCACAACGGCCGGCATCCTAAACGCATATTGAATCTCCTCTCACCTCTGTCTCATCTGTACACAAGTCTGTCTTTGTGTTGAGCACCCTTCGCTTCGTACGTACCCAACCGTGCTCATCGGAGGTTCGGGGGAAGGACAACAAACTAAACACAAAAATCAGTTCTTAGGAAATTAATTTGTCAATCTAGATGATGTCAAAGTGCATAGCTCCAGTGGCTTCCTTATATCGGAAGGATCAGCGTTCCAGATGGCAGCAGAAGCAGGGCATCTGAAAGCGCCGCGCGATGCGGTAACCACCGTCTTTGTTCGATGGCGAGCCAAAAGTCGCTGCAGCGAGGATGACCACCGGAGTTTGCGTGATGGTTTAATCTCTCTCGCGCGTTTGACTGGCGTCTGCAGGGACTCTCGGAGGAGGGCGGCAAGGCGGCCATGTTGCCGGCCTCCTCATGCGAGGATGTTCTGCGGAGGGCAGTGTCGTGCATTGTGGGAATCTTCCCCCCACGTCTCCTGGATTCCAGCGCCATTAACCTGAAGTTCGAAGACACGTTGGAGTTCGAGGTTCGTTTTTGTGTTTTCCCCCGTACCTTCGATTAGCACGGATGGCTACGTACGGTGCGAAAGAAGTTCAACGTACAGTAAATATGTCTCACAATCGCTGAGGAACCACAGACCAAGCTGGAAGGCTGCCAGGCGGTGAGCTGGCACCAACAGTGGCTCTGCGGTTATCTCCGCATCAAGACGTTTTTAGACAATTTGCGAGTGTTTCTTAGACGTGTGGGAGCAAACCGGAGCACCCTTCGGAGAAAGCCCATGCCTTGCACGAGGGTGCAACACTCTATCCCACACTCCGCTGGCAAGCCGGGGTACAGCTCCTCCTCGACGCAACATTTAGTCATCTGTGCTGTGATCCGCCAACCCTCGCTGCTGTCGCCTGCACAGCGCTGGACTACAGGCAGCCACGTGCAGCAGCAGCAGAGTAGCCGCCACCGCCACTCGGCTCCTTAGGTGCTGCTGCTCGCTAGCAGCACTTGACCCAGCAGTCTGTGAAAGGCTATATGGGGGATCTTTGTTCTATATGTCTGCGTGTATGTGTGTTTGTATGGGTGTGTGTGTATCTATGCTTGTGTGTAATGGTTAGCGCAACTGCACTACGAACCCGGCGACCCAAGTTCGATTCCTGCTACAGCCAACACCAATGACGATTATCTGAACCGGTCCTGGGCCTCCGATCGGTCCACCCAGCCTCAAATAAGTATCCGGTGCGGTGTGTAAACATCGTCACTAGGGAGACAAAGGCGGCAGGGCGTGGTGCTGGCCACCCACCCCCTCGTGTGCCGTGCCGTCCTGCATAGGTGCTCGCTAACAGCATTGTTAAGGCTATGCGGGGGATCTTAGTCTTTGTGTGTGCGCGTGGTTCACAGACCTGGAGCAAGTACCTGGGGGTGTCTTTCGGAGACGCGAAGCGCGATGCGCTGTGGACCGCCTGGCTCTTGCAGGCCGTCCGTGAGCGCATGGCCCGGGTACGCCGCTGCCCCAGCCTCCCCCCGCTCCTCCGGCAGCGGAGACGGTTACATCCAGCGCTCCCCCTCCTTCGCCTCCTTCCTCTCCTCTCTCAAGGCCTCGCCTCTTCCACGTCGCCCACTTTCTTCCTCTTCCCTCCCCCCGCGCCCCTCCGCTACCCTTCCCTATCCCCTACGCACACTGACCCATAGACTGGCACATCGACCCATCGACTCGCACGAAGACCCACAGATTCATACGGAGGCCCACAGACTCACACAGAGACCCATAGGCTGGCACAAAAAACCCGTAGATTGACACAGAGACACCATTGGAATCTCCTTTGCCAGTAGCAAAATATGAGAATAGTTTTCTTGCCCTTTTATCTGGCAACAAAACTGACACCTTTTTTTTAAATCCTTTATATTAAGTTCGCTTGCTTGCTTGCGTGCTTACGACCGTGCAAATCTTTCGGTCGTTTTTTAACCCACTTCCCGTGATCCAATCGAGCTGACATTTTGCACACAGACTCGTTGTGCGAGACAATTAATGTTCGTGAAATTTTTTTTCCAAAATTTTACACTGTTTAGGGAAAACAAATTCAATATTTAATTACCAATTGCTTAATACTGGCAGACAATCATCTGACCCATAGGTGGCAGCCATCTCAAGCCAGAGGACGAGAGGACTCTAGCCGCCACACATATAAAGGATTTATAGTGAAAAACTTTGTTTTTACGGGTTATACTTATTACAAGGAGTCATGTTTGCATTGACCACATTACCTGCGGTCGGAATTCAAACAAAAAACACAAGGACAGTGCATACATTATCATAGTTGTGTTTTTTGTTTGCATTCCGACCGCAGGTAATGTGGTCAATGCAAACATGACTCCTTGTAAAAAAGGTGTCAGTTTTGTTGCCAGATAAAAGGGTAAAAAAACAATTATCATCTGACACAGAGACCCGTAGACTCACACAGAGACCCGTAGACCCACACAGAGACGCATAGACTCACACGAAGACCCGTAGACTCACACAAAGACCCGTAGACCCACACAGAGACCCGTAGACTCACACAAAGACCAGTAGACCCACACAGACCCGTAGACCCACACAGACCCATAGACTCACACAGAGACCCGTAGACCCACACAGAGACCCGTAGACTCACACAGAGACCCGTAGACCCACACAGAGACCCGTAGACTCACACAGAGACCAGTAGACCCACACAGACCCGTAGACCCACACAGACCCATAGACCCACACAGAGACCCGTAGACTCACACAGAGACCCGTAGACCCACACAGAGACCCGTAGACCCACACAGAGACCCGTAGACCCACACAGAGACCCGTAGACCCACACAGAATGACACCGAGTCGTGTTCCGCGTGCAGGAGACGCCCCAGCGGCAGGTGGAGGTGTACTGCCACGCAGGCACCAGGTCGGCGGCCCTGCACCCCGCCCTGTGCAGCTGCCTCGAGACCACGGCGCTGGACGTCATTCACATCATCTGCCAGGTGCCGTGGGCCAGCTGCACGCCGCCGTCATCCGTGCATCCATCATCCATCCTTCTGTGCATCCCTCAGTCGTCGTCGTACTACGGCCGCTGCCACTGTTAGTGACAATCCATGCCTCGAGTTTCCTGGCTGGCTGCTGGCCGGGCTCGGCTGCAGTCACCCCAACGACAACTCTGTCGTTCGTCGCTGCACGCCGTCGCCACCGAAATTATAGCTGGGTAACTGGCTACACGGGATTTTCCATTGAATTGAATTGAAAGGGCAGACGTTAAATGATAAAAATATATATATAATAATAATAATGGTGACACCAAAGAGGTGGGAATAATTAGTACAGGAGACTGACCACAGCTCATTTATAATCTCTCTTCACTTTTCAATTTGTACTCCTATTATTAATGTAATTATTTCGCCAGAATAATCTTTAAATCCTCGAGAATATAAAACAAAAACTCACAAAATACATTATCTCGACGTATAAAAGCGGATTGCTTTTAGTGCTCCGAGTAGAGAAGGATTGTGAAAAGAGCATGAATCTGACAGCTGCCTCGAACACCAATCCCGCCACGCAACTCAATAATGACTCGCATCATTATGTAATATATATTATTGTATCATTTCGGGTCAATTTAGGACCGCGTATCATTCGGGGAGGGTCCTTGCCTATAGCTCGGAAGTTCCCCATCATTGACTGAATAAAGGCTGACTCTGCTGATGAGACACCGCGCGTCGAAACACGTCCAGGCTTTGCTCGTCCTGAAGCGATGCTGCTGAAAGTTTCGCGCTCCCACGACGGCCGCTGGTGCGGCTGACGGTTCGTTAAGGAAACGTCTGGAGAGGCGGACGCGTGAAGCAGACGACGTGCGATGTCGCGTGGGGGGAGCGGTGGTGCAGCGCTCAGCCACCACCAACGCCGGTGACGATTATCCGGACCGGTGCTGCGCCTCCCCTAAGTCGACCCGGCTTCAAACGAGTACCCGGTGCGGTGTGTGAACGTCGCCACTGGGGAGACAAGCGGCCGGGCGTGGTGCTGGCCACCCGCCCCCCTCGTGTGCCGTGCCGGCCTTCATAGGTACGCTCGCCCCAACAGTCTGTTAAGGCTACACAGGGGATCTTTGTCTCGTGTGTAGCACGCGCATGCGTGCGCGTGTGGCGAGCGGTAGCGTAGCGGTTAGCACGCTGCGCTACCAACCCAACAGCCCGAGTTCAATTCCGTCTCACGGCCAACACGAACCGATCCTGGACCTCTCCTAGGTCGACTCAGTGCGGTCTGTAGTAAACGTCGCCACTGGGGAGACAAAGGCGGCCGGGCGTGGCGACTGGCCACCCACCCCGTGGTGCGCCGTGCCGGTCTTCGGAGCCGCTCGCTAACATCGCTTGCCCCAGCGGTGTGTTCAGGCTACACAGCGGGGGTGGGGGGTAGTGGAGCGTAGTCTTGATGTTGTTGTGCTTGGTGCAGAACAAGCGGGAGGGGGATCTGGTGCGGCAGCTGCCGGAGCACGACCTCCGCGCGTTCGGCAAGGTGCTGTCGCGCGTCGTGGAGCAGGCGTGGCCGCGGCGGGGCGGGCGGCACGTCGAGGAGATGGAGGAAGTCGTGAGGCACCTCCTCACCTGGGACGCCGCGCCCAACGTCCTCAAGATGCACGGTGGGGACCGCCGCCGAGTGGCCGTGACGTCACCCGCAGGGGTTGTGCCGTGCTAGGTGCACTTTGAGGCCGTCGGTGTCCTTCGTGGCAAGGCCCGCGGGCCACTGGTGGCCTTAAGTGCGGCCCCCGACAATACACGAATGTGAAAACGCCCTCCACCATCATCACCGTGCTGCTGTGAAACCCAACAATGCTATAAAATGTGTGGTGGCCCTCACAGAACACTGCTCGTGCAAGATGTCACCTGACAATCCCAGGTGCCATAGGTTAACTGCTGTGCCAGGCTCGGTGCAGGATGAGGCCACGGAACAGGCCCAGGTGCCATGGGTTGACCGACCGAGACGACTGACAGATGCACCACCTGTGTTCCTCACTGTGCCACCTCGCCATGTTTTATCCGCCCGGCAGCTCCGCTCGTTGTTAGACTCACACAGAGACCCGTATAGTCACACAGAGACCTGTAGACTCACACAGAGACCTGTAGACTCACACAGAGACCCGTAGACTCACAACAAAACCCGTAGACTCACACAGAGACCCGTAGACTCATACAGACCCATAGACTCACACAGAGACCCGTAGACTCACACAGAGACCCGTAGACTCACACAGAGACCCGTAGACTCACAGAGACCCGTAGACTCACACAGAGACCCTTAGACTTGCACAGAGACCCGTAGACTCCCACAGAGACCCGTAGAGTCACACAGAGACCCGTATAGTCACACAGAGACCCGTAGACTCACACAGAGACCCTTAGACTTGCACAGAGACCCGTAGACTCACACAGAGACCTGTAGACTCACACAGACCCGTAGATTCGCATAGAGACCCGTAGACTCAGACAGAGAACTGTAGACTCACACAGAGACACGTAGACTCACATATTCCCATAGAGCGTCGCTCCTCCGCCCTCCGCCGTTGCTAAAGGGCGACTACCTCCCAACTACTCCCAGTGGTCTCACTGTGCACCTCGCCTGGCACTTCCCGCGTGCGTACGTGTGCGTGTGTGTGCGTGCATGCGCGTGCGTGCGTCTGTGTGCGTGTGTGCGTGTGTGCGTGTGCCTGTGTGCGCGTGTGCGCGTGTGCGTGTGCAGGCACGAGCCAGATGCTCATGGAGAGCCTGGGAGAGGCTGCGAGGATTTTGGTGGCGTCGGGGTTGTCGTCGCTGCAGCTGCTGCTGCACTCCGTGCTGGACGGCTCTGTGAAGCTGGGGCTGCTGCGCATCGTGCTGGAGCGGCGCGTTGCCTTCTGCAGGGTGCAGGGTGAGACGCCCTGCAGCAGTGAGGGTCTGATACAGTGAGGGTCTGACACAGTGGGAGTCTGACACAGTGGGAGTCTGACACAGTGGGAGTCTGACACAGTGAGAGTCTGACACAGTGAGAGTCTGACAAAGTGAGAGTCTGAGTGACACAATGAGAGTCTGAGTGACACAGTGATGTACGGCCGAGCAATGCCCCCCCCCCTCCACCACGGCCCACGCGGCGCGGGGGGGGTGGAGGCCTCCATCCGGCAGCGGAGTGATGAAAGGCTGCGCCAATTTCTCTCGTGCGCGCTGCTCAGGGTCGTTGGACGGTAGCCCCGGGCTCAGCACCTTGGAGGCGGTGCTGGACGCGAGGCAGCGGGCGGTGAAGGCGGTGGACGAGGAGGCTCGCAGCGTGCAGGCCTTGCTCAACTTGTGTCGCACGGTCCAGGAGTTCCTCACAGGTCCGCGTCTTCCATCGCCCTCCGCTCTCGCTCGGCCGTCGCCAGCCGTGGTCTATACGCTGCTGGGTTATGCCGGGCGGCCTCGATGGTGTCGGCGGTGGCGGTGATGGTTGTGGTGGTTGGTGGTGGCGGCGGTGATGGCGATGGTGGCGGCGGTGGGGGTGGTGGTGGGGGCGGTGGTGGTGATGGTTGTGGTGGCGGCGGTGGTGGCGGTGGTGGCGGTGATGGCGGTGGTGGCGGTGGTGGTGGCGGCGGTGATGGCGGTGGTGGCGGCGGTGGGGGCGGTGATGGGGGCGGTGGTGGTGATGGTTGTGGTGGCGGCGGTGGTGGTGGCGGTGGTGGTGATGGTTGTGGTGGCGGCGGCGGCGGTGGTGGCGGTGATGGCGGTGGTGGCGGCGGTGGTGGCGGTGATGGCGGTGGTGGGGGTGGTGGTGGCGGCGGTGGCGGCGGTGGCGGCGGTGGTGGTGGGGGTGGTGGTGGTAGCAGTGGTAGTGGTTGCTACGCCGCTGCACGTGGCGTGGCCTGTGTGGCAGCACGACCGTTGGTAACTATAAGAGCCTTTTCGCCTTTTGGCGTTGTTCTCTGGTCTAACATCGGTGGGTGGGGAGACGAGGTGTAGGCCAATCAAAAGGAGCCACCCGCTACAGTCGCCCGTCACAACCACCCGTCACAACCACCCGTCACAACCACCCGTCACAACCGCACGTCACAACCGCCCGTCACAACCACACGTCACAGCCACCCGTCACAGCCACATGTCACAACCACCCGTCACAACCACCCGTCACAACCGCACGTCACAACCGCCCGTCACAACCACACGTCACAGCCACCCGTCACAGCCACATGTCACAACCACCCGTCACAACCACACGTCACAACCACACGTCACAACCACCCGTCACAACCACACGTCACAACCACACGTCACAGCCACACGTCACAGCCACACGTCACAGCCACCCGTCACAACCACACGTCACAGCCACACGTCACAGCCACCCGTCACAGCCACCCGTCACAACCACACGTCACAGCCACACGTCACAACCACACGTCACAACCACACGTCACAGCCACACGTCACAACCACACGTCACAACCACGCGTCACAACCACGCGTCACAACCACGTGTCACAACCACGCGTCACAACCACACGTCACAACCACACGTCACAACCACGCGTCACAACCACACGTCACAACCACACGTCACAGCCGCCCGTTACCATGCTGGCTCAGGCTGTGCTCGTGGAAAAGTGGGCATACGGGTCTTTGACATATTTTATTTGTGTAATTTAATATTGTTATAACATGAGCCATGTTATTATTTACTTTTCATAATTACGATAGAAATTTTTTATAAAAAAAAAAAATTCTTATTCAAATATCATTATAAATAAAAAATGTTTTTATTCTTACGATTATAAAATAAAAACAATCCACTTTAACCCACGTGGGCCGCCCCTTCCAGTGGACGTGGAGCCGTTGGAACGCCAGTGTCGGTCCGACCGCAGCGACTGCCGCCTGGACGCCGTCGTGCGTGTCGACCCGGGGCGGCTCGACGCGGAGGCCTTCGCCCGCACGCCGCAGGTCACCGGCTTCGGCCTGACGGTCGAGCTGCGCGTGATGGCGCGCCAGTTCTCCCGGCTGGAGAGCAGCTGGCTCTTCGACAGCCTCTGGAAGGACTGCGCCCGTGCGGCGTCGTCGGCGGCGGCGGCGCCCGTGCCCCTGGAGCGCCTGCGCGTCGCGACGTGGGCGCCCTGCGTGCAGCGCCTGCGCTCGCTGCTGGGCGCCGTGCGCACCGGCGCCGTCCCGCTGGACGACGCGCGCCGGCTGTTCGCGCCCGCGTTCGCCGGGAGCGCGGCGCGGGCCCCCGCCGTGGCCAACCTTGAGAAGGAGCTGCGGCTGCTGCTGGCGGCGGTGGGCGACGGCGTCACCGCGGCGCGGGAGACGTCGTGGGTGGAGGAGCGAGCGGAGCAGATCGCGGACTTCCGCGAGCTGGGCCTGGCCACGGAGGCAGCCGGCGCGGTGAAGCGAGCGAAGGACGCTCTGGGCCTCACCGGGGATTTCTCGGTTCTGGACTCGCTCACCGACCTGGTGAGTGGCGAGCGCCGCGGGAGAGGCAAGCCCAGCGCCCGAACGCCGTCGCTGAATCGACGACCGCGATCGATCGGTGATCATGTCGGCGGTCCGAATGATTTACGTGCTTCTGAGCGCTTAGGCTGATCGCGGTGGAAGAGCCTCAAATTCCGAGGATGTCTGCGGCAGCACGGGACTACAGGCGGATAACCAGAAGCCCGCTGATAGAATGGCCGGTTGAATACGTGGACGACTGATTGGGTGACGAGGAGCGGCAGAATGAACAACCGCACGATTGTTGTGTGTCCTGCACGAGTTGAGGATGGAAGAGGACTCGTGGCTAAGGGACGTGATGACGCGCGTCTGTGCGAGTGTGCGAGTGAGTGAGTCCTTGGTGTGGCGTGTAGTAAACATCGCCACCGGGGAGACAAAGGTGGCTGGGCGTGGTGCTGGCCACCCACCCCCTCGTGTGCCGCTAACAGCACTTGCCCCAACAGTCTGTTAAGGCTATATGGGGGATCTTTCTCTTTTTGAGTGAGTGTGTGGATGGTCCTAGGGAGCGGTGATGGTGGTGGTTGACACGGCTGCGATACGAACCCGGCGAGCCGAGTTCGATTTCCGCTTGAGTCCAATGATAGTTGTGAATATTTGCACTACTCCTTGGTCTCCTCTAGGTCTGCTCAGCCTTAACCGAGTACCTGACGCCACTGGGGAAGCAAAGGCGGCCGGGCGTGGTGCTGGCCACTTTAGGCACCACTCCTAGCTAACAACACTTGCCCCAACCGCCTGTTAAAATGCCGACGCGGGGGATCTTTGCCTTGGTCTGGCGTGTCTCGTGTGCACTTGGCAGGATGAGAGTTTGAAGGAGAAGCAGTTGAAGTGCATCACCAGGGCTCTGGTCAATGCCAAGAATATCCTGGCCGGGATCGACAAGAGAGGCATCGACTGCCTGGACGTGCTCGCGCGCAGCCGGGACTTCATCAGATGGGTCCGCGAGTCCGTCGGGAGTGAGTACGCGACGCCGCCCGCCCGCCCGCCTCTTCATTCATTCCTCTTGCTCGTCGACTCTCCTTGCCATCACCCTGTTTCTCACGTTCTCACAAACTCGCTCAATTCCATCTCACAGATTTTTTTTTTTTTAATCAACGTATTTTTAACTTCTTTCGCACAGTACGTAGCCAACCGTACTAATCGGAGTGTATAGTCTAGTGTACAGTAGTGTAGTAGTGTCGTGTATAGTAGTTTGTATCTTGAACTTCTTTTGCACCGTACGTAGCCAACCATGCTAATCGGAGGTGCGGGGAATTTTCTGTGAGTCTGTGGGTCTCTTCGTGGTGCTATATAGCTATTTGTGAGTCTGTGGGTCTATAGGTCTCCATGTGAGTAGTTTACAGGTCTCGTTGTGGTGCTATGGATCTCAATGTGAGTCATGTAAGTTTCTGTGCTCGTCTTAGTGCCGATGTTGTGCTGTGGCCGCGATGTCGCCCGTCACGTTCGCGAGTCTCCCCGCGTCACCGCTGCCATCTCCTCCCCCTCTCACCTCCTCCCCCCCCCTCCCTCCGGTAGAGCTGAGCGAGCTGAAGGTGTTTGTGGACCTGGCGTCCATCTCGGCGGGGGAGAACGACGCCGACGTTGACCGCGTCGCCTTCTTCCACGACGCCGTGCAGGGCTTCTCCTCGCTGCTGTACGAGCTGCCGCCCTCCGCCAACTTCGCCGACTTCCACCAGGCGCTCGGCAAGCTGTGGAAGGCGCTGGAGAGGGACCGCAACCTGCTCAAGAAACTGGTGCGTCCGCCGGTCCGCCCCCCGGTCTGGCTCCGCACGGGTCGGATGGTCGTGTGGGAGGTCGTTAACATCTCGCTCCAGTGGTGAGATGTTTACTGCCTCGCCTGGTATGGAGGAAGTTTGTGCTTTGGATCCCGACCCTGATGCCTGCTGTATATTTGGAGTTAACATCCCGCGACCGTGACTGTCCCGCTGTGGCCCGTGTGACTGCCCGTGTGATAACTGCCCGTGTGATGACTGCCCGTGTGACTGCCCGTGTGATAACTGCCCGTGTGATGACTGCCCGTGTGACTGCCCGTGTGATGACTGCCTGTGTAACCGCCCGTGTGACTGATCTTGTGACGACCACCCATGTGACTGCTCGTGTGACCACCCATGTGATGACTGCCTGTTTGATGACTGCCTGTGTGACCGCCTGTGTGACTGCGCTTGTGACGACCACCCATGTGATTGCCTGTGTGACTGCCCGTGTGATAACCGCCCGCGTCCCGCCCTCTCGCCGTCGGCGCGCAGGAAGACTCGGCGCGCCACCTCTCGTGGTTGCGCACGGTGCACGAGAGCCACGGCTCGGTGGAGAAGTCCTCGCTGTCCCTCGCCACGGCCGTCAACGCCTGCGGCGTCTACCAGGTCGGCGCCGTCTTCCCCACGGGCAGCAAGGTGAGTCAGGGGGCCGCGTCACCGGCCGACCGGCCGACCGGCCGAGCGGGCGAACGGTGCTCGTGCCAGCGAGACGGGAGGCGGGCACCCAGCGGCCTCGCCGTTCACCCGCGGTGGAAACTGCTTTTTTTAGAACTGCTGCTATCGTTGTTGTGTCTAGCCTCGTCGTCCTTCCCCCGCACCTCCGATCGGCACGGTTGGCTACGTACGGCGCGAAAGAAGTTGGACGTGCGCGTAGTACGTACCGCGCGGGACTTTCCAACGCCGGCGTAGCAGGCCGCGACGGGTTCCGTAAACTGGAGAGGGGCCGTCGGCGTGCCCCCCGGGGCCCGGCCCTCTTTGTCGAGGACGTTGGCCCAGCTCTGGGGGGGGGGGGGTGGTGGCGAAGCGGCGAAGCTCCGACAAACGCGACGGCCGTGGCGTTGCCTCTCCCCGCAGCCCACGATGGACTCGGTGCTGAAGCTCGTGGTGCCGGAGGCGGCGGCCGGAGGCGGCGGGGACCTTAGGGAGCAGCGCGTCTACAGCCTCGGCGAGGTCAAGGAGCTGCAGAGCAAGCTCATGCTCATAGCCGGGCAGCGGGAGCAGGGCAAGGAGGAGATCGAGCGCTTCACCGAGGTCAGATCTACTTGCCAACGTCTCGCAAAGACACACCGTCGTCATCATCATCGTCATTGTCTCAGTTGTTCGCTCAGGGCACATCTCTCACACACACACCCACCGTCATCGTCTTTCTCATCATCAGCTCTGTGGGACTTTTTTTGCCAGTATCAAAGTACGCAAAACATAAGAATAGGGTTTACCCTTTCGGGCGGTGTTAAGATGTTCAAACACTAAATAAATACCATTTTGCCAGGCATCAAGTCTGCATTAACCACACGTACTCATGGCAAAACATGAAACCTTTTCACATCATCTCGTCACATTTATTTTGACAAAGCCACGCACACATCACTATCATCTGTTACATTTAGATTAAAAACGCTTCAGCAGTACTTTTTGTGTTTAGTTTGTTGTCGCTCCCCCCTCACCTCTGATTATAACGCGGTTGGCTACGTACGGTGCGAAAGAAGTTCTACACCCATGCACGCTTGCGTGTGTGTGTGTGTGCGTGTGTGTGCGTGTGTGTGTGTGCGCGTGTGTGTGTGTGTGCGTGTGTGTGCATGCGTGTGTGTGTGTGCGTGTGCGTGTGTTTGTGAGCGTGTGTGTGTGTGAGCGTGTGTTTGTGAGCGTGTGTGTGTGCGTGTGAGCGTGTGCGTGTGCGTGTGTGTGTGCGTGTGAGCGTGTGCGTGTGTGTGTGCGTGTGCGTGTGTGTGTGCGTGCGCAGGTCTTCGGCAACGTGTTGCGGCTCGCCGAGCTCTACCTGCAGCTGCACTGGGCCGGCAGTGTCCTCTTCCGCCGCTGGACGGCGCAGGTGTTCTGCGACCCGGGCAGCACGGTGTGCGCCATCGTCGACTTCGGCCTGCGCGGCGTCCCCCACCTGCACGCGATGGGCGGCGCGGGCGACGAGCTGCGGCCGCTGTGCCGCGCCATGGACCGCTGCCTGGCCGAGTGGAAGGCCTACGTGGAGGACAAGCGGCGCGACTTCTACCACCTCAACCTCTACACGGCCGAGCAGCTGGTGCTGCTGCGCTCCGAGCTGGGCGCGCTGGCGCGGCGGACGGCCGGCGCCGGGGGCCGTGGCAGGGCGGGCGCGTCGCCGGGCGTGGCGGCCCTCACGCTGCTGTCCTTCATCAAGGAGGACTGCACGGCCGAGCACGTCGCTCGCGCTCTCCTCGACTCGGAACGGGCGGCGCCGTCGGCGAGAGTCGGGGCCGTGGCCGGCGGCGATCCGTCGCGCTCCCCTTCGTCGCCCGCCCCGCTCTCCTCATCCTCCTCCTCGTCGTCGTCGTCGACGTCCTCCCGAGCGAGCCGGCTGCTGGGCGCCGTCAAGGCCCTCGTGGACCAGGACGTGGAGGAGGCGGCGGCGAAGGCGGCGGTGCAGGAGCTGGGGCCCGCGTCCGAGCGCGACCTCATCGCCTGGGTCTTCGGCAACCTGCAGCGCCGCGACAGAATCGCGTCGCTCAGCCGGGCGTTCGACGGCGCCGTCGCGGCGGCCGAAGAGGCGGACCGCGAAGCCGCGGCCGCCACCTCCGGCCTCCCCTGCCCTTCCCTCCTTCCGTCCGGCGACGACGACGCCGACGACGAGCGGGCGGGCGTGGGCGACCGCCTTCTCCGGCTGTGGCGGCGCTTCGCGCGGAGCGGCGCCGGCGGGCACCTCGGCGTGGGGGAGCTGGGGCGGGCGCTGGCGCGACTCGCCGCCGGGCGGCGCCCGGTGCGGCGCCGGCTGCCGGAGGGGCTGACGGCGGGGCAGCCCAACCTGGTGGTGTGCCGCGAGGCGGAGGTGTACGCGGCGGCGCTGTGCGTCTACCGGCACGGCGACGCCGAGCGGCTGCCGACGTGCGACGAGGTGCTGGTGTGCGCGCCCGACACCACGACGGAGCAGGTGGGGGGACGCACGGACAGACGCGCAAACGGACACGTAGGCATACACGCGGACAGGCACGCAGACGGCGGACAGACACGCGGACAAACACGTAGATAGACGTAGATCGTGCCATCCGTCTACCAGGAGGGACCCCTCGGAGGGGGGTCTCTCTTGGGGGCTACTATGCCAGGGGAGAGCCTCAGGGCTTGGCGCCGGAACTTGGCCGCGAGCCGTCACGTCCCGTTCCGCCACGTCTCGCCGTGACGGCCTCCTCCCGGCCTCCCCCGCAGGTGGAGCTGTTCTTCAGGAGGGCCTTGGGCCGCGACGGCGGTGACGTCGACGCGGGAGACGGAGCGGGCAAGATCTACTCGCTGGTGCACGCCGACCTGCTGAGCTACGACGCGAGCGTGCGGGCCGAGGAGGCCTTCGAGCGCCTGCGCGCCAGCTCCGACCCCTGCTACCGCCTGGTGCTGCTGTGCGGCGCCGCAGGGGAGCATCGCTACGCCGCCTCCTCCTTCGGCCGCTTCCGCGTCGGCGCCTTCCCGCTGGCGCCCGCCGACGAGCTGCGCCGGTACCTGCGGCGCCACTTCACGGCGCCCCGGAACGAGCGCTCGCCCGCCCGCGTCTTCTCGGACCCCGTGAGCGTGCGGCTCGTCACATCCCGGCGCGCCGGAGTCGGTGAGTTCCTCTCTATCGGGACCGTGCGGCCGATCCTGGGGCTCCTCCCCTAGGTTGACTCGAACCAGTAGGGAGACAAAGACGGCCGGGCGTGGTGCTGGCCACCCACCCCCCCCTCGTGTGCCGTTCCAGCCTTCGTAAGTGTTGCTAATCGTTTTTAGCACTTGCCCCAAAAGTCTTTGTCTTTACGTGCGTGTGGGTGTCCGTGCGTATGTGTGTGACCACATAAGCATAACTCTTAATTGAGCGCGACCTGTTATTCGTGCGTCTTTTTCCAGAGCGTCTCTTATTATCCGGATAATATTGGGGGGGGGGGGGGGGGAAGGGGCGGGTAACACAATCCTCCTCATTCCGTGTGCGCCTCGTCGAAACGCGACGAGTCGATTTGGCCCACGGCCACCGCGTGCGATTCCGTCCGGCGCGACGACGATCGACGCCGGGCAGCGTTAGCCGGGGCGTCCGGCGGGCTCGCGAACTGAGCGCGGTCGTCTGTCCGGCGGTGGCGGTGCCGCAGGGAAGTCGCTGTACGTGCAGCGGCTGCACGAGTCGGTGTCGCGGACGTGCCCGGGCGGGCGCTGCACCCTGCGCACGCTGCGCCTCATCGCCAGCGCCGTGGACGAGAGCTCCGTGCTCGCCTCCATCGTCGACCTGCAGGAGGCCCCGGGGAAGGCCACGCCGTGCCTCTTCCACATCGACGTCACGGCCGCCGTGAGCGCGCACGTACACGCACAGACGTACACGCACAGAAGTACACGCACGTACACGCACAGACGTACACGCACAGATGTACATGCACAGAAGTACACGCACGTACACGCACAGACGTACACGCACAGAAGTACACGCACAGACGTACACGCACGTACACGCACAGACGTACACGCACAGATGTACACGCACAGAAGTACACGCACGTACACGCATAGACGTACACGCACAGAAGTACACGCACAGACGTACACGCACGTACACGCATAGACGTACACGCACAGGCGTACACGCACGTACACGCACAGACGTACACGCACAGAAGTACACGCACAGAAGTACATGCAGGTACACGCATGTACACGCATGTAGACACACCTACACGCACTTTGCCCCATGATGTTTTCTAGCCTGAGGGATTTCCCTTCCTCCAAGACCTCACAGACATGCTCAGCAAATCTACAAACCTGTACCTGGGGGTAGGAGATCCAGTTACCTTTCTTTCTCCGAATGACGGTGATAGGTGTAGCACTGCAAGTATCTTTTTTGATTGATTTAAAGAGTGATTTGTGATCGCGGGCTACTTAGGCAGACTCCAATTTCTCAGCAACCCGCGATTACCACCAATCCTTGCAGCACCGCACGGCTGTCCGAACCTCCGAGCGAAGGCTGTGGTAAGCCTCATTCTCTGACGTGGGATGCTGTAGACGGTGAGAGTGGGCCTGTCGCTTTTCCTCAGCCAGCCGAAACACCTTCTCTGTCAGCCAGGGTCTCTGGGGAAGTTTGGACCGTGCACCCAATGCAACCATTGCAGCTGCCACAGTCCTAAACCTCACCGATTTCACCTCGGCATCAGGAGGAGTGGGGGATGATGCAAACCCCAGCTGCAAGTGATGAAGAGATTCTCGCTTACAACTTTCATCAGCTGAGATCAGACCACTGTGGGTTTGAATGGGATCCTGGATGTACACCCACCACCAGAGTGGAAGAATGACAGGCGCATCTTACAGATGACAAGTCGATGGTCAGTGGGCAGATCAGCTCCACAGTAGGTCCTAGTGTCAAGGATATAGGCCCGCATCTGCTGTTCTTTCACTATTTAGTCCAGCAGATCTTCTTGCTTGGACCCAGCATGCATCCATAATGTTGTGTAGATGCGCCGATGACGGAACATCGTGTTGGTAATTACAAGCCCATGGGCTGCACAAAAGTCTAGCAGCCGCCTACCGTTGTTATTGAGCTGATCTGGCCCATACCTTCCAATCACTCCAGACCAGGTGCCAGCATCATGACCCACTCGGGCATTAAAGTCACCTAAAGGGATGAATCTATTCCGAGGAGCCACTTTAGCTATTACCTGTGACAGAAGGTCATCGAGGGCATCTGACTCAACGAGCTTGCCTGCATCCCTTCACCGATGTTCATTTTCAGTGGGGTTTAAGTAACCACGACCACTGCTCCTAGCCTCTAGTTGATGGGAAGGCGAGCCCAAAGTAGCCTGAGGCTTACAGCTTCCCACACCTCACAGCCACGCACCCATGCCCCTTCATTATTTTGTTCAGAAGAATGCCACTATGTGTTGTTTGGCAGTCTCCTGCCCCGAGTAGAGGACTGTCCACCGGACTTCCTAAATACCGCAGAGATCCAGGCGGTACCGGTCCAGCTCCTGATAGAGAGTGGCAGCCTCTCCTCCGCAGTGAGCGTTCGAACATTCAATGTGGCCACCCGCAATAGCTTTTGGCTGTTTCTGGCTGTTTCTGGAGGAGCCCCGAGGGTAAGGATTCAGTCTCCTGACTCCGCCAAATAGGGTTAGGCCAGGATACGCACGTACACACACACACGCAGACACAAAGGCAAAGATCCCCCGCGTAGCCTTTGCCATGCTATCGGGGCTAAGTGCTGTTAGCAACCGGCGCCTTTCCCTCCGCACGGCCGCAGGTGCAGAAGGGCCTCAGCTCGTTCCTCTTCAAGCTGTTGGTGCTGCGCTGCCTGTGGGACCAGCGCGGCGCCGTGTGGCGCTGCCGCCCGTCCCACCTCTACGTCATCGAGATGCTGGAGTCCGACGTGCAACTCACCCCTCACCAGGTGAGCCCAGCCCCCGCCGCTTTATCCCCCACCGCCCCCCCCCCCTTCCCACTCGTGGTGGAGCGATGTTAACTACATCGCCCGGTATACAAGGAGGCCATGGATTTGATCCCGATCCTGACACCTGCTGTCTATTTGGAGTTAACATCTCGCGACCGTGACTGTCCCGCTGTTATTGAGGAATGTGTTGAGGAATGAGTGTGTGTGTGGTAAGATGTTAAATCCCTCACCTGGTATTCAGGAGTTTGTGGGTTCAATCCCGACCCTGATGCCTGCTGTATATTTGGAGTTTGCCTCTCTCTCTCTCCCCATGATCGCGTGGATTTTTTTCTCCTGGTTCTCCGGTTTTTCCCTCCACATTTTAAATAAATTTCCACATGATGATAAGCCACTTCGTTGAGCTATCATTGGAGATAGCCAGGTCACTTCTGAAACAGAGCTACCGTAGCTTAGCGGGGACTTACCTATTAAAATAAAAGTAATAGTTTAGTTTAGTTTACATTTCACATGGCCACCCACCCCCTCGTGCGCTGTGCCGGTCTTCATAGGTGCTCGCTAGCATCACTTACCCCAACATTCTGTTAAGGCTATAGGGAGGATCTTTTTCTTTGGTGCTGCTACGTGTTAACAGCACTTGCCCCAAGAGTATGTTAAGGCTACACCGGGAGATCTTTGTCCTTGGCCATCAAATGAACCTCACATTCACTCGAGTGAAATATCATCGGCATCGGTTTGCAGGAGGAGAGGGTATCATTGCCGGGTCCCGAGAGTTCCAGAATTACAATCTGTATTTAGACTCGAGGAATCCGATCAAGCTCTTGTTCAAATCAAGCTCTTGTTCAAAGATGTCCAGTCGGGCCGGGTCTGAAAATTACAACAACAAACAATAAAAAAAACACCTAAGTGCAAATTATAGGAAAGATAAACAAATAACCAAGAAATGTAAGTAAACTATTTTTATTTTACCAGGGAAAGCCCACTGTGCTGTAAGATTATTTTTCAGAAGCGACCCTGGCCACAAATGAACGATAGTTCAAAGAAGCGTCTTATGATCACGTGGAAATTTACGCCAGCCAAATACTCTAAAAGACCTTTTGTTCGGCCTGATAGAGGGGGATAAATGGCCACGGCACGGGTTAAACAAGAGATGGAGTGATGTGGTATGAGAGGATTATGGAGCTGAGTGGACTTGCCAATTACTGGTACCGGCGGTGTCAAGACTGGCCTCTGTGGAGGAGGCTTGTGAAGGACGCTACTGGGCAGTTGGAGGCAGTCGCCCTCCAGCAACAACGGAGGGCGGAGGAGCGACGTTCAAGGTGGTTGCTGTGTTCGCGATGCCGCCCTTAGGCTCAGCGTGCCGTCGGCCTTCTGGAGCTGCTCCCGCGCCTGCGGTGCCACTCCCCCAAGGAGTGCCTCGACATGGAGGCCCGGCTGATGAGCCGCGGCTCCGCAGAGGACATCCCCGAGAACCGCATGGACCTCGAGAATTTCGCCAGCCCTGCCTTCCAGCGTCCGTTCCAGTACCTCCGCAAGTTCCGCCTGGGCCACGACCTGGATGCCTTCAGGTACGAGAAGGGCTCCGTGACGGGCAGCCCCGCCGAGTGGCTCCAGGTCGTGCTGCAGTACTGCGGCCTGGCGGACCCCTCCTGGGCCGAGCTGCGCAACTTCGTCCGTTTCCTCGACCGGCAGCTGCGCGACTGCGAGCGCTCGGTGTTCTGCGACCAGTCCCACGTCGGCGACACGCTGGCCGGCTTCCGGACCTTCGTCGTCGAGTTCATGGTGCTGATGGCGCGCTGACTTCGCCACGCCGTCGCTCAACATCTCCGACGAGAGCCCCGGAGCGGCGAGCGCACGCCGCGCGGTCGCCGGGGCGCGGAATGTGGAGGAGGAGGCGGAGGAGGAGGAGCGAGACATCGCCCCTTTCCAGCTCCGTGTGACGTGGGAGAGCCGCCCCCACCCGTACGTGTTCTTCAACGGCGACAGGACGTCCGTGACCTTCCTGGGCTTCCACTTGCGCCAGAACACCGAGGGCTCCCTGGACGCGGTGGATCACCGCACGGGCGCCATCGTCAAGCGCGCCGTCATGAGCCGCCAGCTGCACCGCAGCCTGGTGACGCAGGGCGTGCGCTTCGACGTCGACGTGGACGCGCTGCCGCGGCACGAGAAGATCGAGCTGCTGTGCACCGTGCTGGGCGTGCAGTGGCCGATGGACCCGGACGACACGTACGAGCTGACGGCCGACAACGTGACCAAGATGCTCGCCGTGCACATGCGCTTCCGCTGCGGCATCCCCGTCGTGGTCATGGGCGAGACGGGCTGCGGCAAGACGCGCCTCCTGCGCTACCTGTGCGACCTGCAGCGCGCCGGCCGGCCGGCCGACAACCTGAAGCTCGTCAAGGTGCACGGCGGCACGACGGCGGCCGTCGTGCACGCCAGGGTGCGCGAGGCGGAGGAGGCGGCGCGGAGGAACCGCGAGGACTTCGGCCTCGACACGGTGCTCTTCTTCGACGAGACCAACGCGTCGGACGCCATCCACGCCGTCAAGGAGGCGCTGTGCGACGGCACCGTCGACGGGCGGCCCTTCCGCTCCGACCGCAGGCCTCGGGATCGTCGCCGCGTGCAACCCGTACCGCCGGCGCTCGGCCGAGACGGTGCGGCTCCTCGAGGCGGCCGGCCTGGGCTACCGCGTGCGCGCCGAGGAGACGGAGGAGAGGCTCGGCCGGATCCCGCTGCGGCACCTCGTGTACCGCGTGCGGCCCTTGCCGCCGAGCGTGGCGCCCCTCGTCTGGGACTTTGGGCGGCTGAGCGACGGCGCCGAAGAGCTGTACGTGGCGCAGATCGTGCGCAGGCGGACGCGCGAGCGCGGCCTCCCCGAGCGCGACGCCGCCCTGGTCACCGCCGCGCTGGCGGCGTCGCAGCGCCACGTGCGGCGGCGACGCCACGAGTGCGGCTTCGCGAGCCTCCGCGACGTGGAGCGCTGCGTCGCCGTCTTCCTCTGGCTCCACGGCCGCCGGGCGACGCTCTTTGACGACCGCGCGGCGGGCGGCCCCCCCGTGTCCGGCGGCGGCGGAGAGGGAGACGCGGCGGCCGACGCGGCCCGTCCCTCGGGCTGCGTCGTGAGGTCGCTGATCGTGGCCGTCGCCATCTGCTACCACTCCTCGCTGCCGGATAAGCAGGCGTACCGAGAGGAGATCGCGAAGCTGCTGCCCGCGCCCTTCGACCGCCAGGAGCGGATCCTGCGGGAGATCACCGCGTGCCAGGATCTCTTCCTGAAACGCGTGGACCTGCGCGGCACCATCGCGCGCAACTCCGCGCTCAAGGAGAATGTCTTCATGATGGTGGTGTGCGCCGAGCTCAGGATCCCGCTCTTCCTCGTCGGCAAGCCGGGCAGCTCCAAGTCGCTGGCCAAGACGGTGGTCGCGGACGCCATGCAGGGTCAGACGTCGCACTCCGACTTCTACAAGACCTTCAAGCAGGTGCACATGGTCTCCTACCAGTGCAGCCCGCACTCGACGGCCGAGGGCATCATCGGCACGTTCAGGCAGTGCGCCCGCTTCCAGGAGGACAAGAACCTGGAGGAGTACGTGTCGGTCGTGGTGCTGGACGAGGTGGGGCTGGCCGAGGACTCGCCCAAGATGCCGCTCAAGACCCTGCACCCGCTGCTGGAGGACGGCTGCGTGGACGACGAGGAGCCGCGGCCCCACAAGAGGGTGGCCTTCGTGGGCATCTCCAACTGGGCGCTGGACCCCGCCAAGATGAACCGGGGGATCTTCGTGTCGCGCGGCGAGCCCGACGTGGCCGAGCTGCGCGCGACCGCCCGCGGCATCTGCTCGTCGCGCGTGGACCTGCTGCCCGGGCTGGAAGGCCTCTTCGCGTCGCTCGCCGACGGCTACCTGCGGGTGCGCGCGCGGCAGGGCCGGGAGTTCTTCGGCCTGCGCGACTTCTACGGCCTCGTCAAGGCGATGTTCGGCTTCGCGAAGGCGTCCGGCGGCGTGCCCGCACCGCGGCAGCTCCGCGAAGCCGTGCTGAGAAACTTCGGCGGCAAGGACGACGTCGACCCGCTAGAGGACTTCGCGGCGGCTATGGGGGCGGCCGTGGCGGATCCGGGCCCCGCGCCGAACCCGCTGGCGCTCGTCGCCGCCAACATCGATGGCGACCCCGAGGGCGACGAGAGCGGCCGGTACCTGCTGCTCCTCACCAAGAACTACGCGGCGCTGTCCATCCTGCAGCGGGAGCCGTCCCTGGCCGACAGGCTGAGGGACGCCGAGGTGATCTTCGGCTCGAGCTTCCCCGGGGACCAGGAGTACACGCGGGTGTGCCGCACCATCAACCGCATCAAGGTGTGCATGGAGACGGGCAGAATGGTGGTGCTGCTGAACCTGCAGAACCTCTACGAGAGCCTCTACGACGCGCTCAACCAGTACTACGTGCACCTGGGCGGCGAGCGCTACGTGGACCTCGGGCTGGGCACGCACCGCGTCAAGTGCCGCGTGCACCGGCGGTTCCGCCTCGTCGTCATCGAGGAGCGCGAGGTCGTGTACGACGAGTTCCCCATCCCGCTCATCAACCGCCTGGAGAAGCACTTCGTCGACGTGGAGCTGGCGCTGCGGACGCCGCGCCGGCGGGGGCTCGTCCGGGCGCTGGCCGCGTGGCTAGAGGACTTCGTCGCGCCCGCCCGTGGCCCCGCGGCGCTTGCGGCGCGCCGGCCCTTTCGCGCGGGCGACGCCATCGTGGGCCACCACTCCGACGCCTGCGCCTCAGTGGTGCTGCAGGTGACGGGCGGCGCCGACGGGGACGCCGGCGGGGACGCGGACGGGGACGCCGACGCCGCCTTGCTGGAGGCGGCCAAGGTGGTGATGTTGAACTGCGCCACGCCGGACGCCGTCGTGAGGCTCAAGGCGTCGGCGCTGGCGGCGGAGGCGCCGGCGCTCTGGCGGACGTACTTTGAGGAGCAGGCTCACGGCTGCCTGCAGGAGTTCGTGGCGAGGCAGCTGAGGCAACGGGAGAGAAGAGGAGGAGAGGGCGGCGACGGCCTTCTGGTTGAGGTACCGTCACCGAGCAGAGGCGTGCGTGAGGGACTCTGTTCATCTCCATTCGCGGCCCTGAGCCGGCGATGGGAGAAATTCCACAGTTCTATGGTCAAAGCCGGTCTCTCAGTAGGGCGACTACCTTTGATTTTCAACGTTTTAGTGAACACTATTATTGAACTAACTAGATCCATACAACTGAAAAGTGATGTCACACGGGTCCCGCCAGTGTCACCTGTGGTACAAATACCCAAATGTACCATAGATCGGGAATTGCTGTTTTAGGCTAAATAATAATATATAGGGACACTTATTTATTTATTTACAGCACGGAGCCACGGGAAGCCACAGACAAAGGGGCAACCTAGCCAGAATCGGCGCCACTTACAATTCCCCAAGCTCTGTGGTAGTGTTCATACAAGCCAGATATCCGCAGAAAACCCACGCATGTGACGTTGGGGAGGGGGCTGGTAACACCTAACACTTATATTGATTAAAACCAACTTGCTTGCGGTACTGCCATCATTATACATTATGAGGTTGCACTCTTTCCACACAAGTTCTTTCCACAAATTAACCACAACACCTTGCTGATCTCGTCAAAGGAGCATAAACCATCGCCACGCGAACTCCGGTCATCCTCGCAGCAGCGGCGGCTTATGGCTAACCATCGCGCGCTTTCATCTGCAGCGCTTTTACTTCTGATATTAGGAAGCCATTTGAGCTGTGTACCGTTAAATCTCGACTTGAAGCTTTCGTGGCTGCAGGAATTCATATTCTTTGGGTCTTTCGGTAAAGTCACGTAGATAGGTTCAAAGAAAATAACAAAAAACTACGACGTTTCGATCGCAACAAAGGCGTTCGTCATCAGGAAGAGGGGGTTAGCTTCTAAAGGGAAACTGTTTATAAAGGTTTGGAATGGGCATAGTCCAAATGTCAGCAGCCAATGTTAATGTGAGTGGTGGGCAGCGACGGCGGCGGTGGTGGCTTTTCCACCAATCAAAGGGCTGCCAAGTAAAGATTAGCATGTTAATGTAAAATCGTTGAGCGTGGAGTCACAAAAAAAAAGAACAGGGACAGAGGGTATTACTTATACTTTGTAACGTTAGTATAGTTAGAGTGTATACCTTTTATATAAGTTAAGATTCCTACTTGTTCAATGTATGCACCGTCCCGCCATAGTGAATTCCTTGTTTGTGCAAACTTACATGGCGATTAAAACCGTTTCTGATTCTGATTCTGATAACTACCTGTCATCCCCTGGGGCGCCGCGGTGGCGAGATGTTAACTCTCTCACCTGGTATGCAGGAGGTCGTGGATTCGATCCCGACCCAGACACCTGCTGTATATTTGGAGTTTGCATGTTCTCCATGTGGTCGCATGGAATTTTTCTCCGGGTCCTCCGGTTTTTCCCTTCGTATTTGGCCGCTATAAATGTTTACGCGATAAGCCACTTCGTTAAGCTGTTATTTGTCCCCAGATGACTTCTGTAAAAGAGCTACACAGCTCAGTGGACCTTCCCTGGTAAAAGGAAAATAGTTTAGTTTTATTTCATAAGCCGGAAGAGATGGCGCCCTCGGCACCGGCTGCTAAAGGAGGTAACTTCACGAGCGAGCGAGCGATCCACCTACCAAAGCCGCTGTCCCGCACCGCGGCAAGGACACGCGGAGCGTGTTTGCACGCGTACGTACGTCACCCACGGACCGTGTGTGGTGCTCGTCTCTGACGGGTGTTGCGCTGGCGCCCGGGCCGGTCCCGCAGGTCACCACGCACTCCCGTCTGCTCACGGGCACTGACACGGCCGCGCTCGCTGAGGCCCTGGGAGTTCCGCCCGGGAACGTCTTCCTCCTTGCGCTGCAGCAGTTCGACACGGAGCAGGCGTTCTGCCGCAAGATCCGGTGAGCCGCACCTTTTAAAACTGAAAAAAATACTAAAACTACTTTTATTTTCCAGGTTAAGACCCCACTGAGCTATGTAGTTCTTTTTCAGAGGCTGCCTGCCTGTTATAACTGATGGCTCAGCGAAGTGGCTTATCGTCACCTGGAAATTTATAACAGCCAAATACTCTAAAATGCCTGTTTGATGGAGGGGGCTTAACAGGCACCGCATGGGCCAGAGAAGAGATGGAATGATGTGGTACAATAGGATATGGAGATGAGTGGACTTGCCAATAACTGATACCAGCGGTGTTAAGATTGGCCTTTGTGGAGGAGGCTCGCGAAGGACGCTAATGGGCAGTTGGAGGCAGTGAGGAACGGAGGGCAGAGCAGCGGAGCTCCGGGCGGCTAAAACACAGCGAGTTGGCACAGTAGGTGGCACAGCTGGTGAATCTGCCAGTCATCTTGTCAGTCGACAAGACACCTGCTGCGTTTGTCCCGTGACCTCCTGCCAGCCGGCGTTCGACACTTCACGTGGCCTCAAAGTGCCGTGGTGATGTCACCGCGACTTAGTGGTGGATGGAGGTTGTTGTTGTTGTTGATGCATGTGCGTGCATGTGTGTGATGTGCGTGCGTGCGGTTGCAGGGAGGTTTTCTCGCTCTCCGCCGACTCGGCCGAGCGGTTCCTGCTCATCCAGTCCGACTTCGAGGAATCGCGACGCGGCGCCAACCTCATCGCCTGCGCCAAGTGAGCGCCGCCGCCCCGGGGCGCCCCGCCTCCCGTTAGTGAGGCGCTCGTTAGCGAGGCGCTCGTTAGCGAGGAGCTCGTTAGCGAGGAGCTCGTTAGCAAGGAGCTCGTTAGCAAGGCGCCCGTTAGCAAGGCGCCCGTTAGCAAGGCTCTCGTTAGCAAGGCTCTCGTTAGCAAGGCGCTCGTTAGCAAGGCGCTCGTTAGCAAGGCTCTCGTTAGCAAGGCGCTCGTTAGCAAGGCTCTCGTTAGCGAGGCGCTCGTTAGCGAGGCGCTCGTTAGCGAGGCGCTCGTTAGCGAGGCTCTCGTTAGCAAGGCGCTCGTTAGCGAGGCTCTCGTTAGCGAGGCGCTCGTTAGCGAGGCGCTCGTTAGCGAGGCGCTCGTTAGCGAGGCTCTCGTTAGCGAGGCGCTCGTTAGCGAGGCTCTCGTTAGCGAGGCGCCCGTTAGCGAGGCGCCCGTTAGCGAGGCGCCCGTTAGCGAGGCGCCCGTTAGCGAGGCTCCCGTTAGCGAGGCTCTCGTTAGCGAGGCTCTCGTTAGCGAGGCGCTCGTTAGCGAGGCGCTCGTTAGCGAGGCGCTCGTTAGCGAGGCTCTCGTTAGCGAGGCGCTCGTTAGCGAGGCTCTCGTTAGCGAGGCTCTCGTTAGCGAGGCGCTCGTTAGCGAGGCGCTCGTTAGCGAGGAGCTCGTTAGCGAGGCGCTCGTTAGCGAGGCGCTCGTTAGCGAGGCGCCCGTTAGCTAGGCGCTCGTTAGCAAGGCTCTCGTTAGCAAGGCTCTCGTTAGCAAGGCGCTCGTTAGCAAGGCGCTCGTTAGCAAGGCGCCCGTTAGCAAGGCGCCCGTTAGCAAGGCGCCCGTTAGCAAGGCGCTCGTTAGCAAGGCGCTCGTTAGCAAGGCGCTCGTCCCAAAGCGTCGAGCGGCCGGACCAGGGGTCGGCTCCACACACAGTGGTCTGACTCTGTGGTCTGCTGACTCTGTGGTCTCACTCTGTGGTCTGACCTTGTGGTCTGACTCTGTGGTCTGACTAGGCCATAGTCTCTGGTGTAGGAAAATCTGTTTCAAATACAGTGCATACATTATTATTATTAGATAATGCAAACTTAATGCCTTGCAAAAAAGGTGTCTTATTTGGTGTTTGAACATCTTAAAGCCTCCTGTGTTATTGCCAGAAAGGAGTAAAACCTAATTCTTATTTTTTACACACGTAAGGGCAACCATCGGGATCGTGGTCATTGTAGGGGGAGGGGAACGAGAGGGATGGGGAGGGGAGAGAATGTACCCAAACAGGACCGGAGAATAAAGTAACGTACACGCGACGAGTGCGGTCGGATACGTACGGCGCGAAAGAAGTTCAACGTACGGACAGTAGATTATTGTAGATTCCCCGGGGCAGCGGCTACCTCACACCCATCATCCGCGGGATGGCGTGCCAGGGCTCCGTCTCCCCGCCCCCTTCGTCACGTTATTTAGTGAGGACCACCGTCTCGTGCTCGCATTGCGTTGCGGCTCTCGAAAATATTGAGTTTTTATTTTATGGAATTCGAAAAAAAATTGGCTCTTCTTCTTGTTGCTGTTTTGGTTGCTGACCCCTGGGCCAGAGACAGAGGCAGTGGAGAAGAGAGGATCACGTTCCTTGACTCGAGCGCAGTTCATTGCCGTTGTACGTTGAACTTCTTTCGCACCGTACATAGCCAACCGTGCTGATCGGAGATGTGGGGGAACGACAACAAACTCAACACACAAAGCAGTTCTAGAGAATTGAGTTTGTCAATCTTGATGATTTAAAAGTGCATAGCTCCAGCGGCTTCCTAATATCGGAAGGAAGAGCGTTCCAGATGGCCGCAGAAGCAGGCGATGCAGTGACCGTCTTTGTTCAGTGGTTAGCCAAGAGCAGCTGCTGCTGCTGCGAGGATGACCGGAGTTTGCGTGATGTTGGTTTATGCTCCTTGACGAGAACAGCAAGGTATTGTGGTTCATTTGTGGCGAGCACTTTGTGTGTAATAAGTGCAACCTTATAACGTGTTCAGCAACCGGAAACCAAGAAAGAGCTTAGGGGAGGAAAGAGACTATGATGATGACAATTGTGGTGATGTGGGGTATGAGTGGGTCGGTGAGGTCGCAAGTGAGTGGGTAAGTGAGTTAGCGGGCGAGTGAATGAGTGGGTAGATGAGGGAGTGGGTGATTGAATTAGTGGGTGGGTGGGCGGGGGCGGGTGAGCAGGTGAGTTGTGACCTGCAGTGCGGTGGTTGAATACAGTGCGGATTAGATGAAACAGTCATTCTCGTGTCCCCACGTGTCCCCACGTGTCTCCACGTCTCCCCACACGTCCCCACGTGTCCCCGTGTGTCCCCACGTGTCCCCGCTTGTCCCCGCGTGTCCCCCCGGCGTGTCCCCCCGCGTGTCTCCACCCACAGGTACTGCACTATGAATGAGAGGGGCAGCGTGGCCGCCGGGCCGCGTTGCGGAGCGCTGCACGTGTTCTTCATCACCAAGCTGCCGCGCGCCTCCGGGGCCTCGCAGTACGTCGGCTTCCAAGGAGGTGCGTCGTCGCATCAGCCCCGTCCCTCCGTCTGTCCGTCCGCCTGTGCGTTAGTCCGTCTGTCCCTCCATCTGTGCGTCAGTCCGTCTGTCCTTCCGCCTGTGCGTCAGTCCGTCTGTCCGTCGGACAGCTTTACAGGACCCGAGCGCTGGTGATGAGAATCCTGTTGCTGATGACGCTGTTGCTGATAATTAGTTTTCTACTGTTGATGCTGATGAAATGTCTGCTGCTACTGCTGATGATGATGATAATTATTCTACTGTTGATGACGCTGTTGCTGCTGCTACCTGCGTGGTGGCGTGTACGTGTGTGGGTGGGTGAGTGTGTGTTGTCGGGAGCGGTGGGTGTAGTGGTTAGCGCTACGCTGTGCTAGGACCCCGGCGACCCGAGTTCCATTCCCGCTCACGGCCAACACCGGTGACGATTATTTGAACCTGTCCTGGACTTCCCCTAGGTCGACTCAGCCTCAAATCAGTACCTGGTGCGGTGTTTAAACATCGACACTGGGAAGACAATGGCGGCCGGGCGTGGTGCTGGTCACCCACCCCCTCGTGTACTGTTCCGGCCTTCAACAGTCTGTTGAAGCTACACGGGGGATCTTTGTCTGTGTGTTTGCCCGCAGGCCCGTGGCTGTCCGTGCACGTTGACGAGCTGCGGCGCTCCCAGGAGCAGCTCTCTGACGTCACGGCGGTGCTCGGCCTCTCGGTGCGCGAGCTCTTCGCACGCTGCGCCGGCATCGACGACGCAGGTAAACAACAGTGGCCGCGACAACGTGAGCGTTAACAACAACGACAACATCAACAATAACGTCAATAATGATGTCAATAGCATCCGCAGTAACATCCACAATAACGTCAACAACAACGTCAATAACAATAACGTCAGCATTAACGTCAACAAAAACAATGTCAATGACAATAACGTTAATAACAATAACATCAGCAATAACAGTAACGCCATCATTAACATTAAGAGCAATAACTTGAACAACAATGTAGACAACATCAACAATAACATCAAAAACAACACCATCAACAATCACAACAATAACATCGACAACAACAGTAATGTCAACCAGAACGTCAACAATATCATCATCATCATCATCGATGCCACGCCCTCTTTTGAATGACGTCACAGGACCACCACTAACTTCCTCTGCGAATACCGCCAACACTCCCGTGGCAACCGCGCACCTCCGCAACGGGCGGCTGTGGACGCAATAACCGCTTGGCCACGTCACTTCCGCAATTTGACCACGGCCCCGGTGTTGAACCCAGGCTTGCGGTGAGGGGGGGTGGGGGTCGCAGCTCGCGTTGATCGTGGGTGCGGGGTTCACCGTGTGCAGCCGGCGAGGAAGGCGTGTTGGCGATGGACGTGGAGGGTGGAGGTGATTCAATGGAGGTGGAGGAGGAGGAGGAAAAGGAGGAGGTGGAGGATGAAGAGGAATCCACAGACCAGCTCGAGGAGATGCGACCCACTGTGAGCGGTCCACCACTGACGCCCCAACACCGGCCGCCTGCGGCTTTTTGCCTAACAGGAATCAGAATCTTGATTTGTTGAATCCAATGAGCTGATGAAGCTGTTTTTCACAGATGTCCGTTAGTTTTCGTGACTGCAAGGATTCATATTCTTAGGGTTTTTTTGGGTAAAGTCACGAAGGTAAAAAAAAATTTCAATTAATAAAAGTAAAATAAAAATAACATAAAAATCACGACGTTTCGGAGGCAACACAAGCTTCCGTCTTCAGGTGGAACCGTCACAGCACGATAGCTGTATCAAGTGTTTAGAACTAGTTTTTGTGTTTAGTTTGTTGTCTTCCCGCATCTCCGATTAGCACGGCGGGCTACGTGCGGTACGTTCACACACACATACACCGGCACCTTCTGAACGCGTTCTCACAAAGACAAAGATCCCCCGTGTAGCCTTAACAGACTGTTGGGGCAAGTGCTGTTAGCGAGTAGCACCTATGAAGGCCGGCACGGCCCACGAGAGGGTGGGTTGGTGACCAGCACCATGCCCGGCCGCCTTTGTCTCCCCGGTGGCGATGTTGTTTACCCACGGCACTGGGTTCAGACGATGTGCCGCTGGTGTTGGTGGTCGGTGGCCATGAGCGGGAACTCTGCGTGCGTGTGGAGCGCAGGCGCGCACCGCCGCGTTCAACGCCGCCGCGCTGGTGCGCAGCTGCGTGCAGGCGGCCGCGAGTCGGCTCAGCGACCCGGCCGACCCGGGGTCGCGCTCCACCACCCGCGTCCAGCTGCTGCTGCGGCTGCTCACGTCCCACGGTGAGACGCGCGCACATGTGCGTACGTACATACACACGCGTGACAATATTAATTGACCGATGACGGCTCAGCATGTAGAGGAACGTGGAGCTCGAGGGAAATTTGGCTCAGCGCTTGGCTGCTGCTGCTGCTCGCCTCCCGAGTCATCCTCTCTCCGTCTCTCCGTCTCTCTGTCTCTCCGCGTGAGAGCGACGAGCGGACGGCGTCGAGTTCCGAACTCCCCACCGCCCCCCCGAGCTCTGCAATTCTCTAAACAGGAAGGTGTTTTTGCCGCGTAACAAGCTCCCTCCCCACCCTCCCACGCGCGTGGCAGCGGCGTTCACGAGCGTGCTGCTGGCGCGGCTGCTGCAGCTGATGCGCCAGCGAGACGCCGCGAGCTACGAGCCGCGCGAGTGGGCGGTGCGCGTGGCCGGCGACCAGAGCGGCCTGCGTGAGGGCGGCACCTTCAGGTGAGACGGCACCCCCCACCCACCCCCCACCACCCCCCCCACCACCCCCCCCACCACCCCCCACCACCACCCCCACTACCCCCCACCACCACCCCCACTACCCCCCATCACCACCCCCACCACCCCCCACCACCCCTCCCACTTCCCCCCAATCACCCCCCACCACCCCTCCCACTTCCCCCCCAATCACCCCCCACCCACCACCACCCCTCCCACTTCCTTCCAATCACCCTCCCACCACCCCCACCACCCCCCCACCCACCACCACCCCTCCCACTTTCCCCCAATCACCCCCCCACCACCCCCCACCACCACCCCTCCCACTTCCCCCCAATCACCCCCCCACCACCCCCCACCACCCCCCACCACACCCCACCACCCCTCCCACTTCCCCCCAATCACCCCCCACCACGCCCCCCCTCACCCCCACCAATCCCGCCTCCCCATCCCCCCCCACCCACCCTTGCCCCTCGTCCCCCCCGTCCCCCCTAGTCCCCCCCCACCCTCCCAGCTCCCCCCACGGAAACACATCTCGACCGTTCTCGTGAACCAACGTCACGGACGCTGCCCTCGCGTCTCTCCGTGCGTCCGCGACCCAGGCAAGCGCTGTGGCTGCACCTGCAGCGGGTCGTGACGCAGCTGCTGGTGCAGGTGCTGGCCATCGTGGACCGCGACCGCAACCTGGACCTGCTGGAGCAGAGCGGAGTGCCCCGCGACCTGGACGCGCTGTGGCTGAGCATCTTCGGGGACTCTCGCGTGCTCGAGATCAACTACAACCCCGACCTCGGCGGGTGGGTGCCACGCCAGCCCCCCTCCCGTGCCCGCCGCTGGAAGTTCAACAAAACCGGGCGGCGTTGGCGGCGGTGCTGGTGGCCGTTGCTGGTGACGGTGGCATTGGCGGTTGTGGCGGTGGTGGCGTTGGCGGTCGTGGTGGCGGTGGTGGTAGCGGCGGTGGTGGTGGCGGTGGTGGTCAAAAGAAGAACCGATGTACGTGCTATCGGAACGGGAGAGGGTTGATGGGCGCTCGCTAACAAACGTGGGTTTGCGTGTCCGCGCGCCACGGTAGGGACGAGCAGCGGGAGGTGCGCGTGGAGAGCTCCTTCAAGCGGCCGCAGGAGCAGCAGGGGCAGCAGCAGGAGGAGCAGCAGCAGGAGGGGCAGCAGCAGGAGGGGCAGCGCGGAGCGTCGGCGCCGTTCAGCTGGGTGCTGCGGCAGCAGCTGGAGCAGCTGTGGGCCGAGGCCGGACATCTGTCGAGCGGTGAGTCGACTGGGCGCTCGCCCTGCACGCGGCTGTGGCCGTCACTACACTACTATATACTACACTACACACTACACTTCTACACACTACACTACTACACTACACTACTACACACTAATAATAATAATAGTACAATTTGTAACGCGCGCAAATTTGCAGACGTAGTGGCCGCAACTCAGAGGCGCGGAGCCAAGCTCAGAGTCGCTCAAAAGCATGATTGTAGAGGTGAGTTTTTAAGTGTCTCTTGAAGGAGGCGATTGAGGTGATGCTGCGAATGTGCAGAGGGATATCGTTCCAGACTGTTGGGGCTGCCACCGAGAAGCGGCGCGTAGACATGACCATCCTGGATCTTGGTATTGAGAGGAGGTCGTGAGTCGCGCTGCGCAGGCATCTGCCGTGTGCTGAGCTGCAAGTTGTCAGTAATGAAGAAAGATACGACGGGCAGGCGGATATGAAGGCATTGTGGCAGAGGCAGGCGGTCTTGTATGTGACCCTACTGGCAATGGGGAGCCAGTTGAGAGCGCGGAGACGATCTAGTGAGTCGAGGCGGGGATGAGTGTGGGCAATGACGACGCGTGCTAGGTTATTTTGTAGTCTTTGAAGCTTCCTTAGGTTGCCAGCGGAGGTCCGGACAAGGACGGAGTTACAATAGTCAAGGCGAGACCCAACTATGCAACATGCCAAAGTGTTGGCAATTTCAGTAGAGATGAGAGGACGTATGTGTCTAAGAGCCTTCAGGTGAAAGTTACATGAGCTGATGATATGGTTGGTTTGACGGTCGAAGGATAAAGTTGAATCTAGGATGACACCGAGGTAGCTGAAGTGGTTGGTGAACTTGATGCTATGACCGAAGATGTGTATGTGTGTGGGGAGTGTTGCTGAATTGAGACGTTGCTTGGTACCTAACATGATGGCCACTGACTTTTTCGGATTAAGGGCTAGGTTGTGTGCAGTGAACCATTGTTGCACGGCGGTGGTACATTCCGAGAGCCTCTCGAATCCAGATGCATTGCTAGAATCGATGGCGGTGAATAGAATCGTGTCATCCGCGTATGAGTGATGCTTAACACCGAAGCTTGCAATGAGTCGGCCGATCGGGGAAGTGTAGGCTGTGAAGAGCAGGGGACCTAGAACAGAGCCCTGGGGAACCCCGCATAATGCTCTTGTTTCAGGCGATGTGGACATGCCCACCCTGACTGAGGATTGCCGGTCAGAAAGGTACGAAGCTATCCACTTGAGTGCTGAGCCGCATATACCGAAGTCGGATTTCAGGAGGGAAGTAAGGAGCGAATGGTTGATGGTGTCGAAGGCTGACGAAATGTCCAGACTTACAAGTGCAACAGTTGAGCCGGAATCAACGATCGTTAAAATGTCATCGAGCACCCTAGTGAGTGCTGTTTTTGTGGAATAGTTTTGACGGTAAGCTGACTGGAAGTTGCAGTAGTTTGCGGAGGAGGTGACGTGTGGTTGTAGCTGGGCGAGGGCTAGTCGTTCAAGGAGTTTAGAGAGGTTCGAGAGGTTAGTGATGGGACGATAACTAGATGGGTCATCCGGATCTAGATTTGGTTTCTTTAACAAGGGAGAAACCAGGCCAGATTTGAGGTTGGACGGAAAACACCCCGAAGAGAAGGAGGCATTTGCGATGTTCCTGATCATGATGGCGAGTTCCGGAGCACATTGCTTGAACAAGGAACCTGGGAGCACGTCGAGTGGAGATGACTTCAAAGGAAGTGATTCAATTAAAGCGAAAACGTCTTTTGTAGACACAGGCTTTAGCATAGTTAGAAGAGTGTCTGGGTTAGTGCTTACAATTTTAGGTACCATGAGCGGGGTACAATGGTGCAATGTGTCAGTAGACGTGCACGAGTTTGCGACGGCGATTAGCTTGTTGTTGAAGTAAGTATTAAAAGAGGTGGCAAGTTTCAGTGAGGCAAGGGGATCGCTAAGGTGAGGGACCATGGTGCTACCAGGATGGAGAAGATCTTTGAGAGTTTTCCATAGAATGCGCGGGTTTCCGGTTGCTTTTTTGATGCGTTCCTCAATGTGGGAGGAACGTGAGACAAGGATCAGTTTGTTAGTTTTCCTGCAGGCGACTCTGTAAGCAAGTCGATCAGCAGGTAGACCACTGCGGGATGCGATACGTTCAAGACGCCTCCTGGTTCGCTTAGCAATGATGGCATCTCTTGAGAGCCAGTGAGTGTCGTGAGAAGACTGCCTAGCGGTTCGTGATTTTAATGGAGCTAGTTTGTCCAGCGCCGCCCTCATGTCAGTTTCTAGTTGGAGAGCGCAGACGGTTGGATCCGATGATGGGGATAACATTGAAAGCGAGTTTGCAAGGAGGTGACGAAAAGCAGAAAATTCGATACCCTTAAAATTACGCAAGTTGCGGGTGAATTTGATGGTGATTGGCTTCGGAAATTGGAGGGAAGAAAGTATAAGGCGGTGGTCGGAGTAACCAGTTTGGAAAACTCCCAGTGCAGTGATGCGTCGGTGCTGGTTAGGTTCCAGAACCAGGTCGAGCATGCTCTCAACGTTTGTTGACGAAGCTCTGGTGGGGCCTGAGTTTGTGATGACCAGGTTATGGCAGGCCAAAGTTGACTCAAGGTGACTATCGATGGAGGCTGGGGTATTGCCGGGGCAATTGAAGTCGCCTGTAAGCACGAGCCTGTGAGATGGGTTAGGAATCAGATATAGGAATTCCGAAAGCTCATTTACGAAGGTGTTGATGCTGCCATCTGGAGGGCGATAGATGGAAATAATGTAAAAGCACTCGTTGTTAGTAGTAAGGGATACACTACTACACTACACACTACACTACTACACACTACACTACTACACTACCACACACTCCACTGCTACACACTCGTGGTGTTGACCCCGACCGCTGTGGGCGTGTGGCGACGCAGGCCCGCAGGCCTCGAGGGCGGACGGCTTCTGCAGTCTCTTTGGGGCGTCGCGTCTCGGCGCGCTTTGCTCCGCGCTGTCTCCCGAGTCGGCGGCGCTGCTCGCGGAGCGCTACCTGGAGGACGTCGTGAGGGCGACGTTCCCCGTCACCACGGCCGCCGAGCTGCAGGTGGGAGACCTCGGGGGCCGGGCCGGTGCCGGCTAGAGTCGGAGGCCCGTGCCGATTCGCCGGAGAGCCAGCGACGGTGGCGTGGGTGGCGTTTGTTAAACGTCGAAATGACGACTTATTAATTTGCACCAATGGCGCCGTACGGCGAGTCCTGGGTTACTGCGCCGCGGGGATTCTTCCTTTCGGGAACACTGTTCGCACGGAACGCGCACCGTTGTAAGGCGGAATATTCACCGTTATAACGTGGAATGTGTTACGGCAGTAACGAGGAGTGACGCGGCAGTAACGAGGAGTGATACGGCAGTAACGAGGAGTGATGCGGCAGTAACGAGGAGTGATACGGCAGTAACGAGGAGTGATGCGGGAGTAACGAGGAGTGACGCGGCAGTAACGAGGAGTGATACGGCAGTAACGCGGTGACGGCGAACCCTTGTTTGCCCCTTGGCCGTCTCAATACGCAGCGTGCATAGTAGTCATCGTAGTGACATCCCGCCACACTTTGTTTTCACGTGATTTATGTTTAAATCGTTTTTCGCTTGACGCGTTTGTCGCCTTACGCGGCACTTTTCGGGAATGCATCTCCTCCCGCCGCGTGAACCGCGGGGGCTTGCTGCAGAGCGTCAACATTGTTGATCGTTATGATGATGATGATTATCACGATCAGGGAACCCCGTGTGTGCGTTGACGCCGCCGTTGCAGCTGCTGTGCCGAGCGCTGGCGTCGGCCGCTCTGGAGGCGTCCGCGGGGCCCCTCTCCATCGCCGCGGTGCACGCGGCGCTGGAGATGGCGCGCCCGCGGATCCACAACCTCCTGCGCCTGCTCGCCACCTTCCCCGAGATCGTGCCGAGCCTCGCCCGCGGGCACCGTGACCACGACGATGAGGTGGAGGAGGAGGTGGAGGAGGAGCGGGAGCTGGTGAGAGATTTCGTGCTATGATTCCTTCTGAGTATTTTTGAGTTTTTTTTTTCATGACTGTTTGGCCACCCGCCCAATGATCTCAAGGTTTAAGTCTACCCAACCCCCACCGGTGATTGGGTGAGTGAATGAGTGGGTGAGTAGGTGAGTGTGTGGGTAGATGAGTGGGTTGACGGAGTGAGTGGGTGAGTGAGTGAATGGTTCAGTAAGTAAGTGACTGAGTGGTTGGGTGGTTGGGTGAGTGAATGGTTTAGTGGGTGAATGAGTGGTTGGGTGAGTGGGTGGGTGAGTGAGTGAATGGTTCGGTAAGTGAGTGGTTGAGTGGGTTGAGGGAGTGAGTGGGTCAGTAAGTGAGTGGGTGGGTGAATGAGTGGTTGGATGGGTAAGTGAGTGGGTGAGTGAGTGGTTAGGTGAGTGAGTGAGTGGTTGGGTGAGTGAGTGGTTAGGTGAGTGAGTGAGTGGTTGGGTGAGTGAGTGGTTGGGTGAGTGAGTGAGTGGGTGAATAAGTGGGTGAATAAGTGAGTGGGTGAGTGAGTTGGAGGGTGAGTGAGCGTATGAGTGAGTGGGTGGGTGAGTGGATGAGTGAGTGGATGAGTGAATGAGTCGTTGTGATCGAGGACAGTGTGGACGAGACAAAGCAGCCAGCCTGTTCGGCCACCCACCACTTCCCTAACATCTCCTGGCTTACAAAACTTGCCCCAGCGGTCCGTTCGAGGCTACACGGGCGGCCTTTGTTTTTGTGCCGCGCAGGTGCTGGACGTGCGCGCCGCCCGCGCGTGCCTCCAGGCGCTCTCGCTACCCGGGGTGTCCTCCACGCCCCCCACGCCCCCCTCGCCCCTCACACCCTCCGCGTGCCAGCGCTGGCTGCGCAGGGTGAGCGGCGCGCTCGCCACGCTGGAGAGCACGCTCAGCGGCGACTACGCGCGCCACGCGGGGCCGCGGAGCCGCGCACTCGTGGAGCGGAGCAGGTGGGCGCGCACGCACGCACACACAGACGCACGCGCACACAGACGCACGCGCACACAGACGCACGCGCACACAGACACACGCACACACACGCAGACGCACGCGCACACAGACGCACACGCACACAGACGCACACGCACACAGACACACGCACACACACGCAGACGCACGCGCACACAGACGCACACGCACACAGACGCGCGCGCAACCGCAGAGGGGCACGGACGCACACGGAGACGGAGCGAGCGAGCGAGAGCCGCCACCTCCCCCCCCCCACAACTCTGTCCCATCGCACCGCAGACCTCTGCTGCACCGGTTGGAGTCGGCCTCCCTGTTTGTGGAGCTCGTGCTGCTGGAGAGCAAGGACGACGCGGCGCTCTTCAGCCTGCTCAGCAAGCAGGCGGCCTTGCTCTGGAAGGTGAGCGCCCCGTCCCGCACCTTCCGCGAGCTCGCTTGGCCACGTACGGTGCTGTTAGTTTGCCGCTGTGAATTTCCACGTGACGACGAGCCACTTTGTGCGAGCTGTCGTTTGTGGCCGGTTTTGTCGCTTCTCAAAAGATTAGGGGAATAGCTCAATGTGCCTTACCTGGTAAGATAAAGAATATAGTTTATTTTTATTTTTTTAAGATTCCTCCAAAGTCTAAACTAAAGATTCTGATTACCTCTGCCGCGCGGCCTCCCGCCAACAGGTGCTGGAGTGCAACTGGGACTTCAAACTCCTGGAGCCATTGCAGGCGGTCATCAACTTCCTGTGCCTGTGCAGCCAGAACGCACGCACCCTGCACTACCGGTGAGCAACCTCATAAAGGCACCCTGCACTACCGGTGAGCAGCCTCTTAAAGGCACCCTGCACTACCGCTGAGCAGCCTCTTAAAGGCAGCAGTCCTGGGCCTCCCCTCGGCCAACTTAAATGAGTGCTTGGTGCTGATGCATAAACATCAGCAAAGGGGGAGGCAAAGACGGCCGAACAGCGTGGCGTTTTGGCCACCCACCCCCTCGCGCTCCGTGCCGGCCTTCATCGGCGCCGCTGCTCGCTAACGCCGCTCGCCCCAGCGCGCCCCAGCAGCCTGCTCAAGGCCATGCGGGGTGGTGTAGGGGGTGCGGTGGTGTGGGCGGTTGCGGTGGTGTAGGGGGGGCGGTGGTGTAGGGGGGGCGGTGGTGTAGGGGGGGCGGTGGTGTAGGGGGGGCGTGGTGTAGGGGGGGCGGTGGTGTAGGGGGGGCGGTGGTGTAGGGGGGGGCGGTGGTGTAGGGGGTGCGGTGGTGTAGGGGGGGCGGTGGTGTAGGGGGGGCGGTGGTGTAGGAGGTGCGGTGGTGTAGGGGGGTGCGGTGGTGTAGGGGGGTGCGGTGGTGTGGGGGGGGGCGGGGCGAGTGGGGTGGATTGGGGGATCTTCGTCTTTGCTTGTCGCCCCCCCCCGCCACCACAGGGACGGGGTGAAGCGGTGCCCGAGGTGCCACGCGGACTCGGAGGCGCTGTGCCGGCTGCCCTGCGGCCACGCGCTCTGCGAACTCTGCGCCCGACGGGAGATCTCCCCCGCGCAGTGGCACTGCCCCGTGTGCCGCACGGCGCTGCCGCACGGATTCCAGGCCGGCGTCGCGAAGCCCTCGCGGTGCGTGACCCCTGACCCCGCCCCCCCACCACGCTTCACCGCAGCGCCCCGCCTGGGGTCCCGGACTCGTGGGTTTGATTCCTGCCGTCCATGTGGAGTGCGTGTCTCTCTCTCTCTCATCATCATCACGGTAGTCTCGGAGATGTGAACTACCTCGCCTGGTATGCTGGAGGTCGTGGGTTCGATCCCGACCCCTGACTCCTGCTGTATATGTGGAGTTTGCGTGTCTCTCTCTCTCTCTCTCTCCCCGTGCGTTGTGTGGATTTGTCTCCGGGTCCTCCGGTTTTTCCCTCCACATTTAAAAAACATCTGTTTCGAGTATTTGGTTTCTGAAATGTCCACATGATGATAAGCCGCTTCGTTGGGCTACCATTTGTGGCCAGGTCACCTCTGAAAAAGAGCTACATAGCTCAGCGGGCTTTGCCTAGGCGAAGGAAAAAATAGTTTAGTCTGAAGACCCCATCAGAGACCACTCTGTCATTGTCTAGATCAGTGTTCTTTGTCGCAAGGCCCGCCAGGCAACTGGCGGCCCCTGACGTGCGGCCCCCGACAATACACAACACGTGATCTAAACACCCCCCATCGTCATCATCGTGCTGCTGTCAAACCCCCAATGGTTTCAAATGTGTGGCGGCCCTCACACTGATGATGCCTTATCGGTGAAAGTGGCCCCCCTCTGAAAATGAGTGAAGAACACTGCCTAGAGACACCATCAGAGACCGCCCTGTCTGTCCGCCTGTGAGTCGGCCCCACTGAGGCCGCGTCTTGGCGCGTGCCGTGAGCAGGGAGGCCCAGAGCAAGCACCAGCGGCTGCTGCGCCGCCTCAACGCCTTCTTCTCGGAGCTGGTGTCCCAGCTGTGCTTCCGCGGCGACGCGCCTCCCTCGGCGCCCGTCGTGGACAAGCTCCTCTCGCTGCTGTTCGTGTCCGACGACGCCGGCGGCGGCGACCGCGGAGGAGGTACGAGTTCAACACCCGGCGAGAGGTTCATGAAGGCCGTGCCGGTAGAGACTGAGACACCAGCCGCGTTCGAGAAATCTCAAGCCTCAAATGAGTACATGGTGCGGTGTCTAGTAAACATCACCGCTGGGGAGATAAAGGCGGCCGGGCGTTGTGCTGGCCACCCACCCCCTCCTGTGCGGTGCCGGCCTTCATAGGTGCTGCTACTCGCTAACAGCACCTGCCCCAAAAGTCTGTTAAGGCTACACGGGGGATCTTTGTCTTTGTCTGTGTGTGCGCGTGCCTGTGATAGAGTATCGGTCAGCGTGCTGCGCTACAAACCCGCTAACTCGAGTTCGATTCCCACTCATGGCGGATAACATTGGTCGCGAAGGCATCCATGTTAATTTGTCTTTGTGTGTTCGTATAGGGGGAGCGACCAGGGACCTGACCCCCTTTAAGGAGTGCGTCGATCCGAATCCTGTGTACCGCTCCGTGCTTCTCAAGCTGCTCCTCCGCTACACGTGAGTGGGGCACGATGCTGCCCGCTGCCCCGTGGGACACGTGGGCACCGGGCCAGGGGTGTAGGGGACACGGTGCTGCCCGCTGCCCCGTGGGACACGTGGGCACCGGGCCAGGGGTGTAGGGGACACGATGCTGCCCGCTGCCCCGTGGGACACGCGTGCACCGGGCCAGGGTGTAGGGGACACACAGTGCTGCCCGCTGCCCCGTGGGACACGTGGGCACCGGGCCAGGGGTGTAGGGGACACGATGCTGCCCGCTGCCCCGTGGGACACGTGGGCACTGGGCCAGGGTGTAGGGGACAGGGTGCTGCCCGCTGCCTCGTGGGACACGCGGGCACTGGGCCAGGGGTGTAGGGGACACGGTGCTGCCCGCTGCCTCGTGGGACACGTGGGCACTGGGCCAGGGGTGTAGGGGACACGGTACGCCGACAGTGCCACCACCCGTGAGATCTAGCAGAAGGAAGGGTGCGATGGGGGGCAGGGGTAAGGAGGCGGCGGTGGAGGCGGAGTGGCGACAAATGGCAGCGGCCGTGCCGCCCCCCTCGGCTGACGGGCGCTGCGTCGTGCGGCCCTCCTGTGTGCAGCGGCAAGGAGGTGCAGCGGTTTCTGGAGCAGCATCTGCTGAGCGTGCAGAGGAACCCGAGGCTCAAGGAGGAAGACCTCAGCCAGCTGTACGTGCTCTTCGTGAGCTGCTTCGAGGTGGGTCCGCCGCTCGCTCTCTCGCGCACGCAGACTGCATTTTGTGATGGTCTGACCCAGCCAGGAGTACAGGCAGGAATCCCAACTAGGAATCCAGCCACAATTGTTTTGTATTACTTTGGTTTGACTGTCGCGCAACAAACTTCATTCGCAGTGGGTGGCAGAGTGAACCGCCCTGTGGCAAGGTGGCATTGAGCCTGCTGTGACTGACGCCTGCTATGGCTGAGCCTGCTGTGACTGACGCTGCCACCCCCTTGAGAGCAGTTGGCCGATGCGAGTTTGCCGATGCAGAGGCTATTTTATTGTAATGTTTTTAACATTTATTTTATAAGGCGAGGTCCGCTGAGCTACTTCTAGGAGTTATTTTTCAGAAGTGTTTTGGATTTTTCTCCGGTTTTTACCTCCACATCGGAATCGGCGTCACGACTATTTAGAGTATTTGGCCGCTATACACATTGCCACGTGGTGATGACGGCCACTTGGTTGGGCTATCATTTGTGATGGCCAGGTGGTCGCTTCTGACAGAAGAAGACGCCACGTACCTCAGTGGGGCCTTAGACCTGGTCAAATGAAAACAGTTTCGTCTTTCGATTTTTTACGGCACTCGCCCTCAACGGACCGTTAAGGCTACACGGGGGACCTTTGTCTTTGGGCAGGAGGCGCTCCACGCCGAGCTCGACCGCCGCTGCGGCCACGACTCCCGCGGGCGCCTGGGCGGCGCCGCCAGCTTCCTGGAGCGGCGGCTGCTCCGGCTGCCCCCCGCGGCGACGCCCGGCGGGGGGCCGCTGGCGCTCGGGGTCCTGCAGGACGTGGCCAACGCCTGCGTGGCCCTCGACGTCGTCGCAGAGATCATCCAGCAGCTGCACGGTGGGGACACTGGCTGCGAGTGCGTGGGTGTGTGCACGTGTGTGAGTCTGAGTGGGCGGGTGAGTCGCAGAGTGCGTGGGTGTGTGCACGTGTGTGAGTCTGAGTGGGTGGGCGAGTCGGAGAGTGCGTGGGTGTGTGCACGTGTGTGAGTCTGAGTGGGTGGGCGAGTCGCAGAGTGCGTGGGTGTGTGCACGTGTGTGAGTCTGAGTGGGCGGGTGAGTCGGAGAGTGCGTGGGTGTGTGCACGTGTGTGAGTCTGAGTGGGTGGGTGAGTCGGAGAGTGCGTGGGTGTGTGCACGTGTGTGAGTCTGAGTGGGTGGGCGAGTCGCAGAGTGCGTGGGTGTGTGCACGTGTGTGAGTCTGAGTGGGTGGGTGAGTCGGAGAGTGTGTGGGTGTGTGCACGTGTGTGAGTCTGAGTGGGCGGGTGAGTCGGAGAGTGCGTGGGTGTGTGCACGTGTGTGAGTCTGAGTGGGCGGGTGAGTCGGAGAGTGCGTGGGTGTGTGCACGTGTGTGAGTCTGAGTGGGTGGGCGAGTCGGAGAGTGCGTGGGTGTGTGCACGTGTGTGAGTCTGAGTGGGTGGGCAAGTGGGAGAGTGTGTGGGTGTGTGCACGTGTGTGAGTCTGAGTGGGTGGGTGAGTCGGAGAGTGTGTGGGTGTGTGCACGTGTGTGAGTCTGAGTGGGCGGGTGAGTCGGAGAGTGCGTGAGTGTGTGCACGTGTGTGAGTCTGAGTGGGTGGGTGAGTCGGAGAGTGCGTGGGTGTGTGCACGTGTGTGAGTCTGAGTGGGCGGGTGAGTCGGAGAGTGCGTGGGTGTGTGCACGTGTGTGAGTCTGAGTGGGTGGGCGAGTCGGAGAGTGCGTGGGTGTGTGCACGTGTGTGAGTCTGAGTGGGTGGGCAAGTGGGAGAGTGTGTGGGTGTGTGCACGTGTGTGAGTCTGAGTGGGTGGGTGAGTCGGAGAGTGTGTGGGTGTGTGCACGTGTGTGAGTCTGAGTGGGCGGGTGAGTCGGAGAGTGCGTGGGTGTGTGCACGTGTGTGAGTCTGAGTGGGCGGGTGAGTCGGAGAGTGCGTGGGTGTGTGCACGTGTGTGAGTCTGAGTGGGTGGGCGAGTCGGAGAGTGCGTGGGTGTGTGCACGTGTGTGAGTCTGAGTGGGTGGGCGAGTCGGAGAGTGCGTGGGTGTGTGCACGTGTGTGAGTCTGAGTGGGCGGGTGAGTCGGAGAGTGCGTGAGTATGGGCGTGCGTGAGTTTGGGCATGTGTGTGTGCGTGTATGCGTGCGTCTTGTGTGGGTAAGTGTGTGGGGAGTGGTAGTGCAATGGTTAGTGCGCTGCGTTACGAACCCGGCGACCCGAGTTCGATTCCCGCTCATGGCCAATAATCACAGGGAATATTTGAACCAGTCTCTCTGTATCTGTCTCTCTCTTTGACTTTGATTCTCTATGTCTGTGTCTCTCTTTCTCTGTCTCTCTCTCCCGGAGCCTCTATTTGTGTATCTCTTATTTTTACGTGCGTGTCTGTAATACAAGTTAAATCGTGTAAATACTCCGACAAAAAAACCTGTATTATGGTTGATATTGGTCGCGAAAGCCTACGTGTTAAAGTCTCTGTCTTTCTTTGTCTCTGCCTCCCCCTTCCGTCTCTCTCTCTCCATCTGTCCCTCACCCTCCCCGACTCTCTCTCTGCGACTGGCGGTTTGCGCGCCCGTCCTGCGTAGAGGCGGGGCGGGAGGCGTCAACGGCGAGCGTGGAGGAGCGCCAGCTGCTGGAGGCCGTGCGCCGCCTCTGCTCCATGCCCCCCTGGCGGGGTGTGGCTCCAGGTCTTGCTGCTGCGCTGCCTCGCCAGCCGCTGCGGCCTCGACGCTCTCGGCGCGCTCACACGCCAGTTCCCCTGGGCCCTGCCGCAGCAAGTCAAAAGCCAGGAGGTGGAGATGGCTCACGCGCTCGCTCGCTCCACTCACCCACTCGCCCACTCACCCGCTCGCTCACTCACGCACTCACACACTCATTTTCTCGCTGCTCAACCCGCTCGCTCATTTACTCGCTCACTCCTACACCCACTCAATCACTTGCTCACCGACTCACTCACACGCTTACTCAGTCACTCACTGGCTCGCTCACTCACACACTGATTCACTCACAAACTCGCTTACTCCCTCTCGTTCACTCGCTAACACAGATGCTCACTCGCTCATTCCCACACTCTCTCACTCACTCGCCGACTTGCTCATTCACTCGTGGGCACACTGGCTCACCGACTCACTGGTGAACACACTCACTTGCTCGTGTGTGCCTGTACGTGCGTGTGTATGTGGGTGTCTGCATCTATGGGGACTCGTCTCCGTGGCTCTATCTGTGTGTGTGCGTGGGGAGCGGCAGCGTAGCGGTAAGCACGCTCGACGACAAACCCAGCGACCCGAGTTTGATTCCCGCTTATGGCCAACACCAGTGACGATTATCTGAACCGGTACTGGGCCTCCCCTAGGTCGACTCAGCCTCAAATAAGTACCTGGTGCAGTGTGTAAACATCACCACTGGGGAGACAAAGGCGGCCGGGCGTGGTGCTGGCCATCCACCACCTCGTGTGCTGTGCACTTGCCCCAACAGTCTGTTAAGGCTACACGGGGGATCTTTGTATACGCACGTGTGTATTTTGCCGACGCATGTCCCGGTAACACCGGGAATCGGCTCGGGCCACAACCAACCCCCTCGTGCGCCGTGCCAGCTTTGTACAGGCGCTCGCTGGAGCGCACTTGCTCCAACAGGCTGTGTGAGCTACACGCGGGATCTTTGTCTTGTTTATCCAGGAGGAGTTGGCGACCCACATTGACTGGTTTCTGGCCTTCGGCGACGTCTACAGGGAGACACGCGACTCCGTGAGCGGAGCGCTTCTCACGGCGGACTACAAAGCCCTGGAGGCCAAGGTGGGTGACCACCGATTGGTCCGCTCCACAGCGAATGGCCCCGCTTGTTAGCGACTGCCTGTTGGTGGCAGTGACACGGCCCAGCGTAGTCCCCCAACCTCTCTCTCTCCCGTTTGTCCGCACAGCTCGCGGGCTCCCAGGATGCCGAGGGGCAGGTGGCGTTTGCGTTCGCCCTCTACAGGGAGGTGGCAGCCACCTTCACCTACAGCGACCGTGGCCTCCACGCCACCCCCGAGGTGACTTGGCCGGGGTTCGGGTCCTCCCCGAGGCTGAGGGGGGTGCACACCCGCGCCGGGTCGGTCGGTGGCAGACTGGGCACCTCACCGCCCACACCTCCGGTCATCCTCGCAGCGGCGGCGGCGGTGGCGGTGGCTTTTGGCTCGGCCATCAAACAAAGACGGTGGTCACCGCATCGCGCGGCGCTTTCGGATGAGCCCCTGCGGCCGTCTGGAACGCTGTTCCTTCCGAAACATTAGGAAGCCACTGGAGCTATGCATTTTTAAATCTTCCCGATTGAACTGCTTTTTGTGTTTAGTTCGTTGTACCCTCCCTCCACCTCCGATTAGCGCATTTGGCTACGTACGGTGCGACAGAAGTTCAACATACACACAGACACACCACCCACCCCCCCCCCTCTGCCGGAGGAATGGGGAATTTCCACCACTGAAGGGCTCTGATGTCCACCACTGGCTCTGCCTCGATGCTCATTCAACAACGACAATTCACGTGTTGATTGCCTACGAGAGCCACGCGCGAGCCCCAGGACCGTTTGCCAGGAGGGTCCTGCCGCTGCCACATTGGCTGATGTTTCAGCCCAGCTGGTCACGAGTTGTGTTTGTTATTGACGAGGGGGAGGAGACCGGAGGACCCGGAGAAAACCCACGCGCTGCGCGAGGGGGCAACGCTCTATCCCCGTAGAGATGGAACAGATGGAGATGAGTCCACTACGCTCTGCTGTGCGGCAGAGCGTTGCCCACCAACGGAAAGGGAGGAGGTCTCACGCCCCATCTGTGCGTGAGCCACCAACCCCTCGTTGCTGCTGCTGCTTCCTCCTCGGTCGTGCTGGATCGCAGGCCATGCCACGTGCAGCAGCGTAGCCACCACCACCACCGAAACAAAGGCAAAGCTCCCCCATGTAGCCTTTCCAGACTGTTGGGGCAAGTGCTGTTAGCGAGCACCACGGCACAAGAGGGAATGGGAGGCCAGTACCACGTCCCGGCCGCATTTGTCTCCCGAGCGCTGACGTTTACACACCGCACCAGGTGCTCATTTGATGCTGAGTTGACCTAGGGGAGGCCTAGGACCGGTTCAAATATTCGCCGTTGTTTTTTAGTCGTGAGCGGGAATCGAACTCGGTTCGCCGGGGTTCGGAAGCGCAGCGCGATGACCACCGCACCACCGCTCCGCACCACCACCACATGGCAGGAAGTCATCGTTGATTTTCATCGCACGATTGTGGATAACAGGACGGCGGATATCGGGACCCCTCCCTCTCTCCTTCGCCTCCTGCCCCTCCCTCCTTCCCTCCCCGTATGCGGAGAGCAGCAGTGCCGGGCGCTGGAGTCCGTGGCGACGCGCACGGTGCCGAGTTCCCCGATGAGGCAGTTCTGTTCCTTGCTGCTGAACGGGACGTTGGGAGGGGCCCTGGGTGGTGGCGGCGGTGTTGGCGCGTGGCGTGGGAGCCGGGCCCTGCTGGAGCTGGCGGTGCACGCGGGCGCCACGCTGCGGGCGGCCAGCACGGGGCTCGCCGGGCCCCTCCAGGGCCTGGCGCTGCAGCCGGGCTCCATGGCGGTGAGGGGGGGTAACGGACGCGAGGAGATGGGTGGCCAGCACCGCGCCCGGCCGCCTTTGTCTCCCCGGTGGCGATGTTCACTACGCACCATGCCAGAGACTCATTTGTCGACCTAGGGTCGGCTTAGAATTGGCTCAGATGATTGTCACCGGCGTTGGCGGCCATGAGTGGGAGTCGAACTCGAGTTAGCGGGTTTGTAGCGCAGCGCGCTGACCAATACTCTATCACAGCCACGCGCACGCACAGACAAAGACCCCCCGTGTCGCCTTAACAGACTTTTGGGGCAGGTGCTGTTAGCGAGCAGCAGCACCTACGAAGGCCGGCACTGTGGCACACGAGGGGGTGGGTGACCAGCACCACGCCCGGCCGTCTTTGTCTCCCCAGTGGCGATGTTCACTACAAACCGCTACACCAGCTACTCATTTTGAGGCTTGAGCCCTAGGGGAGACCCCGGAGCGTCCTAGAGAGGCACCACACCTCCTGTCTCTCCCCAGAACTCCTTCCTCCCGACCATGCCGGACGACCTGCTGGATAGCGCACAAGCTTGGCAGTTCACAGACCAGGACATGCAGCGCCAGTGGTATCGTGAGTACCTTGAACACCGCCACTCGGCACGCCCGGTACAAACGGCACACAATGTGGGATCACGGTATGCAATATGGGACCACGGTATGCAATATGGGATCATGGTACTGAATATGGGATCATGGTACACAATATGGGATCACAATGCACAATAGGGCTGTGTCAGGTTCATGATCAGCTGTGTCGCTGCCACATCCCTCTACTACAGCTGCTACGAACTACTACACTAACCTTACCTCTCCTCCAAACTGTGTTGGTCATACTTCACCATACTGGTCAGTGCCTAGGACCGGTTCAGATATCACCCACGACTGATATTGGTGGCCATGAGCGGGAATCAAACCTCTGGTCTGCTGGGTTCGGGTTAACAGTGCAGTGCGCTAACTGCTGCGCCGCCACTCACCACACCATCCCACCCCAGCCATACCACCCACCACCCCACACCACCCCACACCACCCCACCCCACCCACACCACCCCACCCCACCCACCTCACCCCACCCCACCCACCTCACCCCACCCCACCCACCTCACCCCACCCCACCCACCCCACCCCACCCACCTCACCCCACACCACCCACCTCACCCCACACCACCCCACCCACACCACCCACCCCACACCACCCACCCCACACCACTCCACACCACACCACCCATCCCACACCACCCCACACCACCCCACCCACACCACCCACCTCACCTCACCCCACTCCACCCACCCCACACCACACCACCCCACCCCACCCTACCCCACACCACCCCACCCTACCCCACACCACCCCACCCCACCCTACCCCACACCACCCCACCTACACACCACCCCACACCACCCCACCTTCACACAGAGGCTAATCTGCATTATTTACCTTTTTTTGACAGAATGTGCAAACGGACACTTTTGCATCGTGGGAGAGGTGAGAACTCGCTCAGACAAAGCCACCCCCCCCCCCCCCCCCGTGTCACCTACATGGACGGAGTAGGGCGGCCGTGCCAATTGAAACCACGAGCCGGCGCCGCAGCGAACGCTCTCCGGCTCGGCGGCTCCCTCACTGAATATTGCGACGGCGATTTTCCCCGCAGTTCGCTCGATTGTAGTTCGCTCGATTGTAGTTCGCTCCATTACCTCTGCCGTGTCGTCGGTGCTGTTGCCACACTTCCGGTTGCCGGGCAGCTGTGGGTCCTCACGTGGCGTGTACTCGCTTGTGAAATGTATCAATTGAATTGAATTGGAATCATATTAGAGTTGATTGTGAGGCATAACACCGGTCGCGTCTCTTTGTGCCTCCGTGTGTCCTTGTGTTTCTCTTTGTGTCTCTGTGTGTGTCTCCGCGTGTCTCCGTGTGTCTCCGTGTGTCTCTTTGCGCGTGTCTTTCTCTGTTTTCCTTGTCTCTGCATCGTCTGCAGTGTGGGAGACCCATGCAGAAGTCGCGCTGCATTGAGTGCAGAGTGGAGATCGGGGGCGAGAGTCACAACCCCGTGGAGGGGTTCAAAGCCACCACAATCATGTACGGCCACTGGCACGCACCCACACGGCCATCGTGGATCTCCTGGGCACGCCGGCCGTTCGAGGCTCGGTGATGGTGGCAATGATGGTGGTGATGATGGTGATGATGGTGGCGGTGATGATGGTGGTGGTGGTGGTGATGATGATGGTGGTGATGATTATGGTGATGGTGGTTGTGGTGATGATGATGTTGATGACGATGTTCATGATAATGATAATCATGATAATGATGGTGGTGGTGGTGATGGTGGTTGTGGTGATGATGATGTTGATGACGATGATAATGATGATGTTCATGATAATGATGATGGTAATCATGATGGTGGTGATGACGATGATGATGGTGGTGATGTTGTTGATGGCACTAGGGGCGAGCACTCGAAGCGTGGCCATGTGCTGGGCGCACCGTCTCAGCGTGGTGCGGCGAGCACGAGCGAGCGCAACGCGTCGCCGCTCGTCGTCGCGCTGCTCAGAGCGCTGCTCCACTGCTCCATGTTGATCGGCTGCACCAGCGACGCCGCGGTGAGTCCACCAACCCGCTCGCTCGCTCGCCCACGGACACAGCACCTCCGCGCAGCCTTTAACTCGGAGGCTCGGAGATGTTAACTACCTTGCCCGGTATGCAGGAGGTCGCGGGTTCGATCCTGACCCCGACGCCTGCTTTACATTTGGAGTTAACATTTTGCCACGTTGGCGAGATGTTACCTAACTCGCACCTCCGATGAGCACGATTGGCTACGTACCGTGCGAAAGAAGTCCAGCAAACATACATAATACAGTCGACCCTTCTGCATCGCGGGGATTAGGGGTGCAGGCCCCCCGCGATCTGGAAAAAACGCGTGAAATTTCTTGGTCCCCTTGGTCCTCTTGGCGAGCGAAGTGAGCACCTCCAGCCGGGGGGTTCGGGGGGGGGGGGCGCTGTGAGCGCGTAGAACCACAGTTATTTTCGCAAACTTGAACTTTTAACAACATTTAACTTTTAAAAAATGGTGTATAATTATGGTATTAAAATATAAAATGCATTAATATTATACAGTACTGTACATATATTTTATGCATTTAGGAGTTACTAAACTTTTGTGTGTCGTCTGCGGCTTTCGCAAAATTCCCATTTAATTTCTCATACCGACCCCGCGATATATCGAAACCACGATGGGGTCGACTGTACTTGTCTGTGCGTGTCTGTGCGTGCGTGTCCATGTCTGTGCGTGCCTGTGTGTGTCTGTGCGTGCCTGTGTGTGTTTGTGCGTGCCTGTGCGTGTCTGTGCCTGTGCGTGCCTGTGCGTGCCTGTTTGTGCCTGTGCGTGCCTGTGCGTGCCTGTGCGTGCCTGTGCGTGTTTGTGCGTGCCTGTGCGTGTCTGTGCCTGTGCGTGCCTGTTTGTGCCTGTGCGTGCCTGTTTGTGCCTGTGCGTGCCTGTGCGTGCCTGTGCGTGCCTGTGCGTGCCTGTGCGTGCCTGTGCGTGCAGGCCGTGTCAAGACTCATCGTCCCCCCGGTGCAGAACGTGACTGCGTTCCTGCTGCAGCACCTGCAGCAGGATGTGCAGCAGCTGTCGCGCTCCCTGAATCGCAGCAAGGATGATGCGCAGCTGCTGCTGCACCTCGTGCTCGCACAGCTGCTGCAACTCAACTCACGCGGTGATGAGAACACACGCACACACAAATAGCCATCTGCCTGTCATTACCTAGAGAGACACAGCCAGAGAGTCGTCTGTCTGCCTGTCATTACCTAGAGACACACTCCCAAATAGCCATCTGCCTGTCATTACCTAGAGACACACACCCAGAGAGCCATCTGCCTGTCATTACCTAGAGACACACACCCAGAGAGCCATCTGCCTGTCATTACCTAGAGACACACACCCAGAGAGCCATCTGCCTGTCATTACCTAGAGACACACACCCAGAGAGCCATCTGCCTGTCATTACCTAGAGACACACACCCAGAGAGCCATCTGCCTGTCATTACCTAGAGACACACACCCAGAGAGCCATCTGCCTGTCATTACCTAGAGACACACACCCAGAGAGCCATCTGCCTGTCATTACCTAGAGACACACAGCCAGAGAGTCGTCTGTCTGCCTGTCATTACCTAGAGACGCACACCCAGTGAGTCGTCTGTCTGCCTGTCATTACCTAGAGACACACTCCCAAATAGCCATCTGCCTGTCATTACCTAGAGACACACTCCAAAATAGCCATCTGCCTGTCATTACCTAGAGACACACAGCCAGAGAGTCGTCTGTCTGCCTGTCATTACCTAGAGACGCACACCCAGTGAGTTGTCTGTCTGCCTGTCATTACCCAGAGAGCCGGCTGCCTATCCATCATTGCCTAGGGATAGGGTCTGTACAGGGACCCTATCTGATGGGCTTCTCTAGCCAATACCGGTGGGCTGACACTGGAACCCGGTGAGAGTTGCAAGGCAGTGGGCGACCTCTCCGTGACCACCGGCCGCTCTTCCTTCAACAGTTGGCGATCAGCGGGACCCGCTGCTGAGGCAGAGGGAGCGGCGCGCAGCCTGGGAGAAGGACTTCGCCAGGGAGTGTCTGGAGCCGGTGCTGCGGGTGAGCTCACGCCACGGGGCACTGCCCCAGCACCACGAGGCCGAGCGGACAGCGGCGAGCAGCGCCGTCGGAGGCTGTCCGTGGGGGTGGGCGCCGTGCGGGGCGTCGCCTGTACTGCAGACCGGCGGCGGAGGCGGTAGCGGCGAGGGTTGATGGGTCGCCACACGGATGGGCTGTGAAACTCTCTTGCCTGTGGGTGGGCGTCAAGGAGGAGCCGTACCTCCTGGCTCTGCCGGGAGAAACGAAACTAAAACTCAAGTATTTTTTTTTTACTAAACTAGAATTTTTATTTTACTAGGTAAGGCCCCACTGAGCTGTGTAGTTCTTTGTCAGAAGCGACCTGGCAACCAAGTGGCTTATCACGTGGAAATGTTTAGCAGCCAAGTGCTCTAAAAGCACATCAATTATACATGTGAAGGGAGAAACCGGAGGACCCAAAATCCACGCAATCACCACGAGGAGAGCGAGAGACACGCAAACTCCAAATATACAGCAGCAGGCATCTGGGTCGGGATCAAACCCACGACCTCCTGCGTACCAGGCGAGGGAGTTAACAGCTTGCCAACGTGGCACCCCCAGGCGGTCGGTGCAGCAAAAATGTGGACTCCACCCATTCTGTCTGCGTGGGATCGAGTGTTTACCCTTCGCCCCGGTTTCCTTCCACACGTATAAGCACTCGTGAATTGAACGAGATAACGCCTTCATATGAACAAGGCCACAGAGCTTGGGCAATTGTTGGTAGTGCCGGCTTGTGGATCACGACCCACGCTTGGGGTCGCGTGCGGAAGAAGCAGAGTTTGTTGATTCGTACTCTCGCTCACTGGCTCGCCTAGTCAGCTGTGAACCCACTCACCCCCCTGTTCACCTGCTTGTCCACACACCCGCCCACTCATTCACTCACCCACTCACTATTCTACCCACCTACCAACTCACGAATTTATCCACCCAGACTCACCTAATCACCCACGTACCAACTCAAGTCACCCAACTATTCAGCTACTCACCCACTCTGTCATACCACCTTCCCTCCCCTCTTGCCCCCCCCTTCTGGTCCTTCCCCTCCACTTCCTCCTCCCCTCCATCCTCCTTCCCCTGCCTCCCCCCCTCCCCCCCTCCTCCTCGCCCCTGTCCTCCCCTTCTCCCCTCCTGCCCTCCCCCCCAATTCCGCCCGCCCCCCTCCGCTCCCTCCCCTCCATTCTCCCTCCATCCCCTGCCTCCCCTCCCTCCTCCCCTCCTCCCCCTCCCACTGTCTCCGTGGCTGCCTAGGATCTGGAGAGGCGTCTGGGCGAGGCCCACGAGCGGGTTCGTAGCGACAGGCGCGGCGGTGCCTGCGGGCCGCTTGCGCGCCTGGTGCGCGGCGACGTGCCGTGGATGGCGCCGGGCGCGGTGGGCGTCCACCCCGAGCTGTGGCGCTACAGGCCCAGGGCCTCGCTGCTGCAGGTGGCCACGCAGCTGGAGCAGCAGGGCCTGCAGAGCGAGCTGCCCGTGCTCACCGTCTTTCTGCAGCAGGCGAGTGAACCGGCTCACACTCACGTCGGTGGGTGTGGGGTGGGGTGGGTGGGGAGGGTGGAGTGGGTTGGGTAGGTGGGGTAGGGAGGGGTGGGGAGGGTGGGGAGGGTGGGTGTGGGGTGGGTGGGGAGGTGGGGTAGGGTGGGGTAGGGAGGGGTGGGGAGGGTGGGGTAGGGTTTAGAGGGTTGGGTAGGTGGGGTAGGGTGGGGTAGGGAGGGGTGGGGTGGGTGGGTCGTGGTGGGTGTGGATTTCTCCTATCCAGTAGTAGCAGAAGCAGCAGCAGACCCTCCACGTGTGGTGCGTGCGACCCTGCAAACAAAACCGTTGTTGGCCTGCGCGGTTCACGTCGCGAACCACCCACAGGGCATCGCCACCGCCGCCTCCGTCGCGCGCCGGGAAGTGACGGCGGCGTCGGTGGGGGCTGTGACTGGGGGTTGCGGCCGTGAACGTGGTCGCGCGTGTCCCCCGCGTCCGTCTCGGCCCCCCAGGAAAGGCACCTGCGCCTGGTTCGACACCTGCCCGAGCTGCTGTCCCTCGCCAGGGAGATGGTGGAGCGATTCCGGAACGTCCTTCCTGAGAAGGCCGACACCTCCATCCGCAGCTTCCTCTCTACGATCGCGCCCGGTACGGAACCGGCACCGCCTCTTCCGCCAGAGGCCGCCGGGTTCAATCCCCTGCGCCGCGCGCGTCTCTCCCGTGCGGGGAGCGGCGACGGGACGGTTAGCGCACCGCGCCACGGACGCGGCCATCAGACGTCCGATTCTCACTCAGGGGCAACGTGGGTGACGATTATCTGAACCCGTTCCTAGGCGCTTCCGGCGGTTTCAGTGGCTCTTGTGGTTACAGCGGTTCTGGCGATCTCTGGTGGTTCTGATGGTTTTGCCGGTTCCAGTGGCGGTGTGTCCCGGCGCGTGGCGGTGTGTCCCGGCTGCGTGACCGTGCCGCTGCGTTCTCGCTGTGCCACAGTCTCGCTCCGCGCGGCGCTGCAGAAGAGGGTGGAGGGGTTCATCGGCGTCTGGAACCAAGCACGGACGCTCATCAGGGACAACAGTGAGTGGGAGCCCGGGGATGCACACGGCACGCGGGGCGACGACGATGATGTCTCTGCGTGTGCGCAAGTGTCTCTGTGTGTGTGTCTTTGGGTGTATGTGTGTCTCTGTGTGTGTCTGTATGTGTGTCTCTGTGTGTGTCTCTTTGGGTGTCTCTGTGTGTGTCTCTTTGGGTGTCTCTGTGTGTGTCTCTTTGGGTGTATGTGTGTCTCTGTGTGTGTCTCTTTGGGTGTCTCTGTGTGTGTCTCTTTGGGTGTATGTGTGTCTCTGTGTGTGTCTAAAATAATAAAGGCAGTCAGACGTGGTGCCGGCCACCCACCTCCTCGTGTGCCGTGCCGGCCTTCATATGTGCTACTCGCTAACAGCACTTGCCCCAACAGTCTGTTGGGGCTATATGGGGGATGTTTGTTTGTGTCTTCGTCTCTGTGTGTGCATGCACATGTCCATGTATGCATGTCAGTGTGGGGAGTGGTTGTGTAGCGGTTCGCATGCTGCGTTACAAACCTGGCAACCCGAGTTCAATTGCCACTCACCCTCTCTTCCCCAACAACAACCGGCTCAGCCCTCTACGGTGCCAACTCGCTGCGTTTTGTCCGCCTGGCGCTCCGCTCGTTGTCGTGAGCGTCGCTCCTCTGCCCTCCGTCGTTGTTGCTGGAGGGCGACTGCCTCCAGCTGCCCAGCAGCAGCAGCGTCCTTCACGAGCCTTCTCCTCCAGAGGCCGACCTTGACACCGCTGGCACCGGTCATCGGCACCCTCGTACTCACCCACCCTCTCTGCCCCACTTTCCACCCCCCCTCCCACTCTCCCTCCCATCCCCCGCTCGCCGTCTCCCTGTCCCCAGACGAACTGAAGGTGGCGGCGTCGCTGCTGGAGGAGCCTCTGGGCCTGGAGGGCCCCGTGCTGGCCCTGGTGCCGCGCCGCGCCGGGCCCGGCCTGGCCGCCACGGCGCTCGTGGCGCTGCTCGTGGCGCAGCACAACCGCGTCGTGGACACCCTGGCACGCGCAGAGGGGCACGAGCCGCCGTGAGTGCGCGCGGCGTGCACGGAGCACTGCAGCATGCACGGACAGCACGCATGCAGCACACGCGCAGCACACGCACAGCACACACGGACAGCACGCGCGGTGCACAGCACGCACGCAGCACGCAGCATGCAGCACACACTCACAGCGCGCACACAGCACACAGCACGCAGCACACACTCACAGCGCGCACACAGCACGCATTCACCAGCAGCAACAACAATAACCGACTGTGCTGCTGATGATGACGACAACGATGCTGCTGCTGCTGCTGCCGCCGCCACCGCACAATCACTCCGCTTCTAAGCACCGCTCACCCTGCCCCCCCCACGTCGCTCGCAGGCTGCCGGTGTGTGTGAGCGCCGTGTCCCCGCCGCTGCTCGTCTCGTACGAGCCGGCGCGCGACCTCGCCCCGCTGCTGGCGGCGGCGCGAGCCTACGTGGTGGAGCCCGGCGGCGGCGGTGCCGGCACGGCGCTCGGCGCCACCACGGAGCTGCGCGCGCTGCAGCGCCACGTCGTGCGGAGGCACGTGCGCGGCCGCCCGCCCATCGATATCAAGGTGTTACACTTTGTCTTTACGTGTGTGTGCACGCGTGTGTGCACGCGCCTATGTGTGCACGCGTGTGTGCACGCACCTATGTGTGCACTTGCGTGTGCACACGTGTGTGCACACGCGCACGTCTCCTCCCCTTCTGCTCTTTAGCAGCAGCAGCGGCTTTTGGCTGGCCATCGAAACAAAGACGGTGGTCACCACATCGCGCGGCGCTTTCAGATGCGCTTCTGCGGGCCGTCTGGAACGCTCTTCCTTCTGATATTAAGAAGCCACTGGAGCTGTGCACTTTGAAATCATCATCGAGATTGTCAAACTCATTACTTTAGAAGTGCTTGTTGTGTTTAGTTTCTTGTCCTCCCGCCCTCCCCCCCGATTCGCACGGTTGGCTACGTACGGTGCGAAAGAAGTTCAACATAACTATAAACGCTCGTGAATTGCCCGATAACACATTCATATATAGAGGACCGCAGAGCCTGGGCAGTTGCTGGTAGCGCCAGCTGCTCACCGCGTGGCTGCCTTCCCACAGCTGCTCCTCTCTCTGTGGTCAAGAGCGAGCGAGTAGCGTGTGGTGGCGGCCCAGTAGAAGTTGACATTGTTGTTATGATTGTGAGAGTTTAATAGTTTGCTGACTTCAGCAAGGGAAATATTGTTATTGTGAGAGCATCGGGGGGAGGTAAGGAGATATGAGGTAAGGAGATATGAGGTAAGGAGATGATGAGGTATGGAGATGATGATGTAAGGAGATGATACAGGGGAATTGCCAAAGTTGAGCGATGCGAGGGATGAAGTAGAAATAGCAGCGAGGTGCGTGGTTGGGTAGGTGGGTGAGTTAGTAGGTGGGTGAGTGAATTGGTGTAGTGAATGAGTGAGTGGGTGTAGTGAGTGGGTGAGTGAATCACTGAGTGATTAGCTGAGCGTGTGGGGCTGTGCTCAGCAACTTTGCGATAAAATCGACACAAAAACCAAACCGGTTGGATTCGACTGGCGAGTCACCGTCTGGGCGCGTGGCGTTGCGTCTCTCTCTGCCTCCCTCTCCTTCTCTTCCTGTCTCTCTCTCCGTCTCTCTCCGTCTCTCTCCGTCTCTCTGTCCGTGTCTGATGGAGCCGCCTCGTCTCCACAGAACATCCCCACGCTCGTGACGCTGCACGACCGCGACTACGCACAGCTCTTCCAAGACCTGCAGAGGCAGATCCCACAGGTGACCCCTCCCCCCAACACGCTACCCCTCCCCCCACACGCTACCCCCACCGCACACACCCCCACCCCACACACCCCCACCACCATCGAGGTCGTCGTGGTCAGTCCCGCCGAGGTCATTGTAACCGTGGATTTCCGCCGCTTGGTCTGTCCAATACGCGGCGGCGGTGGCGGCAGTGGTGCCGTGAAGGCAGCGGCAGCAGCGAGGGTTGGTGGATCACCGCCCGAATCTCCCCCCCCACCCTCCCTCCCTCCCGCCCAGGTCCCCTTGTTGAGCTCTCACCGGGAGCGACTTCGCGCCCAGCTGCGCTCGCCCAGCGACGCGGCGGAGGCGCTGGCGTGCGTGCAGGTGGCGCTCGGCTTCCTGGTGCCGGCTGGTGGGCGCTCCGACACGGCGCTCACCGCCTACCTCGCCCACGTGCTGTGCATGCAGCACCAGGTGTCGGCGCACGTGCTGCAGGTGGGCGCACGGCTCGCGACCCACGCTCGTGCTCGCCCACCACGCTCGCCCACCACGCTCGCCCACCACGCTCGCCCTCGCCCACCACGCTCGCCCACCACGCTCGCCCTCGCCCACCACGCTCGCCCACCACGCTCGCCCTCGCCCACCACGCTCGCCCACCACGCTCGCCCACCACGCTCCCCCACCACGCTCGCCCACCACGCTCGCCCACCACGCTCGCCCACCACGCTCGCCCACCACGCTCACCACGCTCGCCCACCACGCTCGCCCACCACGCTCGCCCACCACGCTCACCACGCTCGCCCACCACGCTCGCCCACCACGCTCGCCCACCACGCTCACCACGCTCGCCCACCACGCTCGCCCACCACGCTCGCCCACCACGCTCGCCCACCATGCTCGCCCACCACGCTCACCACGCTCGCCCACCACGCTCGCCCACCACGCTCGCCCACCACGCTCGCCCACCACGCTCGCCCACCACGCTCACCACGCTCGCCCACCACGCTCGCCCACCACGCTCGCCCACCACGCTCACCACGCTCGCCCACCACGCTCGCCCACCACGCTCGCCCACCACGCTCGCCCACCATGCTCGCCCACCATGCTCGCCCAACGCTAGCCCACTCGTGGTTAGTCGCTCTCTTGGTTCATCAAACGCTCGCTCACTGAACCGTTTTTGCAGTTGTTATCAGAGAGGGCACTCGCCACAAAAGTATGTTAAAGGCTACATGGGGGATCTTTGTGTGGCCAGCGAGTGCGTGCGTGCGTGCGTGTGTCAGGTGGGGAGCAGTGGCATGGGGATAGCCCCGCTCACGGCCACCAAAGCCGGTGACAGATCATCTGAACCGGTCGTGGGCCTCTACTAGGTGAACACAGCATCAAATGAGTAGCAAGTACGGTGTTGAGTAAGCATCGCCACTGGGGAGACAAAAGCGGCCGGGCGTGGTGTTGGTCAGCCACCCCCTCGTGTGCCGTGCCGGCCTTCACAAGTGCTACTCGCTAACAGAACTTGCCCCAGCAGTCTGTCAAGGCTACCCGGGGGATTGTTGTCTTTGTGTCAGGTGTTGGAGCCCTGCCGACTGAAGCACATGGCGTCGCTGTGGCAGCTGCTCTCCGCTCTGCGCTCGCAGTGCCTGCTGCTGCAGGGCGAGCAGGTGACCGGCGCAGCGCCGCACACGGCTGAGCCACGAGCGTTCAAAACAGCTCGCAAACACTTCATTTCGAAAGACCCAACACATCAGTAACGAGCGTGGGGGGCAAGCAGGGGGTGCCTTGGCCCCTCCCCCCCCCTTCCCCCCCTCCCGCTGGTGACCAAAGCTACCAGTTGGGGCCCCCTTGACAAACACCAACAGTGCCAAAGAGCAACAACACTTATTTAAAACGCAGTTTAATGTAAATTTTATGAAAGTGCTTCTATTTACATTCCACGTTTTATTTTCATTTAATTAGAGGTAACGTAATATTGCATAGAGCTAACTACTACGACGGAGCTGTAGTGGCTGCGATGGGATTAGGGAGGAGTCGCTAAATAAAATATCCTGTTAGAGTGCGACCGTGCCAAGAGACAAATCAAATATTGTGTCCCCACCTGACCGATTGCCACACCCCCGGAGCTGATGATGTCGTTACTATGCCACTGATAATGTAGTTACTACGCCACTGATAATGTAGTTACTACGCCACTGATAATGTAGTTACTACGCCACTGATAATGTAGTTACACCACTGATAATATCGTGACTACGCTACTGATGTCGTTACTACTCCACGCGGAACAAGATGTCGACTTTATTGATTGATCTATATGCGTGGCGCTGCGCAGGATCCATTCCCCCGGCTGGACGGACGCTACCGGAGTGAGCTCACGACCCAGCAGGGCGAGCAGCTGCGCCGCTTCCTGGCCACCTGCCCGGCCGACAGCTTCCTCTTGGAGCTGCACGAGTTCATCGCGCTGGGCCTGTGCCGCGAGCGCGCTTACGACAACTACCAGGAGCAGTGGGGGTAACGTCGCCACGCATCCTACCTACCGCGTGATCGCGGTGGCAGCGGTGATTGCAGCAGTGGTGGCAGCAGTGGTGGCAGCAGCAGTGGTAGCAGCAATGGTGCTGGTAGCAACAATGGTAGCAGTGGCAGCGGCAGTGGCAGCAGTGGCAGTGGTGGTAGCGGTGGCACTGGCAGTGACGGCAGCAATGGTAGCAGCGGCAATGGTGGCGGTGGTGCTGGTAGCAGCAATGGTAGCAGCGGCAGTGGCAATGGTGGCAGCGGCAGTGGCAGTAGCGGTGGTGCTGGTAGCAGCAATGGTGGCAGCGGCAGTGTTGGCAGTGGTAGCGGTGGCACTGGCAGTGATGGCAGCAGTGGTGGCAGCGGTAGCGGCAGTCGCAGCGTTAGCAATGGCAGCAGTGGCAGCGGTCGTGGCGGTGGGGGCAGCGGTAACAGCGATGGCAGTGGTAGCAGTGGCAGCAGCAGTAGTGGCGGCGGTAGTGGCAGCATCACCATCGCGAAGAGCACATCTGTCCCGAGTGTTCGCTCAGAATCAAAGTAGTTTCCTGCTCAAAGCAGCATGGAGGCGGTGCTCATCATCAGTGGTGGAAATTCCCCGGTGCTATGACAGGAAATGAGCCCATAGGTTGATAACCGTTACTGACTTATGACTTCTTGAGGTGTCATATATATTGTTGTATATTTTTTACTTTTGTGGCAAGTGTGCTTGGCGAATGTGGAATATATTTTAGCCAGACTCATCGAGCCAGACTAAGGCTCTGCCAAGAAACACTGAACTTTCAAACTGAACACCTCCTGTTCCCCCCCCCCCCCACCCCCGCCAGGCTGAGCGAGACGCTGTCCAATCACCTGGAGGCAAAGGGCGTGGAGCGCTCCGGGGAGCTGAGCGAGGGCTTGCCCGCCGACCTCACCGTGGCTCACAGCTTTGCTGTCTGGAAATTGGCGCTGGCTGCGTGGGGAGGCGCCGCCAAGCCCAGCCAGCATTGGCGCAGCTAGCCCACATGGCTAGCGAGGGTGGCTAGCCCACACGGCTAGCGAGGGTGGCTAGCCCACACGGCTAGCGAGGGTGGCTAGCCCACACGGCTAGCGAGGGTGGCTAGCCCACACGGCTAGCGAGGGTGGCTAGCCCACACGGCTAGCGAGGGTGGCTAGACCGCACGGCTACCCCAGGTGGCTAGACCGCATGGCTAGCCCGGGTGGTGCGACTGCGTGGCTAAATCACGTGGCGTGACGGCTCACTCGGTTATTGTTTTGTTGTTCTTTTATTGTTGTTTTATCGTCGCATTCGACAAATGTTTTCCTGAGAAAGGCAACGGTTCCGTACGCCACTTCCTTCGCACATTCTCCGACTTGCACTGCCACTTCTGCGGAGATGGCTGGGTTCAGGCCCCGGCACTCTGTGTGTGCGTCTGCGCGCGCGTCCCTCATCACGAGGGTTCGCTTTAAACTACAATCGGCTCGTTCCCCGACGTTCTCGCAACGACCGCGCTTCCGTCGGCGTTGCGTCGTCAGGAGACGATCAATCCCTTGGGAAATATCGTGCCGAGCAGATAACACAGAGCTACCTCAGAGATCACGGCAGGCGCTTGCCCTGCAGTACATGAGTAATGTTCATCGGGCGACAGTCAAACCATCGCCCGATGAATCATACCGCGTCGGGTACTAATGTAGCGCTGAATCGACCTAGACGATGCCCAGGACAAGATGAGATAATTTACACTGATATTAGCACGGAGGGTGAATCAAACGGAGGTTGGCGTATTCGCCGCGACGCGGCCCCACTCTGCTTTCAAACCACGCCGCCCGCCCGGGGGAGGTTTTTAACATCCAAGCGTGAGCGAAGCATGGGGGGGCACCGTCGTTTTACGGTCAAATACACCCGGGCTGTATTAACCAGGGCGGACGCCGGGCTCGAACCAAATTGCCACCGTGGGCTGCAGTTAAAAATAAACTATTTTTATACTCATAGGTTTTTTCGGTAAAGTCACGTAGGTAAAAATAAATAATAAAAGTAGAAATAATATAAATTATTTTCAAGTAAATCTAGCTGTGACGGTCCCACCTGATGACGGAGACTTGTGTTGCCTCCGAAACGTCGTGATTTATTTCTATTATTATTTCAACTTTTATTATTTATTTTTTACCTACGTGACTTTACCGAAAAAACCTAAGAGTATGAATCCTTGCAGTCACGAAAGCTTCAAATCTAGAATTATTTTTCATTTTACCAGGTTGAAGGGCTCCACTGAGCTATGTAGCTCTTTATCCAGAAGCGACATGGCTATCACAAATGATAGCTCAACTCACTTGCTTATCATCGCGAGGAAATATATAGCGGCCAAATACTCTGAACGCACATTGTTGATTCTAAATGTGGAGGGAAAACCTTGACCTGGAGAAAAATCCACGCGACCACGGGGAGAGAGACACGCAAACTCCAAATGTACAGCAGCAGCAGGCGTCAGTGTCGGCATCGAACCCACGACCTCCTGTGTACAGGTGAGGTAGTTAACGTCTCACCGCCGTGGATGCTGTTGATCTCGTGTGGGTCAACGTGGCACAGCAGCAACAGCCCCCCCCCCCTCGTGGACTGGCAGCCTCCTGTACCCGCCTGTGAGGCATAGCGCCCTCTTGCGGGAAAGCCTCGTGCTGCAGAAGTTACAACAGCGGAAATTACAACCGCTTCCGCGATAAGCCATATAAATGTATACATACGTTCTCACCGTTGCATAAATGCCCACGATTGTGAAGTGATTTTAACAGAGTAAATGTCCGTGTTTGACGTACACCGCTGTGTGTGTGTGCCTCTCCAAACTCCACAACACGGGCAAGCCACTCGCCACCAGCCATGACACACGTGGCGCTCCGCCACTACACACGTGGCCGCGACACTCGCTGCACTCACCCCCCTCACTCGGCACAGCCGCGAAACGCTCCCCCGTGGCTATCGGCCAGGCACCGGAGTGTAGCAGCAGGACTTTGCTGCACACACACACACACAGAGTCCTGCTGCTACACACGTATGTGTGTAGCAGCAGGACTTTGCTGCACACACACAGTCATACTGCTACACACACGTGTGTATGTAGTAACAGCAGGACTTTGCTGCACACACACACACAGTCATACTGCTACACACGTGTATGTAGTAGCAGCAGGACTTTGCTGCACACACAGAGTCATACTGCTACACACGTGTGTGTAGCAGTATGACTCGAGACTGTTGAGGATTTCCCGGCTCTCGTCCGATTCGAGTCGAGAACGCGCCACTCTCACGACTCTCGAGTGCTGCCGGCCGAGTCAACAACGAGGTGGTGGACTTAGTAAGAAGTACGTGCGTCTCTACCCGACGTTGAACTTCTTTCGCACCGTACGTAGCCAACCGTGCTAATCGGAGGTGCGGGGGAAGGACAACAAACTAAACACAAGAAGGCGGTTCTAAAGAAACGAGTCTTTGTTCATCTCCATGATTTAAAAGTGCCCAGCGCCGGTGGCTTCCTATCTGAAGAGCGTTCCAGGCGGCCGCATCAACATCCTCACCATCATGCAGGTACCTCCTCAACATCATCATCATCATCACCGCCATCGTGTGTGCAGGTAGAACTTCTATCGCACTGCACGGAGCCAACCTCGCCCATGAGAGGTGCGGGAAGGACAACAAGAAACAACAACAACAAGCAGCTTCAGCAGCAGCAGCAGCAGGTCTCAAGAGTTTGTCAATTTAGGAGCTCCAGCGGTTCCCCCCAGGCCGTGAGGCCCTGGGGGCGGTGTGGGCTGCGGGGCACCCACTGAGCAGGGAGGCGACAATCTTCACATCAAGATTGAGGCGACAATCAGTCAAGACGTGACCCCTCTCCCTGTCCGCACGCCGACTCTTTACCCCCCACCCCCCAAGGATTAACGCTATTAACGTGTTTAAGCAAACAAGACTATCTCATTCTAGACTTGAAGCTTTCGTGACTGCAAGGATTCATATTCTTAGGTTTTTTTCGGTAAAGTCACGTAGGTAAAACATCAAAATTAATAAAAAAAATATTTTTTATTATTTTATTTTTATTAATTTTGATGTTTTACCTACGTGACTTTACCGAAAAAACCTAAGAATAAGACTATCTCACTCATCTTAAGGCCAATGTAGACACATTGTTATCGAGGCTTCCCCAGATGTTTCCTATGTGTACATTGCCAGTAGACCCCTCCCCCATAGGCAAGCGAACGCGTTTGAGTCACCCCCCCCCCTCTATGCGAACTCAACTGAGGGCCCCCCACTTGACCATACTTCACCACGCTGGTCGGCGCGGTCTGGCGCAGGAAGCGGCGAGCGTGGAGGGGACCCCACGTCTCCCGCGGGGTTCAGGGCTCCGTGGGGAGGCGCTCATCCAGCAGTGGAGTGGCGCGGGAGGCTTCTATAACACACCTTTCTTAATGTTTCATTAAAGTTAATTGTTTATAAATAATTCTAGATTTGAAGCTTTCGTGACTGCAAGGATTCATATGCTTAGGTTTTTTCGGTAAAGGCACGTAGGTAGAACATTAAAATTAATAAAAGTAAAATAAAATAAAAATCACGACGTTTCGGAGGCAACACAAGTCTCCGTCATCAGGTGGGACCGTCACAGCTACATTTACTTGAAAATAATTTACTTGAAAATAATTGCCTCCGAAACGTCGTGATTTTTATTTTACTTTTATTAATTTTAATGTTTTACCTACGTGACTTTACCGAAAAAACCTAAGAATATGTTTATAAATACATTAATATTCAGTCGTGTACAATTAAAGCCGATGTCTAAACGATATATGAACTTAATACAAAGGTATGCTAATGTTAAGGAATACACTTTCAACATGAACGATTTCACACTATACGGTATTATTTAATGGGATACATTTTGACAATATGGTACATTTGTGGCTGAGTAGACCTAGACGTCGCTTTGTACAGGCACTGCAAGTTGGTCGTTACACGCTCACAGCATCGCCGCTCACCAAAACGAGACACACGAAGACACAAAAACCAGAGCGGAATATCGAGAAAGTCGCAACGCCTCAGACACACTCACAGACACACACAGAGACACACTCAGACACACAGAGACACACTCAGACACACTCACAGACACACACAGAGACACACTCAGACACACAGAGACACACTCAGACACACTCACAGACACACACAGAGACACACTCAGACACACAGAGACACACTCAGACACTCAGAGACACACTCACAGACTCAGACACACAGAGACACAGACTCAGACACACAGAGACACACTCAGACACACTCAGAGACACACACACAGAGACACACTCAGACACACAGAGACACACTCAGACACACTCAGAGACACACACACAGAGACACACTCAGACACACTCAGAGACACAGACACACTCACAGACTCAGACACACAGAGACACACAGAGACACAGACTCAGACACACACAGAGACACACTCAGACTCACACACACATACACAAGTAGAGGCACTCACAGATACACACAGAGACGCACAGACTCAAGACACACTCAAGACACAGAGACAGACACGTAGACACACACAGAGACACACTCAAGACACGTAGAGACACACACACAGAGACACACACACAGACACATAGAGACAGACACAAAGATCCCCTCTATCGCCTGATCAGACTGCAGGGGCAAGTGCTGCTAGGGAGCGCCTAGAAAGGCCGGCACGGCACACGAGGGGGTGGGTGCCCAGTGCCACACCAAGCCGCCTTTGTCTCCCCAGCGGCGATGTTTACTACACACCGCACCAGGTACTCATTTGAGGCCGAGTCGACCTAGGGGAGGCCCAGGACCGGTTCATACAATCGGCCCCCATAGCGACGGTGAACGCGGGCCGCGCGTGACGTCACGGGGCCGCGCGTGACGTCACGGGGCCGTGCGTGACGTTACGTGACCACGCGTTACCGGAAGTCGCGAAAGGGGGCGGGAACCAATCGGAATCTCGGACTGTGACGTCACTGTGACGCATCAGACCGACATCCGGTTTCGTGGCTCGTGCGCTCAGAGTTGGAGAGACGCGTGGAGACGACGGAGACCGAAGGCAGCAGCTGGAGCCACTCCGAGCGACACTCTGAACAGGTGAGAGCGGCAGAGTTGTGACGAGCTCGACGTGTTACACGCGGCAGCTTGATGTGCTCACGATGTGAGTCACGATCTCGGTTTGTACCGATGGTGTGGCTCTGTGTTGATGCGAGTCCGTGCTGATGATGTGGGTCTGTGGTGATTATTTGGGTCTGTTTAATGATGTGGATTCGTGTTGATGATGTGGGTCTGTGTTGATATGAGTTGGTGATAATAATGCGAGTCTGTGTTCATGTCGGTTTATACTGATGGTGTGGGTCTGTGTTGATGCGAGTCCGTGTTGATGATGTGGGTCTGTGGTGATGATGTTAGTCCGTGTTGATCGTCTCGGTTTGTACTGATGGTGTGGGTCTGTGTTGATGTGTGTTGATTATGTGGGTCTGTTCGATGTGGGTTTGTGTTATGCGAGTTCGTGTTGATGATGTATCTCCGTGTTGACGATGTGCGTACGTGTTGGGGCTGTGGTTAAGTCAGGGGACAGAGACGGGGGAACATAGAAGTGCGGTACAATTAAGGATTTTGCTGCACTGCCGCACCCCTCACTCATCCCACTCACCCCTCATCCCACCTCCAGTGGCAGCTATCTCTCTAGGGAACAAGGTGGCTCAGCAGTCGGCCTGCAAGTGGCCATTAGTCTGCCAGCTGAGGGCGATGTGCAATCCCAATTGATTAAAAAAACTGTTCACGATTTCGAGATGTAAATCACATGGTGAGTAACGATCTCGTCCCACATCCTAGACTGTGCTTGACCCTACTACACTCGTCTCCCGCTTTCCTCACGGAGACCCAGACGGTGCGAGACGCAAGACACTCCGGTATTCCTGCTCTACACGTCACCAACATGGAGGTACGGGCTCGACTCGCGTGGTGAAGTATGGGCGAACATGTGATTCACATGCCTGTGTTCTCCACTCTCTATCCGCGTACCTACTCCTCACCATTTCTACCTTGGTGTGTGTCTGCCTGCCTGCCTGTGTATCTGAGCGTTTAACACGTAGCCTTTTGTGACCAAGGGGCCGTCCATAAATGACGTGACGCACCTGGGGGGGGGGGGGTGTCAGACATTTGTGATGATGTGTGACGAGGGGGGGGGGGGTATGAGAAATGTGACTGTCACATCAAAATGCGCAACTTTAAATAAATATAGACAACACGTTCTACTTAATTAACATACTTTTTAATAAATGTTTTCTCCTACAACATCAGAGTGCAGCGCCACATTAAATACGCACTACAATAGTTCAAAGCGATATGAAGCATGTTTTATTTTAGGGGGGGGGGCAGAGCTTTGTGACGTCATATTTGAGGGGGGGGGTCTGACTTTTTGTGACGCCGTGTGATGAGGGGGGGGGGGGGTAAAAAATCGTCCAAAATCGCGTGATGTCATTTATGGATGGCCCCCAATATCCATAACAGGTTTTTTTAGTTAGATCGCATAAATATGTGTCGTTAAATCCGCCACCACCAGACAGCCAATTAGTAAGGTTTGTCACATAAACAGAACATGCCAATTCGTTACTAGTACAGCACACCGGTGTGTTGGAGAGCAAAGCCACAACATTTACAATCCGAGTATGACGTTTCGCCAGTAATTACAACTAGCTTCATCAAGCAACAGCCAGATTTGTGGCTGCATTTGCCCCAACAGTTTGTTACAGTCTAT